CCATTCAACCAGAGCGTGCCAACTTCTTTCGGCAATTGCTACGCCTTCGCACCATCCACAAGGCCATTCGTGAGGTGCACTTGTTAAAGGGTGACTTCTGTCTTGAACGGCGTCTAGATGAAGCCAGTGTCGAAATGCTTGGCTGTACTGTGCAGGACCTCTGCATTAGTATGGAATTCGTACCCCAATCCACAGTAAGGACTTTTCTTTTCGATTTCTGATCCATTTATGAACGAGTAGTTTAATAAGTCATCTGAATGCTCATCACTGGTATTCACCAGTTTCTTCACTTATGCTCTTTTAACAGCTTGGGACGGAAAATTTGAAAATGAAGTTGCTGGACGTTTACCCATGGGAGTCACCCAGTACTTCCATCAAGGACGAGCCCGCAGAGCCAATATCCAATAAGAACTTCACAGTTTATATTCGCAGAACGTTGGAATACTGTTTGGACAAAGGCATCAGAGCTCAAATGGATGCATTTAAAGGTAGATTTTGAGGTACTGGTATCGATGTTTGTGTGTGGCCCCGTGATCCTTACCTTTATATGAATTCATTTTAGCTGGTCTTGAGCGCGTTTTTTCAATGAACTGGTTGTCTGTCTTTACCAGTACCGAAGTGGGGCATCTTATCAGTGGCGCTTCAGGAGTCTCGTGGACGCGGGAAGAGCTCCTAGCCTACACATCGCCCATTCTGGGCTATACTAAGTCCTCTCCCGCCTTCCTCCTATTAATCGATGTCTTAGTAGCCTTCGACACCGGGGAGAGACGTAAATTCCTTCGCTTTATCAGCGGTTCCTCAAGTCTTCCAGTGGGTGGCTTGAAGAACCTTAATCCACGTTTGCGAATTGTTTGCAAAGACCGCAGAGAGGGACCCTATCCCAGCGTAAACACTTGTGCACATTACTTAAAACTGCCAGAATATTCAAGCGCGGAGGAGTTACGTCATTATCTCACGACGGCGATGGAGCAAACAGGATTCTATCTCAACTAAATTCATCTGTATGGATTTTAGATATTTGCCTCCATGTCTTTCACACCAAAACCATTTCATACTATGATGGAACCATTGTGCATTTTGCTGTCCAAACTTGTTTTCATTCTTTGTATTTCACACCTATCTTAGTGGTTTATTTTAAAATGATTGAAGAATGTTAACATTCATCCTAACATGGTTGACGTTTAATGACATTTTTGTGAAGGAAAACTCTATTGCCTGTAAGTTAATGTCATCCAGAGCGATATACCCGTAATCCGAAACCTGATGATAATTTATGAGTAGTGGGATAGGATGTCGCTAAGATTGTTAGATTGCAGAATGGAAGCATCATTCGGTAAACTAAAAACCTTAACTAGTCCCACCCCCTTCTGTTGTATAATCGTATTGCATACAAACCAGTTAGAAGTGACGGTAAGCCGTTATACACTCGATGCCAAGCTACCCTAGAACATGTTTTGTTATCAAGCAGGTGAAGACAGCCGCATGCACGTATCCAAATAGACCGTTGGCAAGGCGCCGTGACGTCCGAACTGCGTAGGTCTGGAAGTGGTTGCGTAGTAATTAATACGACCAAAACAAGTACGGTTCTGCTTTGATCCTCACCCTTTGCGCTCTCCTGGCTGTTTTTCTGCTTCATCTATAATATAAGGATCTAAATTAAATGAAACCCGTAAAGAGGCAGTAGTGAAGTTAATGAAATGATTTCTCATCACACTAAGAAGACTTCCGTAAGTAGTGGTGACGAGGTTTCCACTTACCTTCTCCCTCTTAATCTGCATAGTATGAAATACATTTACAGAAAATTACTTAAATCTGATAAAAGTAATAAACAACAATGGCTGTGGGAGTGGACATGTGAGATAATATGTAGCACCCCCGATGAAAGCGGCCATAATACTAGGACAGAATGTACTGTCGACGTACAGAAGGGCCGAGAGACTGCTGTACGATATTGGGGCCTTAAGTGGCCGTGTTAACAAAGCGAAGAGTTAAACAAACATAAAATACTACAATGCTCTCCCCTTGAGCGTCTTCTCTTGCGCTCCCCTTGGTCAACCTTCCTTGATGGGCATCACAACGCACCAGTCATCAAATTTGCTTGCAACTGAGAGGATAACTGACAACAACGTCACCGATTCTGCTTGGCAACTCTACTGGATCTGGAGTTTCGTCCTGTTAAAGGAATGTATTGGAAGAAGGAGTACTGTGCCGTCTATCTGGCATTTTTGTCGCTAGCCGTCACTTAATAAAAGACGGGATTTGATATAATTTTGTGGGCATAAAGTGCCACGTCTGTCCACCCCTGTCACTTTATTAACACTTCAGCACCCCTCAGCCATATCTATCTGGGTTTTATTTAGCTAATAGAGAAACGGAGGAGGTAGCGCGTGTTTACTCAATTGATACCTTTATACAGGTGCGGTAGACACCTCCACAACAAACTTTTACAGATAATTCACAACATGTGCCGCCTTAGTTGCTAAGAGAACTTCTGTAAAACACAGGACTGGGGTATTTGTCAAAGGTACGCGTCATTTCCAAACCTGTTAGGAGCATATACTGATTTTCCTCATCCGCAGGATATGCCCCTCTGTCACACTAATGTTTAGAATTCAACCATAGGAATCAGGGTAGTTGTCTTCTAAGATAGGGTTTGGTTTTCAATGCCACAAATCTTAGGCACCCGAGGTTTTCCCGAAGATGAAAGGACAGAAAATACATCACTGACATACGGAAGGGCCGAGAGGCTGCTGGGATGATCTGGAGACCACACCACCTAGCGAATGTACAATGACAGACTCCTAGGTGTCCACGGAGCAAAGCAAAGGGATAAAAAACTTTCAAAGCATTATAAATATTTCATGGCCTCTGATTAATGAATATTTAGTAAGAGGAACTAGTAGATATGCCATGAAAATATGGGGAGGGAACCAAGGTACTAATGACAGCTAGTTTCAAATTGTTTATTATAATTCCCAAATTAGCGTTAATGTACGCTTCCGGTCCAAACCATCTATGATTAAAATAGCCTTTTCAAGCGGGGTGTAGCTCGAATTTCTTCCCAGCATGCTCACGCATGTGGTGCTTCATCCATTAAAACTGATTTTCCAATCACCAATTTACCAAACTGAAATGAAGAACACAGATATAAGATGTAGAATTTCTGCGGCTAATGTGGGAATTTCTCATGACACTTTTACCAACATTAAATTCGTTAATTAAAGAATTTCTTAACTCGTTGGATTAGTAGCTAGCTCTATCACTATCAGGAGGTAGCTCGAGAGGGCGTCGATCCATTTGCATTGATGCTGTAGGGTCTAAAATACTGAGCACAAGGTTGATGATTTTTATTGAAGGTGGTGTAAGGAGCAGATAGGATTGAAAGCCAATTTTGAGCAAGCGGGATATTTTCCTTATGCTGCTTTGAAGAGTCGGCTACAAATAGTGTAAAATATCACACAGATAGCTGAAAAGTATATAATCATGAAATCGGTTGTCTTGATACTGCGTTTAAGGTGACAGGGTATGGGGGTCATTTAACTGTAAATCCAACGAATTATTTCAGCCGGAAAGCAGGCGTGCTGGAGATAACTGCACGGATGTCTCTATGACCTAAACCGCTTCGTTCTTGCATAGCTTAGCCTGACAGATCGTCATTCGTATATGACTCCTGGATTACGCACCTAATGTGGTCAGGGATCTAGTGAAATATATCAGTCCGAGTCCAAACCCATACATTAAATAACTTTTGGGAATCTTAAAGGCGTAATCAACATTAATAAAAGTTAGTGCACAAACTTCGTTCCTGCCTTCCGTTTAGCTACAAGTCATTCCGATACGCTTGCCGTGATCGACGCTTAAGAGCCAATCACAGAGTGCTACGGTAGCGGAGATCAGCTAAGGTGACAATTTGGTCTCCACAACACCAATATGGGAGTCAGGTCATATTGTTTACAATGCTAGTCTTTCACTTATTCAGTTTATTGATAATGGCCATACAAAACAACCATGCGAGTGTGTTATTATTAGGACTATTGTGTAAATACTACTGAGTTGTGCCAGTAGCGATGTTAACCGTAGAGGGGTAGAAAGCAAATCTTAATCCAGTTTGCCTACTTTTTACCTAAGAAAATTTATTTCCTGATAACTGTCCATCAGCATTTACAAGAATCTAATAGAGAACATTTTTTGGCAACTGTTTAATTTTACTGCTCTTTTAGTGAGATATTGTAGCAACTTTTATGACAAAATACTTTACACATAAAAAGTAGCTAAATGTGCTCACTCATCCTTCTGATTTTATATCCTTGGAACGTAGAGGATGACATCTTTATCTGATCAGTGATGCGAGAGTTGGCAGGTTGTCAAGGCTTAACGAGGATGGGAGTTCGTCTCCTCCTCAGGTGTTAAAGGTATCCCCTCCTTCGCGTAAATTGGCCGCTTCTCACCTGAAGGGTATTTGCAAGCAAACTGGCATCGCAACGACAACTATGGGTCCAGCACTTCTACTCGTAGCTCGGTATTAGATACATGTTGGTGCTTCTCATTCATTTCCTATTATATCACTCAAAAAAACATATTTTTTTCTATCTTATCGCATTAGATAATTATTCATTTGTAGTGGACAAGTCTTCCCTGAGAAGTTGTAAGATGCCACAGTAGCATGGCAGAGCTGAGGCCACCGACATTACCCGGAGGCCATGTCGCCAAGTAGTAGTAGAAGCTGTGGTGACTCAAGTGCCCGCCTAATCAAATGCAAAGTTAAATAAACTAGCAAGGCATTGCAAATTCATTATGAATTGTAACAAGGGATGAGAAAATCTTATCCTTGGTCAGAAAATACAAACGGTTTCTTGGTTGCAACTGCAATAACTACTTAAGTCCATGATAATACTTACTTTAAAAGAATTCTCAAATATTTGATTTAGGTACAATATTGTTAATAATAGCGCTTTTGAACCTCGTACAACTGCAAGTTCAGACTGGACCGTTTCCACGCATTCTGGTTTAGCAGGATTATTATGTATGCGATTTTCCACTTCTCTACAAGCAAAGTCTTAATTTATTTTTTCATAGTTTTAAATATATATACACATGTTAAAAAAGCATACGTGCTTTTTAATTCACGTAAGAGTCGTCAAAAATGACTAAGTTGATTACCGTAGGTACCTTAACACATGTGCTTCTATCAATCTGTTAGACGACATAAGTATTGTTACATCAACTTAGGTGTTTAGTTTCAACAAAGATGATTAGATCAGCTAATATGAACTCGGCCGACACAGGTGGTTTTTGTTGCCATTGCTATTGCAGTCAAAGTGGTTTTGTAGTCGAAAGTCATGAAGCCGACACTGTCATAATGAAGCACGAACTCACGTTCACGCTTCCATGTGTCTTGGTAGCGTAATATACTACAATTTTCGAGCTTGCTGATTTGTAAGACAGCAACACCAGCCACATCAATGGTCGCAGCTACAGCAGCAGCAGCGATTGCAGATGGTGGAATTCCCTGGACAGCGGCCAATCAACGGATTGGTGGATTCGTGCGGTGGGGCGGAGGTGGCGAGTTACTTTCCCTCTCGCACTCTTCTACCTTCTTAGCTGTAGTGGTGAAATATCTACGAATCATCGTCAACACCACCACCTAATAAGCCATGTCGCTGTCCCTCTCCCCATCTATCGTCTTGTCAGCATCCAAAATCGCTATCCACTTCCGTACATCTCGTGATTTCTGAGGAAATTGCGTCAAGCACAGGGTCGGTAAGGCAGTAGTTCCCTACTTATTCACAATAAAAATTTTCATTCTCTTATTCTGATGTGTCGTCCTCTTCTTCATTAAATTTTCTTCTTAATGAATCACAGCCTATCTTCAATATTTATCACCTCCGTTAATCTTTTATGAAAATGATATCATAAAAATAAATCCACAAATACATGCTTTTAATTAGGCAAGGCAATTGCAAATCCCCCATCCCTTCAATAGCTCTACTTACGGATGTGTCCATATTTTGGTGTAAACGAATTGGTGAGGTAATTTTTAAACACCCACAAATCTCTCATAGTTCTTTAGCAAATGGAATTTGTCAATACGATTTAATCACAAAATATGTTGTTTTTATCTCTACTTGAATACAACTACCATCATTTCATCTAGCGGCAGTAGTTTAACCACGCAGTTACTTCTATCTACTTGTCACTTAGTTATTTAATAAATGCGCCTGTAGAACAGATGAGTAACATGTAGACAAAAACCGAGGCTCGTGCTCCAGCGCAAAGTTTTACCCTCCACTTACATTTCCATTAAGTCACTATTTTATTATAAAATGTCAAATAACAAGAGGAGTCCTCGAATCAGTGAATATCGTCATAGTGACGGACTAATTGTCGTTCATATTCTGCCTTCTGAAGTGACTAAAAAGAGTTCCTTCTGGAATTAGTAAAGGAATAGGCTTGCTATGTAAATCAAAGGATAAATATGTGAAGCTGGTAGATTATAAGAAGTCTTGAAACCGGCAGCATTGCAGTATACGTAGTAGAGAGATTTAATTCTCATTTTAAGCTACTGGCGCCACCCCCAGTCAGAGTCTCATTTTAAAATGAGGAGATTTAACTTTAGTGCAAATTGCCGCAATAACTAGGGCAGAAATTACTTTAGTGGAAAGAAATTACGGATTAAACGTTTCGGTTTTCCCTTTATGAAGTGTGTAATTTATTCTGTTAGGTCTTACACGATAGCTATATTTCTCTGTCTAAGAGGTAGGCAGTACTCGGTCAGTGATAAATAACCGACTACGAACAATTGCTTATAGCCTTCTTTCTGACTAATGTACATCTAAAAGATCACCGCATAATTTCATGTTTACAGAGGAATGCATTGTACTTAAACATTTTCTCCACCCTTCTTGAACTAGGTGCATGATAATCCATAATCCGCAATGTAATAACAAATAATTTAGCTAATAATTATTCATACTTTAAGGTTTGAATTCGATAATCTAGCATAAACGTAGCGCCCCGAGACTTCTGTAGATGAGAGAGGATATAATACTAGAGTAGAATAAGTAGCATTTACGTCCTGAAGGGGTGGGGGGCTGTAGTCATGGCTTGGAGGCCAGGCCGCCCAGAGAAATACAGTCGCGTTAAATAAAAACAAAACATCGTTCAATAAACAACTGAAATATTGTCTAAATAAATAAATCTTATTTTTTAGGTTTTTTATGCAAAACTTCTCCACTATTTTTTCAAAAACGGGCTCAAGCCCTTGTCGATCCGTGTCCAACGTTCGTGCATTCGAGTAATGAGAGCTGCTTTACTGGTTTGCTTTAATCAAGACAGGCTTCCTTGCAAGAACAACCTTCCAAGGAATGTTTGGATTAGTTGTGCTGGGAGAGACCGCTTCATATCCGAATTCTCACCCAACAAACAGAAATTTACAGTGCACGTAGAAAATTCCCCTCTGCACCTTTATATGAACAAAAGTATTAGATTGAATTCCTTAGTTAGATGGCATGGCTCCTCTATCCTGCACTTTTCAACTTGAATTCTTCCTAGGATATAGGGATTGAACATGTCAAATCCAAGAATTCTTTAAGAACAATAACTTTACGGACTAAATCATGAAATAGTCTTTTCGATCGTTTAAATCTCTTAGGTGTGATCCTTTATTTGCATAAAACTTTATTTAATCGATGCTACCTACCAACTTGGATACCTATGGAGAAAATTCGCCGACTGTAGACAAGGTATACAAGTAGAAGACCAGGTTTGGGACAAACAAATAAAACCAAGGAAAAGTTCTTGAAGTGAAGGCACTGTCATCCCCTAAAGTGTCGGAAATGGAGTGTGACTTTAAAGCAAACGAAGCACTTAACACAAACTCAGGCAAACCAATAGTCTGGTTTTACGACGGTATCCACTGAAAATCACCGGAAATGTTTACAAAATGCTGCAACACTGGAAGGAGAAATGGGCGAAGTGATTGGCAAAATGACTTTGTATTTTTGCAGATATGCTTTTATGGGTACAAACACGCGAGCATGTTTGTGCCTGTCTTGAAAAGTGCTTGCATGCCTCACTTGATTATTCTGGACTCCTTTCAAAAAATAGCTTCCCAAGGGAAATCACTTTTAAGCACATAAGGCATAGCAATATATCATTATTTCTTGCACCTTTAAGCATCCATTAACCTAGGTGGTGAACTACTAATATTGTAGATTTTGGTTGATTTTTTACCTATCAAAGGTACCTCGAGTTGAAAATACAGCAGAGGAAATGTGAAAGACGGAGCTCTATTTGCTGGAAATAGACTTCCAAACAGTCCCGTGTAGCAAAGCAATCATACCGCATAACACTTTCCACCGATTTGTAGTCCGATTGGGGAAATAAAGAATGTTTGTGGCCTTTTCAGTACCCACCTTATTCGTTCACATAATCTTATTTGATTATCATTACATTTTAAAAAAACAGTTTCTTTGGAATTCGTTTTACGGTGTTGCAGGGGAAAATATTTGCATCCAATTTTCGTATCACTCATTTACTATTATTTGGAATGGTAGTCTTCATGCCGCTTAATTTATTCACCTGTTCTCTAAAGTCAACAGTTGAAGTAGCTCAGTAGTTTCAGTTACTAACAGTTTTTGGTTTTAGTGTCTACTCTGCTCACTATTTTGATTGTACACCAAAATCCTCTCCTAGAAGACTAGTACTTACTACTGCATTGCCTTGCAGTCTAGACATACAAACAGTTCTTTATCTGTTTTCGCTTGGTTTACTTTGAAAAGCATCAGTTTATACAGAAGTGTTGGGAAGGTTTCAATGAGTCAGTGAGAGTTATTTGCCCATGAATATAACACTTTATTTAAAATTTTTAGGAGACTAATCTTCCGGTTCAACCTTAGACACACAATTAAAAAGAAATGTAAAAATCAGCCATCGACTATTAAAGCTCTCTAAATGTCATACAGCTGTTTCAAATAAAGTAACGCTTTTTGCATTGAGATTCAACCTTCGACTCAGTGGAGAAACACTTTGATCATGCTTTCTCTATATAAAGTACAGAAATTGTGTATATCTTTTAACTCATGTAGGCTGCATATTTGCTAGGCTTTCATCCAAAGCCGAGTGAGTCACCTTGATCACAAAATCTCCTATGTAATCTACAATGATAAATGGCGTTTCAGTATACTGAATTTTTGGTAAATAATCCGGGATTCTTGTTTCATTTTCTTTATGCTTTTATTATTTTATGTTCAGACGATGGGCCAGTGCTGTTGCCTCCTTTATACCTACCTCTTTGAGGCACCCGTGATAAGGGTTCTCATGCTTGGCCTGGATAATGGGGGCAAAAAGACTATTCTGGCTCAAATCGGTAATGTCATCTCATTTGAGCCCGTGAGGCACTTCCAGGTGGACACTGTGGACTACAGGGAGCTCTACATCCGATCCTGGGACATTGGCGGTTTTTGGCAGCCTAAGACTTTGTGGAGGCACTTCTACCAATATACTGAAGGTGGGAACCATTAGAACAATATTTAATGGACTAAATATCTAGAGAAGGTACAATTGACAGATATAGCACACTAGGAAAAGATTAACATGCCTTCTTGAAAATTGAAAATTTCCTTCTTAACAATGAATATTCAGCAATTCATTTATAGCTGATAAATTAAAAGTTGGAATTAATGGAACTAGGGATTTTCAGAAATGCAAATTTGTTTGTTTGTGCGCGAATAACATGTTTTTAGATACGTTTTCATTTAAAAACACTCTTTTCTACTGGAAAACCCCCTTTTAATTAGGAAAATTGGAAGAAAATATAATGACATACCCGATTATTTTGATTCTTAGGGTTTTTGAATAGGATGCCTTTTGGTGTCCTTGTATGGATAGTAATTGTGGCAGTTCAAGTTTTCAGGAAAAAATACTGGAAGTTTTTATGGACAGCACCTATTTATCGCAAGCATTAATCAATCGAAAACCGTGATTCATCGATTCCGCATTTCTTTAAATGCATTTTAGTTTACTGCGCAACTCAAAATCCTACAATGTGAAATCAAAAGCAGCGCTGAGAAAAACAAAATAATAATTCTGTTAGCGGCAGGTAATGCACTTCGGGATCTTCTGAGTAACCTTACCACAAAAGGCACCTGTGCATACTTTTGGAGGAAATGATGATTTTGAAGTAAAAATCAGCAGAAGAATTACCTATACGACTGTAAGGTAACCATAATCACTAAAAATATTCACATTTTGCTCATTTGACGAAATAAATATTTGTACTTTTGAACGGCTTAACTCTACCCCACCCACTCATAAAATAGTGCTCAATATTTCTATATCTGGCGATAGTTTGACTAATGTTTGCTACCTAACAATCACCCCGACAAAGGTATTCCTCTACGGTCAAAACAAGACCTATCTCCTACGCACCGGAACAATCATAACCTGACTACTAAATGATTTGTGGACGCATAATTTGCCATGATTGCCACCTGCTCCTAAATAATGCATCACGTGCCTCGGAGATTTAATTAATAACCCATTGGGAATGTGCTCTGATAAATGTTTGTGCACATAGATTGCGCATAATTGAGGCAGCAGAACAAACTTCTTCCGCCAAATTACCCTCATCACGCGTATTTCTAATTGGAGATATTCCAATCGCCTCAGAAAGCTCTCTTCCCTTTGCGTACCGCAGCAGTTCCAATATTTATTGAACGCTGAGATATTTTCACAGTGGCAATTTAAACGACGAATACTTTAAGTTTCCAAAATCAGTGAATGATTATAAACTGGGAATTGCGAAGAATCAACTTTTCCCATCTTCTGTTACAACTTTAATAATCTTCCATCTTATTGATGCCTACTACTAATACGTCCGAAACAAGATGACAATAAAACTGTACATATGGATGCAATGGATTCTGCCTTTCTCTCTTCCACTTCTAGTTTCATACTCCTATAATAGGAAGGGAATGTAGAGGATGACGCCTTGAACTTGACTAGCGGTGCGGTATTTGCAAGTCATCAAGCCTTGTGGGGGAGCAGAGTTTGTCTTCCCATCGCGGGGGGAGGGCCGAAGATGTTTGCTCTGTCACGGGAAAGAAGTAAACTGACCTTTTCTCACAAACAAACGCTGATAACATGGAAGCACTATGATGACGTTTGCTTTAATATTGCCTCCTTTGAGCTGCCAACAATAAATCATTGTCCAACCTTACTACGTTGTGAACAGGGTTTATTTGCGCACCGTGTCCCATTTATTTACTTGAGTACATACGCATTCTTTATATCATACATGTGTGAAATTTGAAGTTAAATTATTAAACACAGCTTGTTTACCCATACTTACGTCTTGTATTCAAAATGAGCCCGAAGTTGGTAGAGAGTTTTGCATTTTTAAGATTAAAACATCGCCTAAACATATAATATTAACATTTTAAGTTATTTTTGTCTGCATTTTGACCAGTTATTTTCTTCTAATTTTTCTATAAGCAATCAGGTTAATCCAAAGGATGACCTAAATTTATGGAATTCACCTTAACAAACACATAACTACTTATGTCTCCTCCCTTTCATAAGTAGCGTAAATCTAGGCAACAATCCAGTTTTATAAATTAGGATTTGCCTTAACATCGGCATGTAGTTTGTCCTGAACTGCTTCAAATTATTAATCATTTTACACCATTATGGTAGGAAGTAAAGCAGGATCTAACTTCTAGATAGGTTAATTGTTTTTCGATTTATTTCATTTACTCTCTAGGGTCTCATTGGCCATTTTAAGTCTTGATTTAAAGTTTCAAATATTATTCCAAAACATTTCACCCTGATACATAAATTACTGCTATTCCACCGAAGAAATTGGGAGGCACATGCTTAGCTTCCGCCTATACTGTGACGGACTACAATGTTCTCGAAACGGTAAGCATGCATACAAAGACTAAGTGCGTTGGTTATAATTTTTTTATCTATGTTATTAATGTTACATCATTTGGGTCTGCTTCACTCTGCTCTCTCTCTCTCTCGGTCTGCCTTACACTCATTTTCCTTCTCAACACACCGAATCGTTTTTACTGACATCTTCCATTAGTTATTTTGGCAGAGTACTCTATATTATAAATACTGATAAGTGATTTTAGGGATGTTTCTCAGATTATATTCTCAATATCCTTGTAAACGGTGATAGTGCTTGCTTAACTAGGAGACAAACCTCCGACGCTTAGAAGGTTTCGATTAGCCCAGAAAATGTTCATGAGAATGATAAATGCCAAAATCAGTGCTCTGAAATATTACAGACCTTATAAATCCCGGTTAAATAACTTGTTCTTTTTTTTAAAAAAATATTAAGAAAATAGGAAAAATCGCAATGAACTCTTACTTGATCTACCTCTGTGCACGTCTCAAAGCTTTTGACATGTCTGTGTTAACTTTAAAACAGGGCTAGGCGACCAATTTTTCAAGCATGCTCGCTCGTTGAGTATAGAAGATTGATATTTTTGAATCCGGTTTAAAAGTGTGTTCAGCTCTAGACTGAACTATCGCACCCATCACTTGACGGAATGTACATTTTATGAGAGATGTTTTCTTTAGTCTTTCCATGTTACCATCAAATTGAGAGTCGATTTAAATAACCTCCCTAGCGTAACGAATAATCCTAGCGCGAAAATCCCACAAGAATTCTCCCACTTCAAGGCGAAATTAAATATTTGACTTTTCTTTAGACTTCTGGAATGCGGAAGCAAAAACCCACCTTTAATGACCCTGCAAGTTGGACTGTACTTTTCAACTTTCGTATTTTCTGGTTGCCACCATTCTAACAGCAATTTTGTTTACACTTTGGACAAAATGGATCAGTGAAACAATAGCTAGATTTCGGATTCAATAAATTATTTGCTCATTTTTCCTTCAGCTCTCATCTTCGTAGTGGACTGTGGTGATTACGACAGAATCTACGAAGCACGTGACGCCATCCACGGGATTCTTCGAAGCGCAGAATTGCGCGGTGTCCGTGTTCTTATATTGGCCAACAAGCAGGTGAGTTTCCGCTCCCGCATACAAACCAAAATACTTAATGTATGTGGGCCCATCAAAAAATGAATTAACTACTGCTCTTCCTACTTTGCTCCTACTCCTGATTGCAATAGTGGAAGTGGTGATTGAAATTTCATCTTTAGGTGCTCGAATGACCTTTGCGAACCCTTCTTTACCCAGAGACGAACACAATGGTCTATGTGTTAAATTAATCCAGAGACATCAAGATTGTAAGCATGAATTTGGAAGTCCTTTGCTTTAATTAGGACACTGGTAGTAATTTTCCATTTGTTGTCTAACTATTCAAGACGGGGCTGAACTTCTCTGAGCTTATTTTATTTACATTTCCATTTCCACTTGCCAGGTAAAATGAGCTTACCTTAGTAATCCTCAATCTTACAATTGTGGTAAGGATTGTATTCTAATTTTTTAATTTACTGGCGAATAAGATCCACCTAATTCTTAACCAGATATCACTCTTCAATCGTGATTTTTACCATTTTAGAATTGACTAAGCAAATCTGTGTACCTGATGCACTCAAATCATTGTGTACTTCAAAACCTTCACCTTAGGACCTCATATACGCAATGCCTGTCAGTCAAATCATGGAGATACTGGAGGTTAAAAAGATGCGTGGTCACGTCTGGTACCTGCAGCCAACTTGTGCATTGACAGGAGCCGGGGTTTTCGAGGGCATTGGATGGCTTTACGACGAGCTAATGCCTCAGAAAAAAATAATGAAAACCAATTCCCTTATTAATCACCCCACAGGCTGATGCCGGGGTGCCCTCGGCTGCCAGCAAAACGGATGCTCTCGGGCCCCTCGGGCAAAGCAGCACACTAGCGCAGAGAAGTGGAACTACTTAGAGTGGCTATTTTAATTATATCGACGCAGACCTCCCTTTTACAGGAAATTTTTGACTTTTCGTTCGTCACTTTCTCGGTTATTTTAAATAAATGTGTTAAATCATAAGTTATTCTGTCAATTGATTCAGAAATTAAGTAATTGTCATTGTTTATGGCTAGTGTTGGATAAGATAAAGCAGCACGGTCAATCATAGTCACATCCAAGTTCACTTAGCAAGTGTCAAAATATTTATCCCTCTTTAACAAGCTTTAATTTACTAAAAAGTACAATGCTGCTTTGCACCATAATTATTACCTCTTTATAGAATGTAGTTGCTGTCACGTTTCGATTCTGTGGAAAGAGAATTGGTCTCCTTGCGCATACTTCTAACTTCAGTGCTACAATTGATTTAGAAGAATACAGTGAAATGCACCTCAAAAATCTCGACGCAGATGTGATTCAATTAGTCTGTACTATCACACGGAGATATCATGCTAATTAATAACTTTGCACAACTATGGGATTTACTACTAAGCTGCTGACCGGCAGTTATTTCAGCTGTGATTATAAAGTCCTTTCGGGGTTGAATCGCCATTGTGGTGCTGTGTCTTCTCACTCTTGCCAATTATTTCAACGAGGCACCAGTCTGTCAGGGCTTTCGCAACAGAATCCCATCAAGACTCATGTTCATGCATACCCATACACATAGTTGAATTCATTATGGACCCTAGCCTTAGAAAGTGCAAATCATAATCCTAGTAATGTGCCTTAAGCTTGAGCCATTAACAAAACCAGGGAACAATGTCCTAGAAACTGGTAGATGGATCCCAATATTCCCCTCGGAAAGTTACCCCATTAAAACCTTCAAACTTCCAAATCGACAACTGACGTCAGGCATTTCCTTGCATTTGCATTGATGTGTTCCGTAAATCTAGAGGTTTCCCGAGACCGTAATATAATCCACAAGTAAGGGGATTTACTATTAAGGTCCAAAATGCGATGGAAGACTGCTGGAATGGACGGTGGACCAAGCTAACCAGCGAAAGGACTTCTAAGGGGGGAATGAAAAGGCTAGGCAGTATCACAGTTTAAACAAATGTCAATTCACTACACAGCCTCTTCTTTTGGGGGCCGTCTCTGGCACTCCGCTTAATGACTATTCTGTTTTGTTGTTAAATTCTTACGCAGGGGAATAAACACTTAGAGTTTGATCTTATATATGAGGGGGATTCATGAACTGTATACCACTGGCGACTGAAAAAAACTTTCTAAAGATTGGACCCCAGATCTTAATCTCTAATAGGAAAAGCACTCACTGATGCACCTAACAAACTACATTTGAGGCATCTTCAAGGGGCTAAAACCCCTCATCCATTCCTCCCTGACAATTCGCTTTTACTTCGGTCCTAACCTGCAGTCTATTCGACTTCTACACGGTTAGTGGACATACAGAGGAAGCACTGCGTGTTAGCTCAGCTAGCTTTTTCACATAAGGTTCTGCAAGTAATTCCATAATAAGCACTTTCTAGTGTGAATAATTTTTTACAGAGCACAAGGCCGGGATAAAGGTCAAGGTTAGGCACCAGACATGCAGATTCAGTCATCCCTATTAGACGTTTGCAGCGTCCCGTGATTTCCCTGAAGACGAAAAAGGACACAATACTAGGGCAGAATATATATTCAGCACAGAGAAGGTGTCTGGGCTACTGGCATGGCCCGAAAGCCAGCCCACCCAGCGAGGTACAAGAAGGCAAATTCCAAAGTTAAGAAGTGGCGCCTCACCGATACAGAGGGATAAACCACCATCGTATTACGCATTATCTTGTGGCAATCAAGCATAAACACGAGAATGGTTGCCCTTCCAAGTTCGGTTCCTTCACCTCTGGCGCCAATGAAAAGTCCCTCGCCTTTCCTAAAATCGTAATACTCCACCGGCCTGGAGAACTTATTACCAATATACAGAGTAAATGATGAGCTGACAGCGAAGTGGAGAAAAGTCAAGCATACAGGTAAGATAAGTGCCAAAATGCTACGAAGGAACATGTCCTGCTTATGAGACTGTATAACGTTGCGAGGATACTAAAGTGAGCAAACGCAAAATGGTAGCTTGAGTGATTGACTGATTGTAAATTCTTGCATTGGAAACTAAATATATGTTGATTAAAGGGTCTCAGAAATCAGTTATAAAGACGATATCAGTTTTAGGTTACAGATGACTTTTTAAAAAACCAAAGGAATTAAACATAAATGGGGTTGGCAAGCCAAATTTGCAAAGCAAAATACTAAATATTAGGACTTTAGCTTTCAAAAACGGCCTACTATTTGGCAAAAAGACTTATTTTTCACTGCTGTATTAGCATCAAAATGTGTTTTACTGACTTGTTTAGCATTGCGCCACAGGTGAAGTTTTCTCGCTGATGTTGGTGTTTTGGTGGTTACCGAAATTTGTTTTGTTTCACTAAGAACACTTTGTTACATGTTAGTTTCCTACGACTATATTTTGTGAGGATAATTTACAAAGTCCTGTCATGTAGATGCCATTATTGATGGTTACCACTGCCTAATGCCTCGACGACATCTCATGGTTATTATGATACTAAGTCATTGTTACCTTTGGCTATCTCTACTGCTTTGTCTTAAGCTTTTTATCAATGCTTTCGTAATTTGCCTATGCACGTGTGTCAATGCATCTCGTTTTTCCTTGGTAGTGGTGGATTTGAAATTCTGATCGTGCCTGATGTCTTCCCTGTCGTCATCATTTAAAACAATAGATGTGAGTCGACTTTGTCTTGCCGATAGTTTAAGCCATTCTTTCCTGCCTAATAATTTTGTTAATTTAGTAATTATTTGTGTGCAGCGATTATTGAAGCATTTGGTGAGCTCTCTTTGTAAATTCTTGTTTAGCAGTTTTTTTTTTAACTTGTTTATACTATCAGTTGATTGTCTTCATGTTGCTCAAAATTTATAATGGTTTCCTTCTTCACAGGGCATGCCGACATTGACGCCCACGCCGGTCTACTCGAACATACTTGTTGGACAGCCACCAGGTATGCACTTGAGTTTTTTTTTGTTTGCCATATTTTCTGCTCTTCTCTGTCAAATGTTTTACACTTCGTTAAGTTTACGTGCAGTGCACTGGCATAACTGAATTGACTGAGGGTGAGTCTGATATCCTCCGTCTCTACGACCGTAGAGTTGCCCTAACAAACAGTTACTTTTACCTCCAATGCACACAATCTTAGCCTTCATAAACCTCTCGCTTCTTCGACATTTTAGGCACTGTCTTCCAGCAACCCGGTGATAACGTTTATCTTCGATTGAAATTGGATGATTCTAACACTGTCCTTTATCCTGTGGTTGGACAACCTATGATGGGACAACCGCAAGATCCCGGCTTACTGCAGCAGCAACAGCAGCCGCAGCAGACGGCTCAAACTAGCGGTCAGCAACCACAACAAGTTCCCCGTCAACAGACCCCACAACAGGCACAAGTGGCGCAGTCACAACAAGGCGTCACTGTTACAGTTGGTACTCCTGTTGTTACCAGTCAGCATTTGCCTCAAGCAAGTCTTGATGGGGTTCAAAAAGTACTTCGTCGTACCGCTTCTCAACCCTTTTTAATGACTCTTCGTCATATTTCGTTTCTTCTTCTAGGCAGAAGACCCAGTTGTGGTCACAGCGGCAGTTACTTCAGCTCCTGCAGTGGCTACTCAAGCTCATGAATGCGCCTTTTGTAGGGCGAACTTCGCTACGGATTTGGATTTACGTCATCATGTCGAAATAGCGCATACTGGTAGTATATTTTTCCGGGATTTTTGCTATTGTCATTTTCCTTAAATCTATTACGAGCCTTCTCTTACACTTAGCCACGCGGAGATTCCCATGCACTATCTGCGGAAAATCTTACACGAAGGCTTTTCTATTAAAAAATCACATTAAAAGCAGACATGAAAGTAAGTTCTCTTATGATTTCCGGGCCAAAAGAACTGCATGGACTTAACAGGAAACAATCGTTACTTTTCCTTATAGATATTCGCGATGTTTTTTGCCCGACATGTCAAAAGGCCTTCTGCAAACGCTCCGTTATGAAGCGTCACATGAAATCTGTTCACGCAGGTACATTACATTCTCGGCACTAAGTAGTGTTTCTTTTATCTCACGTCGCGAATTGTCGCTGAATCTGTTTATGTTTTTCTCTGATCTGCAGACTCTAAAGATTACACGTGCACTTTGTGCAACAAGGCTTTTGCGGAGAAGAAGAATTTGCAGATGCATATCAATGCTCTACACAAAGGTTAGTGTGGTCACAATCCCAAGAAGTTACAGTTCTTAGCTTTGAACATTTCCTCCTTTAATTGGCCTTAACCACTGAGTAGCTTTGCTGTTTCCAAGTAGCTGAAGACATAATTAATGTTTGATAAATTGGTTCGTATAAAGTCGCTTACTCGAGCTTTCCTCTCCACAGGGTTGAAGCCTTACCACTGTCAGGTTTGCGGGAAGGACTTTGCTCGCAAATGCGATCTTCTAAGGCACGGGAATTCCGTTCACAAAGGTGTGTTTCACTAGCATTGCCACGCCGCATGGGGAAGCGAAGTGTCACTGTTCTTGTTTTTGAATATTCGCCATTTGTTGGCCGGCGAAATACCATTTTCCTTATTGTACCTTGGGGGTTTATCCCGTTTTCTTCGCTGTTTATGGGTTTGCTTACTGATTTATAGTATCTCGTGGATTATTTCCGATTTCTTGTTCTGTTCTCCGCCTGTTTTGCTTTGTGCTTCCGTTACAATAAGCTGTTTTTTCGTAGTCAGGATAGTTATTTTTGTGACTCCAAATGTAGATCCTTTCCACCGTAGAACAAAGTGTAGAACGTGCTGTGCATTATTTTATCACACATCTAACTCATCTCTTCTCTCACTTCTCCCTTTTTAGAGAGTAAACCTTATGAGTGCAGTTCTTGCGGCAAAGGGTTTCCCCAGCGATGGTATTTGGAGCGTCACATGGTTGCTGTTCACAAAGGTAGATCTGTTTTCTCTATCTGCCCTTGTCTCATGTGCGATCTGTGCATTGATGCGTCTTCCCGCTATCTTTTTTTTCCGGTGGACTTCTCACGCTTTAATTGTTTACCGGGAAATATACCTTGCGCTTTGTGCAGGCTTGACTGCACCCTCGCAACCTCTGGTTGCCTTTTAGCCACTCTCCAACAAATGCCTGGAATGCCAAATGTATTTACAATGCCACAGGCACCACAAGCAACCATCTTGACGCAGGATCAACTGATGCAGCAGATCCAGCAGCAACAGCTACTTCAAACTCAGCAGCATCAGTTACTCACTCAACAACAGCACAACCAACAGGTTATTCAACAACAAGGGCAGCCGGTCTTGCAGCAGACACAACTCTTACAGCAGCAGGCCACTCTTCAGCAACAACAACAAGGTCAACAGTCACAAGCTCAGCAACAACAGCAGCAGGATCCACAGCAACAAGTTCAACAGCACACCCAGACCTCTCAGAATCAGGTCACCCAGGTCGTTCAACCACAATTTTCTCAAGCAGCTGCCCAACACCAACAGTCATTGCAGTTTTCGGCCTTCTCTCAGGCGCCTACAAACTCTGTCAGTATCGGTGGGTTGATATACACTTCAAATAGCTTCTGTACACCTTTGGTATTTGGTTTTATGGCGCGTCGTCTTCTACAGTGGCAGCGGCAGGTGGAACGCGTTTCGCGGTCCCAATGCCGGCGGCGTCAGTCAGTGCAGCAGGTCCAGGAGGCGCTGCGCTACCCTCTGCCACTATGATGCCGACGCTTTTCTTCCAACAAGCAGGTGGAGGTCTCCTCCCGTCTACCGCAGCCACTCATCACCAGTTGCAGTTGGCGGCTGCAGCAGCCGCCGCAGCATCTTCTACCCCCTCCACGCCCTCCACATCCACTGGTGCTGGTGCTGCTACACCCCACGCCATGCCACAGCAGCGTCTGCAACAGGTCGGGCAACAGTTAGGTCTGCCGCCCGCACAGCATATGATGCAGCAGGGCACCACCATCTCGATTATCCCGCCGCCTCAGGCGACTAGCCAACTTCAGCACACAGGTTCGTTTGAATCTTGACCTCCTTATTATTCACCAAATAACCGACCTTTGGTGTTCTGGAAGTATTCGTCTTGATTGGATTCCATCGCACGTATTCGCCTGTTTCACTTCCCTATCCTTTGATAGGATCTAGTGGTCGATAGTCTTGGTTTTATTGGAATTTGATTCCAATGCGAGGTTACAGGTCGCTTCGTGAAAGGTACAAGCCTTCTGGAGCGTGGAGGGTATTACGAAGATTGGTCACTTCCACTTTACTCCCCAAAAGAGTAGTGTTTGGCGCCTCCTCGGTGTCTCCTTTAGTGTCAAAGGGGTCGTGCATGCTGCGTGCGCGTCGTGCGCACTTATCCGTACACACACACACGTATATAGGCACCCGGAGTAAGCTGGCGAGGCGAGGAGAGAGAATTGCGCGTTCGGGTGAGTGTGTTAGTGTGCGCATATGTGTGCGTGCCAGAGGGAGAGTGTTTGCGTGCGCACCTCCCTATCGACCCACCTTCTGCTCGCTTCTGCACACGTGCGGTGTTTGCGTGCCTCCGTGCAACCACTGACGCGTGTGCGCGGCGTGGTGCGGTGCGTATTTATTTTTTGTGAGAGTGGTAGACCTCTTCTCATCTTACGCAATCCTCTGGATCACATCTGTTCACAACTTCTAATTTCTGCTGTTCCAGCAAATTGGTGGAACTGCCATTACCGATTTTTTTCCAGACCAAACCATCTTAGCCGATAAAGGCGGTGGGTGCGTGCACTCGTTCGTTCCCGCGCTCCTCCTACACTTTGGCCTTAGAGCGAGCAAACTAGCCTGCGAGCAAGTGGGCTAACTGGCCGTCCAACTATCCACTGGGATTACCAATTCAGCGTTAACGCGAGAGTTTGGCGTTGAGTGAATGAGCTAGTGAGCGTGTGCGTGTGTACGTGCGTTCGCATTAGCGTTCGCCTTCGCGTTTCATAGCTTCTCGCTCTCCCCATCTCCTGCTTCTCTGTGTCCCCACACAACGACTTCTAGGTGCAAGGACGTGCCTGCGTGGTGCGTGCGTGTGTGCGCGCGTCGCTTGCGTCGATAACGCAATGCGCAGTGCGGGGCTAACCAGGTGGTTTGCGTACGCACAGATGCGTGTTCGTGAGCGTGCGTAAGACGTATTGGCGTGATGCACGCACGCAGTGTGACTTGGTTTGTGTGCTTGTGCGCGTGCGTCGTGTGCTAGATTAGCCCCTGCCGCTGCTACTTTCGTGCGATTGTTTTCATATTTGCGTGATGCGCGTGCATCTAGCCTACGATGTGCAAAATACACATCGCACATCGCACTTGCGCTAAGATGTGCGTGATGTGCTTTTGTGTGTGCAGATGCGTATGCGTGTGTGCGTTGTTACGCCCCATAGTTTATGCGCGTGTTTGTGTGCTATCGAGAAGTGACTTAAACATCCTAGTATATCTGTGGCCTCCGTTGAATTGACATTGGCGAATGTTTTCCTCATTTAATTTCTCCACCTCTTCCTTTTATTGATATTTCTACAAATTGCACCAATTTTTGCCTGACATTAAAATGGATTATTTCGGATGGTTTAATAATCAGTTAATTGCTGGCAAACTTTGGCCGATTATTCGCTAAACATCTGATTCTCAGGAGTTCCACCCAAATTACTTTGAATTGGTTAATTTGTCAGCAGCTATTACTTCTTCATCAGATCACGATTACCCATATAGGTTAAAAGGCTTATGGTTTTTTTCTCAAGCTGTTTAATAAACCCTTTTAGCTAGCCTTTTGTTGGCATTTTTACCAAGTTTTTCTCTGATTAAGATTAAAACATGTAATGAGGCGGTGCATTGTCTTCTGTTTCCTCGCTTATTTTTTATTTCTACATATATAACCCCATATTTTAGTGATGAAGACAGAGTTTGATTAGTTCTTTAGCAAATCGCTAACGTTGAAATCGTAACGTAATCATCATGTCATGATCATGTCAGTAGGGTGTTTTTAATCTCCAAATCTACCCACCGAACAGCGGCTTTGCAAAGTCCATTTTCCCCCCTGATAGCTAAGACGAGGGGTTGATGGATGTCAGCCTCTATTTTTAACATTTCGCCTCCTTTCCCTTTCAGCCACAAAACCAAGAAAACAGTTCGCGTGCGATCAGTGTGACAAGGTGTATCCTCGCAATCAGAGTCTGCAGGCGCACATCATTCAGGTTCACTCGGGTGAGTGGCTCATAATTCCTTGTCACGTGCCCTTCAATTTGCGTTCACACACGCGTACTTACGCATGCGTATGTCTTCCTTTGCACTCACCCCGTAGACGTGAGGCCCTATACCTGTCGAATCTGCCACAAGGGCTTCGTGCGTAGATGGGACTTCTACCGCCATCTGAATGCCGTCCACAGGGGTAAGCTCTCAACGCGTTGCTGGCAATGTCCATTTTTTAAAAAGTGGCATTTTTTTCAAGAGCTCAGAAAGACTTCATATTTTCTGCTAAACGTTATTTGGGTTCATACTGTTTCCACCTGTTAGATATTTGGGTCAATTGGGGCATTTGTTTTGAGGATATTTTGCCATGAAAAGTACTGCTAATTCGTATATCAGTGACACTTTACTACTGTTAATTTAAAAGTAGCATACTTGATTTCCACAGAATTTACTGGTTGACAAATGAAGATCGTGCACTTTCAGTCGGCGTGATGCACCTAAAATCAGTACAGCTGCTTTAACTGTGTCTTGCTATTTAGATTCGAGCGAAATGCCTTATTTGATTAAAGGTGCCCGCAAAAGTCATAATAAGCTCATTTGCCGCACGAAAGACTGCGCATTGTTTCAATGCCGTGATTCTACGGCGTTTCCAGTCAAGTTGTGCAATCCTTTAAAGAGCCGAATAGCATAAAATATGAGCTGTTTGAGCTGTTGCTTTGAACTTAAATAGCAAGGCGTCTATGTTCAGAATTTTTATTGTCATCATCACTTATATTTCGAGTTCCGTGCTTCCCCTCTAAGGTCCAAAGTGATCATCTGTTGTGTCAAAATTTTACAACAGAAGTGATGGAGCGGCAAAACTAGCTCTGTCAAGCAAAGTCGTTAACAATTACGAAGTCAAGGGGTTTAGAATTATATAAGGCAAGTGATGTTGTGCTTCCGATCATGCCACGGTTGCCAGTTTTGGTTACTCTTCCTTGATGTGCTTTTACTCTACAATATTCACCAACTTGTTGCACTGATTTCTCTTTAAATATAGTGATAGTCGTAAGAGCCTTTAAAACGCTTTGTTTTGAGCTTACAGAAGGGTCAATTGACTGCTGACACAGTTGACATATGCATACTTTATTCTGCCAGCTTGATAGTCAAATCGTGCGAGACTGGAAAAACTTTTGTAGTCAGATTTGCCTTCTGTTGTATAACTTCCCTTTTGAGGGCCGTCCTCGGCAGTTTTGGCCAACATTCCTCTACTTCAGTCATCACATCGGTATTCGAATACATTTATCTATGTGGGAAGAGTCGGAATCACGGAATAGTTTTGTATTGTCGCGAGATTTTTGCTTTCAATAGTAATACTTAATAGCAGACGTTAGTTTCTACCATTTACTCTTCATTGAAGGCTGTTACAGAGCAAAATTTCTGGATAAAATGCACATCGCAAAGTAGCTTTACCAAGCTACTTTTGGTATTTATTCACCCTTTTCACTGCGTTTCCAGTTAATTGCTTCTCAATCGCCTATCAAAGATATCCGTTCGTTACCGGTCCTTGTGCATGAATCAAGATTGTTGTGGTTTCCGAACGGCGGTGCGGTTTATGGCGGCTCTTTGTTAAAGCTGTTAGCATGGGTAACATAATGAATGCCTGAAGGAAATGCATCGCTTTGCAGATCGCGCAAGAGAGGCACTAGATGCAGACAAGGTGGAAGAATACGTAACATGGATGCGTAGTCGAGCCCCTGCCGATATCTCGTGGGAATGTTTAAATGCGGTGCGCGAGGAGTTCCCAGCTGGCACGGGTTCGTCCGCTGTAGCCAGCACCGCTGCTGGTGGCGGAGGCGGCGTGAGTGGTGCTGGTGCCGCCGCTCCTGTTGTCAACACAACTGCTGCTGCTAATCCCAGCGGTACTCCTAAAGCCTCCTCTCCTGCCGCTCCACCTCAATCCTCCACACCTTCAGCCGCTGCCTCCTCCACCTCCTCTACCTCTAACTCCAGCGTCACCGTGACCATGATCAAGCCCGCTAATGAATAACTATTGCACACAATTTTTCTCTGCCTTGGCTACACTTTGTCTCTGTGTCTGTCAGTACGTCTGTCTAGTTGTTTTCTCTGTGGATGCTATCTGAGTGTGTGTACGTGTGAGTAAGTGGTCGGAGGCGCCTCTTTCGCTCCTTTGCCCCGTGTACAGACACGCTGTGATGCAGTACTGGGTGTCATAGAACGCACGCAAGCACGGACACGCGCCCACTTATACACGCTTCCCCATTCCTGGTGTACCCTTTACTTCACTGTTTCCTCTCTCCTATTTCCTTCTACATGAAACCCTTTTTCGCGGTGTAAATACACTCATTTATTATTACTGCTACCACTAATATTACTATGATAATCGCCACGCATATTGTGAAAAAGGCTAAACTCCTAAAGATTTTGACGTTTCCTTATTTGGGGTGGGGGAGGAGTCTGAACGGGCCTGTTATCTCATTCAACGAATCTATCGTCGAGGTTCACGCAGCCCCAGCAAATGACTTGTGATTTGATCGTAAATATTACTAATCAGCCACAAATTTAATTAATGTGAAAATACGGTGGTTGGTTGGGTGGCGATAGGGCTCCAATAATTTGATTGGCTCATCTTTGTTACGGAGTCTAACTCGATGAATGTTTATTATCCGAGATAATCAAATTTTCAATGGAGGTTTCCCATATCATGCGCTTCCTAAGTTTCCTCGTGCAATGCACTTTAGACTTCGGCAGCCGAGTGTCTTTTTACCGGAAATTGCGGATTAGAGCGCCTTCACTGCTCTTGTGCTATTGCAATATCCTGAGGACCGTTCTACATACACTCCGTAGGTCCAAAATCTATAGAATATTGCATTAGAGGAATAATAAATGGCAGTTTTAGCATATCCCAAAGATGTCAGGTGTTGTTTTTGTCGTACCGATAGTTGGGTGAATATTCTATCTACCCCAAAATAAGTCTTCTATGGGAACCGATGGGAAATGTTGAGTATCTACACCTCCATTTAACTTCGTTGGACAAGACAATCAAATGTGGTGGCAACTTTAAATCCTATCAATTTCACTAGAGAAAAAGTGGTGTATTGGAAGCCCAAATTCACATTCATTAAAACGTGTGCGTCGCGTGAAGGTAATTTTTGTCCGTAGTTATCTGTATCAGTTAAAGCGGTGTGACAGGCAGTCAGACAGATGCACGAACTTGAGAAAAAAAACGGGAAAATGACTATTTGAGGGAATGTAGTGAAGCTGAGCGTGTCTTAGAGTCCCTCATGATCTGATTAATCACAATATTAAGTTTATTAGTGCAAACGTTTGAAGCTTGGCTGCCAACAGTTGGTTCATTTCAGTGACTCGCATCCCGAAGAGGAAGAAAAAGACAGTATACTTTAACATGAAATAGGATTTCAGAAAGTTGGAAAGTCCTTTAAATATCATTCGAATTTACAAATCATTTTTATGAAGGGTGAAACATCTCACTTTTCCGAGAACAACATTTGCGAACATTCAGCCAAGATTGCTCGATCTGCGGGTTTGTCACCTTAAAAGTTATATTCCTGAAGCCTCATCGAAATTCATAATTTTTGTTTTTTTGAAAATATTTCAATACCAAATAACGTTCATAAAATTAACTCACATATGGTTTAAGATTTATACTTTATCCATGGATAAAAAGATGTTCATTAACCGACTGATTCAAAAGAATACAGTTTACTTACAAAAAACAAGTAGTAGTGATGGTTCGTGCAGGTGGGAGTGGATGAGCCCAGCAAACGCCCCTCACATGTCTGGTCACATGCAAGTGTGCCCCGATGACAAGTTGGAGTCGTTTGAACTTATTGATCGTCCTCCATCTTTGAGTGAAGTACAAGCGTTGCTTTTTAGTGAATTGTGTGGAAACTGTGGCACCTTCAACCTTGACATTGAACCATCCCACGGTCTGAGTTGCAAGAACCCAAACAATGAACAAGTCTAAGTCTGCAACGGATCCCGTTGGTGAGTCAAAGCACGTTGGTGTGCGTTCTCTTTCCGTGTCAGAGCCATTGGACATTGAGCTTCGGCGGTATCAACGAAAGTTGGAGCACCCCGAACACATGCCCAAACGCCACGATTCTCCGAGTGTTATATCTACCGCCTCCTACGAAACGTTCTATACTAAGAAGCGGTGGAATAATTCCACGCAACGAAAGTCTCGAGGTCGTTCAAAACGCCGATTCTACGAAACTTCCGTTGAACGCTTTCCTCCAGCCAGCGTCACCAAGTCTAGACTGAGAGTCATCCAAGAAATGCCATTCTGGCGATTGGATGCCAACAGATTCCGCAGAACAGTGAGTTCGTTTGAGACGCGAGAGAAAAGAGAAGCAAGATGGCGTCAGTCCACTCTTCAGGATATGCCATTTTCTCATTACCCATGGAAGAAGATCCATAATCTGTTTGAAGAACCCAACTCCTCGAAAATCGCTCGTAGACGACTCAAACACGCTCAGAAAATGAAGTCCGTACAGTTGACAATAGAGCAACGGCACAGAAAAGCTTCTCAGGAGAACCCTTCAACGGACCCTAAAACCAAACTGCGTCAACGTCCACACTCGACTTCGGCGAAGATAACAGCATTCATCGAAGGTGGAGTGGAAATTATAACTGACACCAGTCTGCCGGAAGACAGCAAACTGAGTCCCTCACCTGTTATCACAACAGAGACACCGATTACGGCAAAACCACCGGTAGCTACAAGACCCAAGCTGGCGACTAAATCATCAACATCGACAATATCTGGAACTACACCGAATTCTATCAGAACGCGAATTGGTGGATCTGACTGTCAGAGCTGTGAACGCAAAGCCTACCGTGCAGAAAGTGTTGAAGCTCTGGGCCAAGTGTTTCACAGTTCCTGTTTCCGATGCGCTAAATGCTCCCGTGTCCTCCAAAGGAGCAACTGGAACCACAAGGAGGGCAAATTCTACTGCAATCCCTGTCACCGCAGATTGTCCCTGCTAACATTCCGTCATTAGTAGTGAATTTTTAGAATGCAGTCAACTATCCCACTTTGACTTAATCACGTTTTAGTTCTGATATCCGTTTCTTTTTTGCCTCTTTGCAAGTTGGTATTCTGGTTTTTTTTTCCCCATTTATTATTTTACGATCGTTTTGATTAGGCCAACTTTTTTTCATGATCTATGTGAAAAACATAATAAAAAGGCTTGAATAGATTGTAAATATTTTACCTACACTGTAGAGAAATTTTAACATTAGATTGAGTTCGAGACAATAAATAAAGAGGGGTTGCATTAACTAGCTAATATTCCACTTCACAAGATGGGAGCACTGGAGCGCGTAAAAATGCCAGTAGGAGGAGGAAGTAGAGACTTGAATAAGAGGAGTACTTAGGCAAAGATCAAACTAGGTTGATTCGTGTTCGCCAGTTTCCGAGTCAATAATAGCACCAGATTCACCTGAAACCTGCTTCTGAGTCTCTTCAGCCTCCTCTTCCACCGTCTTCTGTTTCGAAGCGGATTCATCGATATTTTGCAGTGGATGGAGAGCATCATCGAGCCCCTCTTTAATAGGTGTCTCCTCCATTTCTTCATTGTGTTGCTGTTCCATGGGAGGAGATTCAACCTATGAGGCATGATGAAAGACATCTGGCAAAAGTCTCATAATTATAAATTTTCTGCACAAATTCCAAAAATCAGTTCATTTCAACAATGAACAAACACTAAATACTTCGAAAGGAATTATCTAGCTTTATCACGCGACTAACCTAAAGATCGTTTAATTGAGGTAAAAAAGGAACCGAATGTAAATATTATAACGGTTGAGGATGGACGAAGTGGAGGCAAGACTTCAATCCAGAGAAAGAGCAGCAACTTTGAACAAATAAACCATCAAGCGAAATTGGGAAATGATACTGACTTACATTAACATTGGCAGATTCGCCTCGATCCACACTTTCTTCTTCCCCATCGTCAGCACGCATCCGTTTCGCAGGGCTTGCCATTAACTCAGGAGACTCCTCCGACGATGCCTCCTCATCACTTTCGTCGAAAGTGAACGACTCGCGCTTCAACGAAGGTCGGGAGACTGTAAGCCTGGTGGTACCATCTACCTCTTCAACTAGTTTGGGAGGTACCGTCCTTTCCTCCTCACAGCCAGCTTCGACCTCAGTGTTTGCCATCTCCGTCGTACTTTCAGGAATCTGCACTTCTTTCAGGTCTTCTTTCCCGTTCTTAGTAGCGCAGCAATCAACCGATTCATCTGGAGTCGAAGCCGTAGAAACAGTGGTATTAGCTACCGTAACCGATGTGGCAACATCAGCAGGGGGTGGCGTTGAAGGGACCATGGAAATTGTATTAACAAAGGCTTCCAATTGGCCCATTGGACGCAGCATTTGGTCGATTGGCGGAACAGTGGGTGTTGTGGGCTGGGAGAGTTTGGTAAAAGCATCCTTTTAAGTAATTATTTTAGTCAATGATATCGTTATATCATAGTTGTGATTGCTGGTAACCACAATCGTATTAAATACAGCCGAACCACTTGACTGAACTGCGTACAAGAAAGCTTAACTATAAGTCCCACTTGGTCAAAACGAAAATAGTATTATAAAACTAGCATTCAATGAAGGGCACTACTTGAATAAGTACGATTGGTAAATATCATATAACAAGATATTTCTTAAAATCATGTCTCTTAACATTTATGAGTGCTTGCAAATAAATGAACCGTACTTCGAGGAAGTTTACATTAAAAACTTAATATGCATGAATAGCGGAATATTCGTGTATTAAAGCCACCTAGACCAATAGACGTACTTTGGCAGTCTCCTCAGCATCATTCTCTAAGAAGAGTTTCTGTATTCCAGCGAACGATCGGGTACTCGGTAGCGGTTGACCGTCCGATGCTACCCCGATTCGAATCTCTTCCCCAACATCGGCATCTTCCATCACCACATCATCCACCCTTTTCTCTCCCCTATCCTGAACTTCGTCAGTACCACAGGCTAAATCTTCTGACTCCTCCAAAATCGGACGAAATGACGAAGATGTCCGGTTGCTAAGAAAAGGTCGCTGCAATGTGTGCTTTCCAGGAATACCAGGGCTGTAAGAGCCAATCAGGATGTCTTTTGCGGGTTTTTGGTGACCTTCAGCCAGGTTAGAAGGAGGACGCTGTGAAAACATAAAAGAAGTCAAACAGGTCATCTGCACCGGGAAGAGAACGAGCGGACCTGCTCAAGGCAATTACTTACTCTATCGGTAAGAGAACGATAAAAATTGATACAGGGACTTCTTGGAGGCGTGACAGATTCTGTTGTGGCCGTATTATCTTCATCTACATCCTCCTCCTCCTCGTCTGAGCGTTTGGTACCAGAAGAGGAGTCTTCAACCGAACTGTTCGAACCACATTCAGTGGAAGTGCCATTCATGATAGTAGAGGATCTCTCAATACTCCCACTGAGTCGAGGGTCGATATTGTATATTTTACTAAAGGAAAATCGGTCAACTAAAAAAGATACACGCGCACTTTCCATAACAATCGACTGTTGACACGACCAGACAAACTTTCTCAAATCCACGTAAAAACTTGTCTGGACGCGTGTAATGTTTACGTGGTTCGGTTAATAACTCACAAATTCTCTGAATGGTGAAGGGAGTCCTGAAAATATGATATACAAATACAAAAATACCCTTCAAATTGATTAAGTTCTTTGTAAACTCTTTCCCTAAGATCGTTCAATTCAGCAGTTCGGGGCATATTTCGACGCTTATTCTCATCAATGTCTTCAGCAAATTCATCCATGACGTGATTAAACTTTTGTAGAATCAAGGGCTTAACGTGGAACCAGGGAATGCTAAACAATGAAAAAAAACCGGAAACCATACAAAGTGAGTCCATGCTTAGCAATTTCACGAAGGTACTCTTCGAGGATCGGTGATGGAGCCCCATTTACCTCGATTTCAAGATCTAATAAGGGTTATGGCGAAAAATAGAACATACTATTCAAAGCCGACAGAATGCTTTCTCTATTTTCCATATCCAAGAGTGTCATGTGTGCAGGAGACCACACAGCAACAGCAAAATTAGCAATCGACACACAGAATGGTATTTAATAAACCAATAAAAATACTGGTCCGAAAATCATAAAATGTGATGAGCGCTTGGCAAATTAAAACAAAAGATTAAAGTTATATGCCTTTACAGAGATTCGCGAAGTTTTTAGGCAAACGTGCATCTTTTAAAGCATAAAAAAGCACGAATGTCATTGTCGTAAAATTTTCTGGAACCTACTGCCCAAATCGTAATTGTAACAAATTCTTCCTAAAACCGGGAATAAATAATATCGTTTTGTGGCACTATTTTTAATAAGCTTACTTGACATATAAGCTACTCGTGTAAATGGACATGTTTTACAATGGCGTACTTCGTCTCAGAAGTATTTCTTAACGCTTGAATTGGTACAGTGTAGTGCCCCGGTTCTTCCTTGGGCTTCACAACAAGCTAAGACACCGTAAGAGCATACAAATTATTAATGCACAGTAACATGCGTACAAATGCGCATGGAAGGTTTAATGTAGCGTCCCGAGACTTCTCTGAAGATAAAAGAAGAGGCAATACTCGGGCAGACATATATTCAGCACAGAGAAGGCGTTTGGGCTACTGGCATAGTCCGAAGGCCAGCCCACCCAGCAAGGTACGAGAAGGCCAATCCAAAAGCTCAAAAGTGGCACCTTACCAATACAGATGGATAAACTACCATCGTATTACAATAACGTATAGTAAATTCACATTGTCCTCTTCAAAATTGCTGTTTTCTTTTTTATCGCCTACTATCGAAACAGATATCTTCGTCGTTACTGTTGCATTTGACGGATGACAAAAATAAGATGCCGCATAATATAAACGTTTTCTTGGAAAGATATTTAAAGTTTTCAGAGAAATTTGGATCAGCTAGTAGGCAGCGTCCATTGTAAACCCTCCCGAATGTGATGGACTGACTTCTTGAGCTAGCACGTTACTCGCGAAATTGTGTCAACTCCATGGTTTGCTTTTTTCCTTGAGTTTAACCAAACGCAACATATCAGCAGGTTTTTCTTGATAATCCCATTAGGAATTTAGCTAGAATTAAAATCTTTTTTGGACTACTCCTTCCTTTTCGGTGTAAATGCATCACCCTCTTTTTTGTGGTGTGATAAAATCCTATATTTTAATATTTTAGGTGCTACCATTTACCACACTGATACCGCTGTTAATGTCTCCAACATCCAACTTCATGGCTGCATACATTACTCAAAAAGCTCTACCGTTATCCTTTTTTTTCACAGACTTCATCTTTTGCAGTATTTGTAGATGTAAATGTCTGTTTTTTTCTGTTAAACAGTGAGTGCTGATGTAAACACTATGGTGGGGGTGATTTTATTATCGTACATTAATAGGTGCCGCTTAAATTCCGAGTTCTGCAATCAAATTAGAGACAGTAACTAATTTGAAATTCTCAGATAGTTAGTTTAACACTAAGTTTGATTACACGGGCGTGTAAATCTTCGCCGATTGCGCATCTGCCCTGTGGCACGTTTCGCAGGCCATGCCAGTAGCCTTAGATTTTCCATACCTCAATAATGCGTTATTCGCCATAAAATTGTGAATTCGTACGATTTCTAGGAAGACATAGGGCGTTGCTTTGGTGACAGAGGCAAGCAAATCCAACCCTAAAATATAAATATCATAATTTATATGGTGGAATGCCAAGCCCTAACGCGACGAAAGAAGAGTAACTGTGGAGACTTAACAGAAAGGTTGAAACGGCGCCAACCTTAACTTCGGTATCCAATCCAGTCCCGCATTCTGTAGGAATGCTATTAACAACTAAAGTGAGCGACACCAGCCGTGAACTATCCAATAACGTTCGTTATGGAGCTGTGTACGGTACATATATGAAGCTGCCAATTAAGTAAACATGTGGTACCTCCTTCACCTCTTTACTAAGTGAACGGAAACCAGATAGATGAGTGGATTAGCAGCACTGAAGTTACAATTAGGTGGCAGGTAGAAATAGACGCAAAACTTTATCCTTGTGAATTGGTTTAGCCCCTGTCATTTATGAAGAGATCCGGCCTTTAGGTTAGTGTACTTACTACTAGCGCTGCAGACACGAGACGGCCTCTTTGTAGAGCGCCACCCGATCTTGACTAGTACGAGGGCAGTGCGTTTCCCCTTCTCCGATTCAGCTTCTCAGGAGGATGAAACTCCAGATGCAAATGCTGGTGGAAACGCAAATACGGGTCCAGACCCAGTGGAATTGACGAAATACATCTGTGATGTTGTGATCAAGGAATAGAATATCTTCATAGTTTTACACAAATGACGATTGGTGCAACAAGTTGACGGAAGTTGTTTTTTAAGTCTACGTTGTATTGGCCAACGCAGGATGTTGGCGAAAGGTAGTGCCGAAATTGACGCTCAAAAGCCAGCTTTGACAGCTAGTTTAAATCCGCATTTAATTGAATGGGTATCTATATTTCCACAGATTGTATTTTCACTTGGTAGCATGGCCTCAGGACCATGCCAGTAGTTTCAGTTACTCTATACAGTGAGAAGACTCGGGATGTGACATTTCCTTATAGTAAAATACATAGTAAATGATTACTCAGGTCGGAATCAGGCATTGAAGGCCCATATTCCATCTCCATCACTGAGGAATAGGGTGTTTCACCTACTACAGAATCTTCCTGAAGATCAGAATTTGTTAATTCCTTGGCCTTGCACAACTTTTAAATCCTTTAAATTGAACTTAAGAGACTTTAACTGGAAGTTGGAAAGAGATCTGCAACACTGTATTTTTCTTGGTTAGTTTTATGGTTTTATTTTACGTATTGAAATCGTTTATCTACACATCTATAAATTTTAGCAAACTCTTTCACGACTTTAAGCAATGTCTTTTAAAAACGAATGTCGCAAAATGACTAGGCAGCAGGTTTGTTGAAAACTTCGGGATCTCAACGCCCACCTTAACTCCTCGTTCAATGGCCCAACTACCTATTTGAACTTTATTTTAATCAGGCGAGATGGCTGCATCCATAAATATTGCTGAAACGCGAAATCAGGGGATGACTTCCGGAACAATTAGACCAATAAAGTGTTACAGATGTTAATCAACTAAGGCTGTCGTAAAAGATTGTATTCTCCTTAACTTTGCCCAACATATGTTGACTATCCTAGAATTTTCCAGGCCATTTAAACTTAATCGAGAAAAGAATGCACAGAAAAGGGCTGTTTGTGGAACCTATGTAGAAAAATCCTTTTTATGCATAAGTATTCAACCTAAATCCCTCACTAATTGTGCCAAAGCAGATCGGAGAGGTTATGCATTAATTGTTGACTTTATCACAAATATGACGTCTTGTTTATATTTTGCTGTTTCTTAGCGTGCTAAGGAGTGGAGAAATCAACAGATGTACAAGAAAACTGCTCTTTCTCATCCACATGCGGAGTTTTCGGGATAAATTCCTCTCCTGTTTATAGAGCCTTCAACACATTTTAGCGATAAAAGTGCGCGCATCACAAATCTTTTAATACATAAAATTCCACTTAATCAATGCATAAAAGAACGGATTTTTACAAAGATTTTAATACTTTTTATAGTGTCGCCTTATTCTGTGCATGATCTTTGTCTTAGCTAGCCAGGAATCAGCTCGCATTCTTGTAAATACACACCACCAATGCATTTCAGTCAAGCTTTCAATAACAACTTTACACGTACACATTTCTCCGATCAAAAATAAGGGTTAAAATTCCTAATCACACTAGAAACACAAACCGGGGCATTAGTGCAGCTTTGAATGGGACATGGATTCATTGAAAGGTGTCTTCCACGTGAGGATCTGGAACTCGTCCACGTTGAAATTGAGCGTCCATGGACCATCATGCGCGAAATTCATCCAGTAGGAGCCAGTGGTGCAGACTACATGCCAAATTAATCCATACTTGTCGTCGAGATACGCTTTTAGTTTGGAGGTAAACATCTCCATGTTTTCATGCTTCCTGCAGCGATTGAGGATCTCTACAGCCTTGGTGGTTATTTTCACTTGATCTTTATACACCATCCTAGTTGAAATGATGGATACATTGCGCGGAAGCTCCATACGTGTGGAACGAACCCCCTTGCCTGCCATAATCCAGGCTAATTCGTGATTTTGACCCAACTAGTGCGACCTTGACAAACCTGCCTCTAATTAAATCACCTGTAAGGGCCTATCCTACCACTTGTAGAAGGATTTTGTGATGCTAATTGCAAATATGCGGAGTTAGCATGCAGAGCTCAAACGCAATCGCCATCCATGCGTAAACAAAATCAATGTGTTTGTGAATCTAATGCAATTTTCTATCCCTATTTATACAGACACTGTATTTATTTAAAGACTAAGGGTATTTAGAGGTTCCACGTACTTAAAAACATCCCCGACTTCTAAAATTCCTAAAAGTGAAGCATGACGAAGGGAAGATTTAGCAATGAAATTTCAGTATTTCCTCTTTCGAGGAAAGAGTACTGCGCAATATGTAATTTAAAGGATATAGAAATCTATCAATTAACTTAAAAAATTATGAGAAAATTAGCTAGGGACTTTAGAAATAGTTGTAATTGTTTAAAATTTTGCTTAACTATGCGCATAACTACACGAGTACTTGAACCCTAATGAAATTTAGTTTCCACTTGGCGGCATGGTCACTGGACCATGTCGGTAGCCCTTTAGTCCTCCGATACGTCAGCGAGACTCAGAGCGCCACATTGGTGGCAGCAGCAAGCGAACCTGATCCTAATGGGCGGCTATCCTGATTTCTAGCGCTGAATGCTAAACCGAAAGTGGTAGCAGAAGAAAGATGCCTATCGTTGATGGAAGAACCTGTGAAGGCTCTTAATAGGAGGGTTTTAAATGAAGTCAACTTCAACTTCGGTGACTACCGGCCCTGTGTTCTGTAGGAATACTATTAATGACTGTAGAGAGCGACGCCAGCAGTAAACTACCTGGAAAAGCTTCTTCCGGAGGTCCTTATGGTACTTTTATGAAGATGTCAATCAAGTCAACTGGCAATACCTCCCCCACCTCTCTATTAACTGAATGGAACCCGGATAGATACGTGGGTGAGCACCAAAGAGGCCATAAAGAGTAGCCAAGAAACATAATCCCCATGAGAGTATTCTAAAATCCGCCTTTAACAAAATGTATCTGCTTTTGGGCCAGTGTCCATACGACTAGCAATGTGCAAACGAGATGGCCTCTTTGTAGAGCATCGCCTGGTAGCCAGCACCATGAGAACACCGCATCGTCTCTATCTCAGTACAGTTCTACAACAGGAGGAAATCCAAGATAGAGATGTAGACACAGATGTATAACCAAACCCAGTGGAATTACCGAAATGAATCTGTAACTTTAAGTTCAAGAGATTAAACATTCGCTCAGTTGTAGGCAAATTCGATCGCTGGCGAGGCTGGTTAGCCAGTAGTTTTTTGAGCAACAACTACGCTTTGGTGGCCGATGCGATAGGGTGACTAAGAGCAGAGCCAAGGACGACGCTTAAGATACTAGAGGCGCTATATAATGCCTCAGATTTGTTCAATACTGTGGTTAAGTCTCCGCATATTGTACTCCCGTTCGAGGCTATGCTCCAGGGGCCATATCAGTAGGTTCTAAGTTCTCTTACTCTCTTATGCAGCGTCATTTAAGCAGCTGGGTGGCGCACTCATTAGAGTTATGGTCATGATGCACCTTAGAGCAGGCTAATCAAGTCACCTTCCTCATTCTTTCCTCCCACTCAACCGTTACTCTTGAGCTTTCGCATATCATTTTCAAGGGCCTTTCCGACTTCGTGGGATTGAAGCAGCCTCCATTCACTGCACCCATGTGCGATTTCTACCCTACATTGGTCCCCGACTGGGCACACTTAGAGAAATATCTTTATCCGGAAAAAGTCTTTCCCTTCAAAGCTAATCCATTCCAATCGAGGTTATACGTTTCCTAACTATCTCTACTCTGTGGTGGCACACGTACAAAGTAGAGTTTCAGACAGTGTGCCACAAGGCTGCCACCTTAGTTTCTTATTTGTCACGGGAAAATAAAGAAGTATGTTTGAAAAACCTGGCAGCTGGTTCGGTTTATGTAAAATCTACATAATCCTTCCACTGACTAAAAAATTCTTCTTCAATCATTGATTTTATTTTCAACTAAATAATAAATAGTATGCCTAAACCATGAATGCAAAATCGAGTGTTGGGTCCATTTATACTCTTCCAAAACATTCTTCATAACCCACGCTTCACTACTCCAAATTAACTTAAAAGACCTTTTATTTATTCAAAAATTGGACTTCGATGAGACGAATGTACATTATTCATGGTTTTGGGAACTAGATTTCTCTACTTTCTGCTGATCCGTTTGGCGAGCATGTTGAAACAATTTATCACTCCATAATTCTTGTCATCTCTTATTTGAAGAAGCAACAAGAAGTAGAATTGTGGCAATTATTATCAGATCGATATCATTATTTAAATTCGAAAATAAAAACCTGTGTCAGTGATGGTTGCCATGCTTCTTTAGTTTGCTTAAATCTGCATTCGATTACGCAGGTGCTAAAGTCGGCAGATTGTGCTTCCGCTCTCCAGCATGGTCTTCAGGTTGTTTCCAATACTTTCTCTCAAACTGCTACGAATTCTATGATCCGCTAAATACTCTTCAGTGGGAGATATGAGCAATTTAGTAATGTCCTATTCTTAGCTTCGAACCTTTAACATTTTATTCGTAATTTTATAATACTCCGATTGTTGAGCACTACGTTTGGCTTACAGGGGCGCTTAAGGCTCCTCTATTGCACTTTGCTAGGTGGCCTGGCACCCAAGCTATGTCGGCAACCTCTCAGCCTTTCTACACGTCAGTAATATATTTTCTGTCCTAGCATTATGGCTTCTTCCAACACTGCAATTCAATCATGGCTAAATTTGCGTTTTCGCTCATCTTTAATAAGGCGTTTCTAGTGCCCGATTGGACAAAAGTTGGTCACTTTACTTCACCATACCGAAGGGTGAATTCCTAGTAATGTAAACAGGCCTCCATGCTGTTTCCAACCTATTCAAGATAGTGGCCGTGAGGCATTTTGCATCCTACCTTATTGGAAGGAGTAGCAAAGTTCAAAGTGGAATAAAAGCGCATCAAATACTATCCATTAAATGATAGTTTGCCAAAATTTTTTAGCCACACAGTCATGCAAAGGAAAAAATGTTGTGAAGTTGGAACGATTAAGTTCTAACCAGCAGGTGTACGCCACAGGAGGTACACATATGATCCAAGTTGGAATTGAAGGGAGCAGTCGATCTCATGTGAATAGTGCATCCAGTAGGCACCACGTATGAGAAGAACATGCCAGGCCCGTCCATACCGCGAATCTAACCATCGCTTTAAATCAGCCACCATTTGTGCCTCATTAAACTTTGAGTCGCTACTGCTGCTGCTACCGCTGCCACTAGAGGCAAAGTGGCAAATCTGTCCTATGATCTCCGATTGACGTTCAGTTGGCATGCTGGCCGAGATGACTCGAATTTTGGGATTCTTCAGCCCCGAGTAGTTCTGCATTTCAGAGCTACCCAATAGCAAAGATCTGGAGCAGCGCCTTTGTGTGTATGTGTGAATAGAAGCAATCTATTAGCAGGGTTTCGCATAAATTGGGCGTTGCAAACTCCCATCAGCTCAAATATCGTAGACCACTTTAATTTTATCAAGCTTGAAACGCCACTTTTAACGTTACTTTAAAGCTTAAAGCGGGATCTTCTTTTTCAGAATCCAGAATTTTTTGCCCAGGTTTGGTGGAATAAACACTACACTTTCTTGACTTCCTACATCAACATAAAAATATTCACCAGTTTAAATTTACACGACATTATATATGAAAGAGCTATTTATATCAATACAAGAAAAATAGTTAAAATTGCACCTCATCAGTACTATCAAAGTTTGCTTGAATTTGGCACAGTCGAGTTAATAACAGATATTCGAATGCCCGACAGGACAGTAATGTAGGTTAATATGATTACGATTTACGCCGTTTAATTTCTTTTATTCGTCATAAGTGTAGTGATTTGGTGTCTTGTTTAAACACGCAGACACTTCAGCCCTCTCAGGTCTTCTGTATATTAGTAATATCTGTTCTTCCATACCAATTTGGCTGGTCATGACTTCATCAAAGGCTTGAAAACCTAAGCAAGTGGTGTAATGGGAAAAGAGAAACACTAAAACATGATCATTACGATGAAATTGGTCTCCAAGGTGTTACAGGTAAGGCAAAAGAAGGGGGCTTCTTCGTAGGCTCTGGGAATTAATTAAAACAAAAGGGTTTCTTAAAATCTACGAAAGTGAGTTATGCGCAGACCATAAAAGAGAAGTTTTATTTGGAAATAAAGCTCACTAAAGTAGAATTACTTGCTAAACGCAACTAAAGACCCTTTAAAATGAGCAAAATGTCAACTTGACAATAATATTTCCTTTTCAAAATGCCCATGGAATTCAAACAGTGGTTATGTAGAGCCCGAGTCTTTCCTGGATTCCTAAGAAGTCGCAGTGGCATGGCAGAAAAGGCATTAATGACGTACAGAAGAGCTGAGAAACTACTGCCATGCCCCAGATGTCATGCAGCCGAGTAGAAGCACAACCTGCGGTGACTCAAGTGCCCACACAGTCGAATGCAGAGTTTGACAAATTGACTTCCACACAGCCCCATTGCCTTTGGTCCGTACCAGAAACTTCACCTCTACTATACGTCAGCAAAACATTTCCTATCATACAGTCACATATCCTTCGACTTTAGGGAAGACTAGTAGCACCGCAATGACCAATGTGATGCTATAAAAGACCCAAGGTGATTTCGACTTTATAAGCCAAAATATTAAAAATTTTCAATTGATTAATCAACATTAGAAATGCAAACCTATAAAATGAAGAGACATGGCCCCTCCTTTCTACTTCAAGAAATTTGTAAGCAACTTAAATGTCATAAAGCTGATTTACCTGACCACACTCCTTAGATATTTGACATGGCTGGACAAGTTTGCAGACGTCTTTGATGGAAAATTTTTGAATATTTTCCTTCCTGTCTGTTCTTATTTATGCATCCTAGTGATAATTTCACTATCGGGCAATTCCTCGTCACCTTTAAATTACAGATTACGGCGAGAAAAACCGGTTGATAAATTAAGAATTCTAGCAACACTTTCCTGAAAGGTATACTACTTTCTCCATAACTCCGGAGGTCTTGTGCGTTTATTAAGTGAAGATTAAACAGGAATTTCATTTGACAGTCCAATTGTCGACTGGGTTATTAAGCATAATCTACATTAAGGTAATGCCAGGTGGGCCTTATCGTCGACTGGCAATTTATGAGGCGCATTGAAGTTCGGCGACCCTTTTAAAATGAGAAACTGGAAACGTATTACCAAAGTGAAACATTTTCACAACCCTCAATAAGCCCGAAATTTTAGTTTAGCAAGAGAAAGTGCTGAAAAGTGTTTAGTTCATATCAAAGCAAGTTTTAAATTTGCGTGTTGGTTGAAAAGGTTTGAATACTGGAGTCTCGTGTTCGCTCGATTCGGCTATTAGTGAAGGTTAGTAACAATTTAAATGAACATCTACAGATCTGCTTGCTTTAAGAATTTACAGTATTCTGTAAAACCTGCTTTGTAACTAACATTAATCGCACATCAGTAATTCATTTTGTGTTGGAGAAAACGTGTACTAAGGAGTTAAGTGCTGCTTCCTGCCATGGGTATTATTGGCATATAATCGCCTTCCCAGACATCCTAGATGGTATGACATTATTTACAAAGTCAGAGTTACTATGGTCTACCTAGACTCAAATACACAATGGACGAAAATTGCAAATTCAAAAGTGATGAAATCAGGCGCTTTTGTTACCTGTAACCACGCAACTAAACATTGTGAGAAATGAACAACGCATCGACTACTTGCTAAAAGGTATTTAGTAATAATGCGCTTATCTTAAAATATCCTCCCAATTCACATAATTCATGTAATCAGGTAGGAAATGCGTACACAATCCCATGTAATTAGCAGTGCAAAAATAAATCCGAATGGCCTTTAGGACGTAGGACAAAGTATTTGTCAATATATTGAATGTTTCGCCATTCAAATCAACTCTTTCTTGCAATACTTTTAAATTAATGTCCTTAAATACCATGGAGCTCAAAGTGATTGAATGTGATTTAAGATCTATAAGTAGTCAAATAGTAAGGCAGAAGGAGGCGTAAGGACGTTGCAGATTTTCGTATCCATTTATTTCTACTAGAAGGCCATAAAAAGAAAACTGTCACGCGGTTGTAGTCTACTTGGAATGAAGACCGTGATTTTTTGCGTCGTTAACGCGATTGGCGCAAAATTTTGAGTCGACCGCCAATACTTACTCAGAATTTACACGGTAACCTTTGGGTGAGCGAATACTGATATTGTGTAGTTCATCATATGAATGAGGTAGCCGGAGAACATTCGTTTTCCACTCGTTTGATAACATCAATTATTGATCCTTTTTACGGAACATTAACTTAGGATATCCTTAAATTTTGCATACTATTGAGCAGGAGAATTTTAGAAATAATAAGCACAAAGGCACCTTACTTGTCATCTTCTAGCAGACCAAGTTTTTCCCGATATAACTTCATAGTTATAAAGCCACCTTCAGAAGGCTCAAACAGCTTGACCCATGACTAAAGGGAATGAAAACAATCACCTTTAATGTTGAACACCTTTATTATTTTCCGTCGATCCCTGTTACATTTCTTCATTGACAAATAGAGAAATAGACTACCTACACTTTTGTGATGCAAGCAGTAAAATAAATGCTTTATGACACGTACAGAACAATTCGTTAAAAATATTCTTGGTGAAAAATTCTAGGTCTTTCTCTATTACTTCTCACTTGCAATGGTTCATAGAAGAATTTTCATGGTCAGGTAAAGTGGGGCGAGGTGTTGAAAATTATGATTTTGTGCATGAGTGCATATTTTGGTACAAGTAATACGAAGTGATTTTTTTTTTTGCAAAAGCTACTTCCATACATGGCCTTAAATTTCTGCTTTTCCCAAACACCAATCTGAATTTATCAAGTGCAATGACGTTAGCAAGGTTGACCTGGTATTTTGAGGTTTTTGAACAGGGTAAAATCGTAATATTTGCATATTCAAAGTGACTTGTTTCACGGCTTAGTGAAAAGAAATCATCTGAATGCATTAATGATTGTACTAAGAAGTTTGCCCTTAACTTCATGAACCAGTCGTGGCTTTCCTAGTCTCCAAAATCCATCCTTTGGTAAAAGACCCGAATGTGGCCACCCTTTGTAACGTATCAAGGTATTTTTAATAAACTTTGTCATTGATTCTATCATACAAACCTAGGTTTTAAAACGTAGAAGTGGTTAAAATTCCTTCCACAATTATTTATTTCGATTGGACACTCTTGTTCAGTTTATCCACATGAACTGAAAGTCTCTCTCATCCAGATTGCATTCATCACGGTGCATGAGAATTAATGGATGAGTTGTGAGCTCGTTTGCAACAAACCCTATGTCTAAATGTTAGCTTTAATTCTTCAGCTAAACGGGAGAAAAAGTATTTTACTTACAACAAAAGAAGTCTAGCTATAATGCTTCACTTCGATTCAAGCGTAAAGAGCTAGTTCATATCTTTGATACTTTCAGGGCGTGAATTCGATGGTTGATAAAGCGGCAATTTCAATATATCATGTCATAAAATAAGCCCTACGCTAACAAAAGTAGGCTGGAAAGTAATCTTTCAATAAATCGAATCAAATGAATGTCTTCATCTGAGATATTAGACTTACTCGCACGAGTGTGTCATCCTCAATGTCGTTCTTTTGTACAAAGTCCTCCAAATCCGCTCTGGTTATGATGCCGTCACTGTCAGTGTCAATCTCGTAGAAGGCTTGTGTGAATGGGTCGACTTCAACCAACTCCAAGGTATTTCCGCCACCCTGATGCATTTCTGCAGACGATGGAACCAACTGGCCGTGTTTGCGTGTAGGTGTCGGGAATGATTACTACGGTGCAGACGAATGCGCAGGTAACGATCTACCTTAACCTCACCATGGACTTATGGTTCTAAAGCTATTGGACACTGCCAATGTGGCACATCAGCATAATCTTTGGATCAAATCAATTTTTATTTTAAAGTGTCAAGAGAATTAATCAAAGTTGAGGGTAATTGGCTAAATTTCAGCACCCAGTTAAATTAACAAGACTTTTGAAAAGAATAAAAAACTACCCCTGGGTAAGGCTGTCTACTAAATACAGCATGACATTTCGGTTGCTCGCTCAAATTTTCCTTTTGCTTAAGCGGGTGCTTAAGTCTCAGTCACTGTACTTCCACTGTGAGGCATGGCCCTTGTCCATGCCAGCAACCCCTTAGCTCCTCTGTACGTTGGCAATACATTCTCAGTCCAAGTGTTTAAATTCTTTAGACTTCAGACTTTACCATTTAGCATTTTGGAAAAAGATCCAGATTAATTTAAAATTACTGCTTTCGTGTCACATGATTTAACCGGTTGGGATGATGAAATTGTGACCTTTATGAACAACCTGATATCAGTGAACATGCAGTTTAGTGAATCACACTAAATATGTAAATTAAAAAGCAAGTGGAATTTAAACTAATCTTATGTATTTGCATTCAGAGTGGAGGTTCTTCAAGCCCCATTCACCGGGGCTAATGACACTGTCCAATCCCTTTATATTGGGCAAAAACAGGAAGACAAATGCAGGGAAACGTTAACTGCTGAGTGCTTTGTATCGACGCCTCGTGCTTCTCCAGAGTAGTATGTGAAAAATCTATGGAAATCAGGAGGCAATTCAACCGATGTGCCAATGCAAATAGGTGATAATGAAGGCGCATCAACGAGAAGCGCACTTCTTTCTGAGTAATGGCCAAGTGATTTCAGCATCCTTTCTCTGCACTATTTTTGTGATTTTTAATTTAAAAAATGCAAATTGATCCCAGCTGACCTAAATAAACAACAAACTTGTTTATAACTTCATGCCACGCGTATCATTAGAATTAGGCAGAGCTATTTTTTTACTCTTTTTAAACTAATATGATTACTCCTATGAGTTTGAGCACAAGGCTCTCAGATTCACAAGAATGTAGAACCTTTAGGATGATTAAATCCACGAGAAGGAATGGAAGAGGCTTGTTTTGGTCCTTCGACAATCTATAAGGTGGAACAGGATAGGCTTTCGCTTTGGTAGTTGTATGAGCTATATTAGTCCCAGCCTGTCCAATAGGAGGAGCAAAAAGGCACAACAAGACTCTTGATTGCCTTTATCAATGGCATTCTTTACCTTCAGCTGATTCAGAAACCTGTCAAGCATTTTAGTTTGTCGAGTTAAAGTTCTGTGCTGTCGCGAACACTTCAGATGATCATGTACAAGAACGTGTGTTAAAAATCGCCTACAGTAGAGGTGGCTGCTCTACTCCTTGACTTAGAATAGCAATACGACTGGTCCAGAGCGTAAGTTACTACTACATACTCGATTTAAATTCCGCAGCTATTGTTTATTTGCTTATGGACTCAAACTACTGTCTATTTAGCAGTTAACAGACCTAAATTTAATTTAAATTTCGATTTCTTTGCTCCCCATTTATCCATCTACGTTTAACACACTCTCTCTAGATCTATCGGAATGTGTATAGGAAATAAAAGAAGCAACCCGCTCGTCTACAACACTACTTCTGCTATTGTCCATGATTTTGCTTGGAAAACAAATCGTGTAGCAGGCTACGGATCAAGTGACAGCTATGCAGAAACGGAACCTCTGTGCTGTCTATTAAGTCAAAATATTTGGTATGCACTGAATTCTCATTCCTTTCCTGTTCGTCTAAGTAAACACATCAGTGCGCACTCGGTGGCGGAGTTTGTCGTACCTACAAAATTCCGTGTTTAAGCTGACTGGCCACCTTAGGATCGCAGGAATGTTGTTGCTGGGTCGAAGCCTCGGGTCTTAGTCATCGTCAAATCGCGCATTTGGTAGAAAACTACACCGCAACGTCGCATGAAGAAAACTACATAAAGGCGATTTCTTTGTAAAATTCTCAAATATTTGCAGTATTCGTCGACTTTGAGAGCTGATAAGTGGTCAGTAGCATGTTTGAAGTTCAGGTTCAAATAATGAGTTCTATGAAGAGTTATTTTTAATGAAAGTAAATTTTATCAACATTTGAAAAGCATAGAGAAGTCTTTATAAGTGCTCAAAGTTCTTTTTACAAAGATAATAACTTTGTAATCCTCCGAGTCTTCCATGAAGTCGTAAGAAATCGTTAGAAGAGCTGAGGCTACAGGCACTGTCCGGAGGCCATGTTGACGAGCGAAGGTACAATCTGCAGCCACTCAAGTGCCCGCCTACTCGAATGCAGATTTGAACAAAATGGCAAGGCACTTCATAGCCACTCTCTTCGTTTAAAGTTCTCTTCAGCGCTCCCTTTGGTCAAACTTCCGCGTCGGCCATCACAACGCTGTCTGCGCTTTAAAAAATACACCTACAAATTGGCCACGTCAGTCATTGAAGCTGTATGCATCTGAGAAGATATTTGATTCAAAGGTCTCTCTTATGCCTCGGCAATTCCACTGCGTATGCACCAGCACCTAAATTTAGAGTTTTGCCCCATTGGGGAGCTATATTGGGGAAGGCAATGCGCTGCCCTCATACTGCTGGAGATATGATGATGTTCCTCAATGAGGCAATAGTAGTTTGCTAAACCTGGAAAACTGCGATGGCCAATTCCTGGCACGTTTTATGCGGTCTTCTGTCATCTCCATCCCGTTTGGCAGGACATTACTTCTCCAAAAGGTTATCGGGAGCTGTAGGAATTGTCACTTCTTTGGATCCAGTGTCAAACCTGATTTTCGTGGACACTGACACTTATTTATGATTGGCATTATGTTCGCAAACGCCTATTGAAAATGAGTTTGTCGTACAGGCACACTGTACTATGTTGGCAAAATCTCATTCAGTGCTAATTGCATAAGCCGTTCAGAAGTTGCCGAAGCAACACAGCATTTGGAATTCATGAAGCCTACTAGGCATTTGGAATGCCATATTGGATCTCTCTTTTGGGTACCTCCACTGCAAAATATCCCATTTTTAACTTCTACATGGAGATGAGGTAAGGCAAGGGAACTCCTTTTCCATTGCTGACTTTATCCTTCCAGAATCAAAGCGCAGACGAAGGCTTGCATCTCTCTTTAGAGGAGCTATCAGTAAAGCCCATGCTAACTAGAGAGGCCCTGTGATCTCTTTGAGCGCCTAGCCAACTAGACTCACAGGGGGTTGTATGCGTTCTGTTATAGCCTGGGGTATCCGCGTGCGTGTAGCCTAGATCTTACAGGGCTCCCAGCCAAATAAGTAGAAGGTAAAGACTTCAGAGAAGATACCTCCATTCTGTGGTGTACATAAGTAAGCAGAGTTGTGATTTGCGTGTACCAGTCTGCCGGCCGACTAGTGACTAAACGGCTTAAAGGGCATCCAACGCTGATAAATAGCCAATCAGGGAGTAGTGGGCAAGATCACTATTCCTGAAATGTTTGGGAATCAGCCACACAAAAATTGAAACATTTAAGAAGTGGAAGTATTTTTCTGGATTTTTATATATCTCCAGCACGTTTAATTTACAATGCTACCCCCAAAATTTAGAACTTTACACCGTTAAAATATTCATGAACATAGTCGAGAACTTTCAAAGTTTTGCTTTCAGGTTGTCAGTAATGTAAATAAGCTGTTGACAAAGATTTTTAGGGTGTTGCTAGGCATCACTGTGGTTCTGAATGGTAAAAGAAATTCTATGGTGAATAGAGAAGGTGCCTTTAACAAAGTATAAAATACCGTTGATGTTACGGCAAAAATAATCCCCAGAGTCCACTGCTCAAGATAACTCTGGACGTATAAGGGACTTTACTATTCAGGTTTTTTTTGCCTATGGTAAGGTGCAGCAATGTTTCATCATCCACTGACATCTCCTTTCCGTCTGCTGACCGGACAGGAGAGCTACAAGATTTACTATTGATCTAAACACACTAAAGTATAGAAGGGAAATGGATGATATTCCTGACTTGCCTAGGATTTGTAGGTATAACTGGAAGTCGTCTAGAAGCAAGAATTGTAGGTAAAACTAGGGCTCACATAAAGTTTAGGTGTGATGCAGACGTACTTGGTCGAATGGTAATGCATTTGGTGGACCTTTGCTGTGGCTATGCCAGGAGTAGTAGCCAACTCCTGTCATCCTTCTGCTGTGAACTTTAACTTACTGCTAGAGTTGGGTTCTGTGCCTCAGAGTTCGCTTACCCTAATGTGCGGACGAAATTCGTTTCTAAATCAGGCTACTATCTATTCATCGACTCAATCCTGTTGATGACAAGTAGCTAAAGCCTCATTTTGCAAGGTCTTGAAGGCCCCTTGCATAATCCTCGTTACCTTCTCCTATCATTCAGTTGAGATTAAAGAAAGCTCTGACCATTACCTTTTTCTTTTGAAAGGCAACGCGTTGACTCAGTGTGGTGCAGCATTTCCCAAACTCATTATCCTGTACTGTGTTGGCTTTCACTGAAGTCGAGAAAGGGTCTTAGGGGCGTCTAAACAAGGCCTGTTATTTTTTGACTGGGCGCAGAACTAGAGCTAAAATCTGGAGCGTTCGAGTCAGCTGTCAAAGGCCATGCCTGCAGTGAAAAGAAAAGGCCAACCAGCACCGCTATCAGAACGTTTTCGCCGTTTTCCATTCTACTTCTGATTTCAGACTTCCGGATCATGAGGGCTGGTCAGGAGAAGACCCTATTGTGAAGCGTAGGATTACGCAAACGACCTAAGTCCTATGGAAACTCAAAAGTTGTCGCCTCCCTGGGTATTATTGACATTTCGTCCATCAAGAAACTAGTTCGGTCTGCCAAGGTGCAACGAAATAGGCATTTACAAACATTTTTTTAGGTATATTTGCAGATATAAGAGGACGTTAACTCTTATTCTACTAAACAATATGAGCTCCTCATTTCTAGCAATTATGATTCACACCTCTTTGTTGTAGGGTTTCGGTCACATCATTTCTTGTAGTAAAATGCCAATCCCTCTAAAGCCTCATAAGTGGAAGTGCCTATGCAATTACACGGAAAAAGCAGCCCTGATTTTGCTTTTTATTATTATCGTGAGGAATTGACAGCTCGATTAACTCAGCACCCTATTAGGTAAGCAATTAAATCACCCCCACTTTACACTTCCCCTCAACGGTTTGGCCTTCACTCCATGTCCGTAGCCTCCGCTCCTCGACACGCTAGTAACACTTTCCCCGCCATGTTAATGTCTTCTTACGGCTTCGGAAAAGAGTAGAGCGGAGGGCCAAAATCTGTTGCAACGTCGAGAGAAGAAATGATTTGTATAACTAAAAGTGAGGAATTTTAGAAAAATTTCTAGTGCTTGGTGAAAGGGAAAGTAAAAGTTGGTGATATGATATAAAACAAGCAAGGACTTTACAAGAAGACTATATTTATTTGCACAATATATTCACCAGCACAAACGTCCCAACCAGTGCGGTTTCTACTATATTTCTAGCGCGGATTCGTTTTTTTTGGCGGTCAAAATTTCTTTTATGCAAGTATTATAAGGTGGGCACCATAAAGGTTACAAAAATAGAGGAAAAAAGAAGCAACATGGTTGCAAAAAAATACCTGAAAATACCTAACATCAAAATCCGATATTATGAAAGTGGGATAATGTCCTGTAGCCTCGCACGTGAGTTAAAAATAGTCCTTCCTAAAGAAATGAGTTAAATGAAGCTACAAAGTGAGGGACAAAGCTCCTTGAATTCATGAATATAATATGCGCTTACATAGTTTCAGCTGTGTTCAATATTTTTACCCCTTTAACGAGATTCCGTCCATAAAATAAACGCACTAAACATATTAGTGCAAAATAGTTTGGCCACTCTAAGTTGAACTGGCATCCAACATTATTTGCAATTTTGGCTTTTCATAGCTTGATGCTACCTTAACTATTTACTTTGTAGACATTAGCCTTAGCTCATAAATTCACGACAATAATTTATAAACCGTGCTTTGTTTAAGTCCTCCACATAACTCGCGAGTATTCGGATTTGATGCTTGCTGCATACTTTGTGTTCTACCTTGAAGTTCCCCTGAATACATATTTGGTGCTGTTTGCGTGTTGAGTAATCCAGGTAGCGTACAATTTGGGCTGTAGTGGAGGACCTATGCCAGTAACTCCTAAGACAACTGATCTATCAAATAATTTGCCCAAATCTGCAACAAACGACTCAATGTCGGGGACCGACGACCAAACTCATAAGTCAGATGATCATCCCGATGGAACCTCCTTACCGAGTAGTGAATTACTGTGTCCGTGCAAATTCAATAAACCCGTTTGTTCTCTTGGATGCCAGCAAGCAAGTAGATATTCTATTAACGCTTCCATCTGTTGATTTTAGGGTTATTTAGCTCTCCAGACACATGTGCACGTTGTATTGATCGTCTACATGCGATACTACATGCAGCAGCTAGCGTAAGTCGGTATAGCGATTCCAGAGATCTTTATAGGAATTATCCATTCTACGAACGGAGAATATGGAACTGAAACAGTTATTGGAATCTAAAAGGAAAGCTCTTTCCATATTTCAAAGAGAAGTGAATTTGTTTGTTTGCGATTTAGGGCATATATATATTCGTGTGCTAGTTATGTGCCTTTGTGTTTGTCACTCTAGCTGAATGTATTAGAATCTAATGGTAGCACAGGCGCCAAGATGCCTAATTCTCAGGAGCTTGAATTGAAACAGGTATGCAAAACTTGCCTCATTTTCATAAGCCTTTTACGCATATGACCGTTATTTTAATGAAAATTTAGGAGAACGAACGTCTGTCTGGTGAACTGGCACTCGCTCGAGGCAGATTAGACAGTTTAAAAATTGCTTGGGAAGACTGTTTTAAACGGTACAGAGGAGTTTCCGATCTATGCTTCTTAATGCTTTATCGTATGCTTTTATGGGTGCAGTCTATTTTGGAATTTCATTTGCATTATTTCACTTATATGTCTCCTACAAGAGTTATTTTTGCTTTAAGTTTCAGGAAATTTTCATCTCACACTTTAATTTGTCGTTTAGATTGAAAGACGAAAATGAAAAGCTGCACAAAACCGTTTCTGAGCTTCAGTTAGCTCCAAAAGAATCAAAAATGGGCCTTATGAGTAAGTTTTCACCATGTGTGATATATAAGGGTTAATTTTCTCTGATATAATGTGTCCTTTTAATAATAAATTTATTTGAAAAAGTTTAATGTGGATTTTGTGAAGAGCAAAAGCGATGACTAGTAGCACTGAAAATAACGGGTTCCCTAAAGTTTTCAGCAAAGGATTGATGGAGTTTTCTTTGTTAAAATGGTAGTACAACTTTAGAGGGCTTTTCATAGCTTCAGTCTAAAGCGATGTTGACTCTGAGCAATCAAAAATATTGTTGACCCACTGCACGTTGCACCAGATCTTGTGCCGAAATTCGTGTTCTATTAGGCAGTTTAAGCAACTCTATTGCGGGGTTGAGCTAACTCTAACATTATTTCTACCAGATGCTTGGTGCCATACGTGAATCATGCATCGTTAAAATGCATCACACATCGAAAAATTCGTAATCACACAAATCGTTGCTTCAAAACACTGAGATCACGACGCAGATTGATTCGGAGGTATTGCAGTTTTTAGAGAAGTACTTGGTTTGCAAATCAACGCGGTGAATTTGATTCCAGAAGTTCGTATGGGTATTTGCCGTGTGGGCCTATCATTTTTTCCTTGACAAATGTTAAACTCATGTCTTGTAACTAACCTTTGAAACTTATTCGAACATTTGGAAATAAAATAGTTGAAAGGACTAATTTCACTTAACATATTTCAAATATCCAAAATTAAAATGTCCTTCAGAAGAGCAACTTGACGTATCTTGAGTAAAAAATCCTAAAATAGAGCGTAAATTGGTGTTTGTCAAAAGTTCATTATTTACTCATTCACTTTCAAGGTAAATCTGAGGTCACCTCTTCAGAATTAAAACAGGTAAATGCCTCCTCTATGCTGCCAAATGGGGATGAAGGAGGCGCCAAGCTACCGCTCGAGAGCTCAGCAAAAGAACCTGTTAAGTGCAGATGCTCTCATTCACTTCAAGTTGATCATCTTAAGAGATGTATTGAAGAGCTAAAGGCAAATGTAAGACACGCATTGTTTATCAGTTCTGCTACCTTCTAAAATACGTAGGACGTTGCGTTATTAGTTTATGTATTCTTATGCCTTGAAATTTTACTGGTGGGTGAGCATCACTGAATTAAAACTACAGGAGATGAGTCAACGGGATCGTGCGGATGATCTGAGTATCTCCTTGGAAGCATACAAAATGGCTCTTGAAAAACAGTTTAACGAAAGCAGAAAGTTCATCAAACACCTCTCAAAACTGTTGGGAAATTCATCTACATCTGAAGAAGGTATATTGCTCTTTTATCTAATGCTCCATCATTTCATGGATCATGGGTAGGTTTTTCATCTTTAAGCTATTCTATATCTACTGCCTCAAGGGAACTTGTTTTTACTCAACCAATGCAATATTTTGCCGATTAACCCCTTTTTCGTTACCCTAATCTTAGTTTGTTTTGCTCCACCAATAGCGGAGAATTATTGCACAAATCCCATCTCGTTATCCGATTATTTATTTAATAGTCACCACCTAGTTGTAATAACGGCAATATCTTAGAGCAGTAAAAATTGAGTACACATAAGAACATGATGTAATCCATCGGTAATTTCTTCTCCCCCTAGGTGCTATATCACGGCTGATAGCTCCAAGAAAACTGTAGAAAGCAAAGGAATACTATGCCTCATTTTCGCCTCGTTTTGTCAGAATTAATGGCTTGATTTGTAGCGGATTTTTGCGAATTTTCCTCGGTATTTATTTGCATTTTAAGTACGGAGCACTCAGCACAACTGGATTTTGATATTATTTCTTTTAATGTGCTTCAAAAATCCAACCAGTGAAATCACGCCTAGTGCCTTTAAAAATGTACTTCACCTATGTAATACCTTATGTAAAATGCAGAATCTCAATCAAACCCTAGCAGGTACTGCCCGTCTTATTTGGCACTAGGCTTTCGGCGTTTGACTCATTTTTTGAGTATGCTATATGTAAATGCGTATACACACGTGTTGTTGAAGCCAAACAAGATCTAGTGTACTTTATTCATGGCGTCGTATGTGAAATATGGCTTGATTGAAAAGGTTAAACGTGCGTGTGCTCCTATTTATCTTCAGCAAAATCCACAGAAACCCTGGATTCTGCGCTAAGCGATGAGTTGACTCACTGGATTGAGCAGGCACTGAAATCCGCAGTGCATGAGAGTGGGAATCGTATTCAACTCAGAAATGGCGATTCTCACCCAAGCAGTGATGTCTTTTCCCCCTCATCCTCTCCTTTAATTGCTCCCCATTCACCTCCCAAAGAAGTCTTATCTGTCGATAAGCAGTATCGTAGGCACCCTGTAAACGATCGGGTAAGTTAACTCTTTCTGGTTTTCAGAAAGCCTAATTTGTTCCCCTCTCCATTCTTTAAATTATTGCTCTTTAATGGGCAGTTTTAAGCACTTTTGCTAAATGGAACTTCTAATCCCGATTTTAAGTAATTCCAAATGATAGGCAGTGGAGCGATCAAGCATTTAAACAGCTCTCTTGAGAGCATTAACCATCACAGTACTTGACTGCTATACTCCGTTAACAATGTGTGAATATGATTGATAAACAGAGAGCTAAAATTTTGTCTAGTGCATTTTTCACGGCTTGAGAGGAGTGAATAGGTGATGTTCATTCGATACAATATCCGATGATTACATTGATGGGAGGATAGCATAGTTTTGTTCGATCAATTTTTTTGTACCTTTGATGCACGAATTTGCATCGTGGTAATTTGATCTATTTTGCCCAATGGTTCTCCTTCCGATGTGCAACTGTAAGCGAATTTCATCAGCTTTCCACCCAAGCATTGACTAGAGAAGTCCCTTTATGATCGATTGGCCGGGTGTCATGATCCCTTAAGTAATGCCAGCCCAACAGTTAACCGTGAAGCAGATACAGTTGTATTTTGAATTTTTGACTGTGTTTCTGTCTGTCGCCTGTTAAAAGCAAACCGCCAAAAATTAAAAAGTTTCCTTAGAATAGTGAGAGATCATCATAATACGCTGGAACTTTTAATAATCAAGTGGAGGTACAGCAAATACCTGTTCTTCAATTCGTTACTAAAGAGGGTGCTTTATTCTGTAGTACCCAGAGGCTTCTCTGAAGACGCTAGAAGACGTCATACTCGAGCAGAATACGTATTGTCGACGTACAGCTGGGGTATAGCCCAGACGCCAAACCGCTAGGCGGATGTGCAGTGGCGAAGTTACTAAGGCACCTGTTACCAAAACTGATTTAAACAAACAATTAATGTGTTGCAATCCTACACTACATACTTGAAAGTCGGAATCATTTAACACATCACTAACGCCGTAGGTTCGGGTGACAATCGCATGTATTCACTTATGGACAGGTCTCGTTCTTTGCTATGATACTTTAGAGCAGAGGCCGAACGACGACTATGAGGCTGCAAGCTCTATCTAAAGCGCTGGACTTTCCGCATGGCACATCGATGCCAACGTCAACGAAGGTTTCTCCGTTGGAAACTCTCCTTTTAATGGTAAGGTCTTTAAGAGATGCTCAGTTTTAGGCGCCCATAAGCATTGTAGACAGCGTATCACACTATTCTTGGTTGTTTTTGAATACTTGAGGGCTTTTTCCGTTTACTCGAATCATACCTCTTCTATTTAAGGTGAATGAAGTTCTAGAAAAGTTGACGGAGGGTAAGATGGAGGAATATATCCATAGTGGAAGATTCAGGATATGGCAAGAAAGGGTTTTACACCACCAATCGACCCAAATGGTGACGAGAATTGTTTGAATGATCTCCGCTTTATGTGCTGTTCTATTTCATATCACGATTGTCATATTTACCTCCATAATGTATGCTACTTTGTAAGATATTGGGATGCCTAAAAAGTACTTCGGTAATTTGTATTATAAAGGGGAGGAAATGCCCCTTAAATAAATAATGTCTTGACCATGTTGTGCTTCAGGTGTTCTTTTTTTCACTGGAATTGCTAGTTCAGTTGTTTATTGGGCTTTTAGGAAACCTTAGCAAGAGTAAATTGTGTCTAAGCTCCTTTTTTGGAGCTTCTACATGAACCTATTCGGGATTTCCTAAAGATAGGATTGGTTTTAATTTCCAAGCTTTTCAAGTATGGTGAGCAAAGTGGATTTATTAGGTAAACTATTGCATTGTCTAGCTCGGTATTACTAGCCTCAAAGAATCAAAATTCGAAGAATGACCTGTGCATAGCAATTGAGGGACCGAGTTTCTCAGTCTTGTGATGCTGTTTTAGTGCAAAGGGGTTCGCGGACCATAAAAAAAGGTATTCTTTTACACCTGACGGAATATTGTCTCATGCCGTAAATAAATCATCGTAGTAGGGTGGTACAAAGGTGCTTGAGTAAGATAAGTTAGGGGTGGGGTTTCCAAGACGCATTTTTTGTACTTGGAGCAGTGCTGCTTTCAAAGCGTGGGTGGCTATGCGCCACTTACAGCTTTGTCTGGCCAGCTGAGGTATGTCCCAACTAGTCCCATTCAGTGAATTGGACCCCATAAGTTTGGAATGGATAATGCATTCTAATGAATACTTTAGAAATTTGCCTTTCAGTAATCGTAACTCTGACATCTGAATAACTTTTTTTCTAACTCCACGATGGGTCTGATAAGGAACAATCACACATCTTTAATTCTTTATGCCTTTGCCAAATCAGTCTCAAAGAAAGTTGAGGCCCAGTAGAAGCAGCATTATTCTCCATATACCTCAAACAAGATTATTTTTTCTTTTTATTTGGATTTTAGGTAAAAAAACCTTACTGAATGGACATCTGCTTGCCAGGTTGTAGAATAAATCGTCTAGAATCCCTAAGTGAACGCTTTAATTTTAACTCGATCGGAGTGGAAATTGTAGTAATGGTGCCCACGACGCGAGGCTTTCAGTACAGGCAAAGCGACCCATGCATTAAACAATTTTTATTCACAACTACGTGAATAAGGCGTGGAGGCTTCTTGCAGATTCAAACCACATTAGTTAAATTGTTCTATTATCTGATTAAAAGACGAGTTGACCCACGACAGTTGCTTCAATAGATTAGGGTAATATTTGAACATTATTAAATGCGAGGATTCATTTTACAATCATCTCCGTATTTCTCAATGCTTTAAATGAAATTAAGTGGTGAATACTCATATATTTATGGAAATGCAATGCTTTTGTCAGTTTAACCCTAATTATGCAGACACTTGAGTCCTTACAGATTGGCCTCCGGGGCGTCAGTTGCCCAAGCGCTTCTGTACATCAGTAACCCATTTTCTGCCATGCTACCAAGACTTCGTACTAATTCAGGGAGAACTCATTGATCCTGTCTTTCATTAAATAATTCTGCTTTCAGGCTAATATTCTTACAACTAGCGTTTGGGAATACGAGACGTTCCCCGTGAAAGGCATCATCCGATCTCCAGCACCATGAGCGTCCCATTCCCCTCCTTCAATACAGTTCCCCAACAGGATGAAATCCCAAATCAAGACCCAAATAATGGTAGTATTGATTGGTAAAACATACCCATTTTCAACAAGATCATTCCAGTTAGAGGTAGGTAATTACGGCTGACACCCGTAGAAAGCAGATCTGTTGGAGACGCGCTGTTATCCGTGCTCTGTTCAGTATGCCCAAAGTATTGAATTACTTATTCCTCAAAAATCTAAATAAGTGACATCCAAGGGCTTCTAATAATTCACTTTGTTTCTATTTATTTATATTGAACTAGTAAAAGGCTGTGCAAAAAGCAGTCGTTTTTAAATCATGTCTATTCAGGGTAGGTGCAACACTGAATCACCTAGCCTAATTTTCCAAAAGCCAAATCACAAGGACCAAAAGAGTACATCAAGCGTAGGAGATAATTTGGGATAGGTCAACGACTCAGTCGTGAAGGTCATGTGGAGGTATACACTTGACTTTGATCACCTTTCCACCGCGTAGAGAATTGTGGTTTTGAACGATGAAGGCGAAATCCTTAAATCCGACACACGCGGCGCCATACTGACCATCAGCTCTCAGGGCAATTAAAGCGCCATACCAAGTTCCTCTCTAAACAATCCATCATGTTAGTTGAAACTGGGTGGAGAGAGGCTTTACGCACTACATTTGTTGTCAATAGCTGAAAAACTGCGACTATAAATCTAAACAATGTTGGTGGCCTGGACTTAAAGTGATAGGATTACATTCCACACTTACAGGCTTAAAATTTCGCCTGCCTTACTTATGTTCACAATCTGGTTGATCAGATTCCTGAACATTCAAAAGCCAGAAGCTCAGATAATTGTAAATTTTACTATTCATAAAAGCCATTCCCACATACTAATAGTACTCAAATCCAAATGAGCAGTATTTGGAATCATATTTATTTCAAATTAAGAAATTCAGAAAAATGGCATGAAATTTTCCTCAAAGCCAAATTAACGCTTACTCAAACGGTACTTCAAGTTTTCGTGACTTACTACTCACAAAGGCTCCCAAATATTCTTGCCACATAGGTCATCAGCAACTTTTTTTCTCGAATCTTTCTTTTCACAGTCCAACAATGTTTGCTAACGATCATGTTTATTTTAGCGGTTATAGCTACCGATACTCGTGATTGTTATTTGACTAGTGAATTAGCTTACTAGTGGGAAATCCATGAAACTGTAAAATTAGTCAAGTGAATGTGTTGAGTCAATACCTGGCGAACAGATCGTAGGCTAATATAGCACGCTTGGTTGGGATGTTTTCCTGCTTTCATAAGTTCCACAGCTTTAAACGAGAGCAGGAATCGCATCATTATATCCCCATCACCGGTTCCTGCAGCTGCGCCAATCTACTCGGCAGCAAGAATGCAGTTTGAGAAGTGAACATAGTGCTACTTAACTTCTAGTCAGTAGCCTACCCTGCTGTCAGCAAATCCACCGGCTCCAGGAATGGGACTATCACCAACGCGACCAGGGATGCGGAAGCGCGCTCCATTGGTAGACAAGCCAACTGCCATTTTGCCATGTCTGTCAAGCGCTATGACGCCGATTGTATCATGGTTTGCTTTGTCGATTCCTAACTCTTGCCTACGCCTCAGGGAAGCTTGTGAAATAAAAGTGAGCCGCAGAACTTGGCCATCAATGTCTAGCGTGATTAGCTGACAGTATGAATATAGCTTCACATCCAGGTCTTAAAGAGTAAAAGTTTCAGCAAGGCAAAACAATGTAAACTTATTTGGTAATAACTACATATGGGAAAGGCTATTCTTGATTTCATCACTTTTAATTGGCTCCAGTGATTTCTTAATGCTAAAAATGAACTTGCCGTCACAGTGGTCGCTTATGAGTGTAGATAAATCTCCATAATTCAAAATTGCAGTGGATGATTTAAATTTTACATTTACTAATTTTTACTTGTTTTTCTACACAGATTTCACATACCGTGGTAACTTACCAGCCCAACTTTTGTTCTTAAATTGGTAGGGTCCACAGCTGTTCCTAGGATTTGGGATCCAAGAATAGGGTATTCGAAAGTTTGGTTGACAGTCCTTCAATTTCCACTGTTTCCAGACTTCAGTAGACTCATTTGAGGAGAGGTTAGTTCGATGGTAGCCGAGGGATTCGGCGAACCGCGTGGCTGCTTCACCGACCAAAAGGGTGTGACGAGTAGAATTGAGCACTCCCAAAGCAACCTGTGCAGCCTCCTTTATGTAACCCATTTCTGCCACAGCGCCTACCTAAAGTGGAAAACTCCACCAGAATTTATGCTGCTGTAGTCAAATAGCATATAGTCAGTAACAGAAAAATAGAGATTTCTGATCATATGGTTATTTCTTTATGATGTCCCAAGAAGGATACTTTTCCCCACATTACATTCATTACATTTATGAGCAACATAAGTTGTCTGAGCCGCTCAATGAATTCCACAACACAATCTATGTTCGGAAATAATTTGTTTGAAATCTCCTGGGAGCTGAAAACTGATGTACAGCCATTAACTAACTTCAGCATTTTAAGTATCGTTAGTGACAGATTTCCCCATTAGCTAAGGCAACATATCTAGTCTATATCTACACATGTAAGCAAAGCAGATATTTCAATTAAAACGCACATTCATTGAGTCTCCATCCATCACCATTGCAGAAAGCGTGGTATTGCCATCTTCATCTGGCGAACCTCCTGCACCCACAGAGGCAATGTTTTTATCTTCTTCGGCGGCGGTGCAGCCAGCAACCACTGCCGCAAGCGCTGAGCCTGTTGGTGCTTTGATGACCCCCCAAGCAGCATCATTGGCCCCCTTCCAAGGCCACGTGTTAATCACGGTAGGCCCGGAATACGGTCTAATCTGGGACCAAAAGACAATGTGGTTTGTGGCCAGGACGGTGGCGCAGCAGAGAGTGGAGAGAGCGAACAGACGAAGCATGGTGGTTTATGAGACTGTGAACTTCAGACACTAGCATTCATTGTTTGTGGTGTGTAAACAACCCAGCTTGCCCGATGTAAACGACACATCATTGTGATCTCGTTCGGTAATAAATCAGACGCCCAGCTATTCCAACAGAAAGTGGTATTGTAAAGGCCATGCGTAATGCTAAATTTAGAAGAAAACCGTCCTATACGTGATATATCCGGCGTCTATTTCTTTGGCATGAACCCTCATTTTCTTGGAACGAGTGGTTAGATTAGAATTGGGGATTCGTTATTAGTACTTTTGTAAACGGGGGTATGCATCTTCAGAGCACACCTTGTCCTCAGGGTCAGATAAAGTACGTTTCAACACGAGCTCTGTGTTTGGTGCAAACTTCTCGTGGAAAAGCCCATATGCATTATACTACTTACATTTAACTACTTACAATTTAACGCACCTAAAAGACCGGGTAGTGAGGGGAATATGCTATACCTAGAATTGTGGTGTGCGACGCCAAAACCCAAAGCACAAATTTAGTCTAACGAGTAGGTCTAGTAAATGAACAGTTTATCGAAAAAGCAATTTCTACATGAGATTTATGCAGAATGCATGAACTATCATTTGAAGGGTTTTAGCGGGTGATAACATCCGCCTAGATCTGTTAATAAAATTAAAGTTAACATTGTGACTTCTTACAAAAAACAAAGTGCCACGTGTAGCGTCCCGAGACTCCCTGAAGACGAAAAAAGACAATACTCGGGCAGAATATATATATTCAGCACGGAGAAGGTGTCTGAGCTATCGGCATGGCCCAAAAGGCCAGCCCACCCAGCGAGGTACAAGGGGGCTAATTCAAAGTACAAAAGTGGCGCCTCACCAAAACCGAGGGATAAACCACTACCGTATTACACCACGTTTGATTAGGCAGGCAATTGAGCCTCCGCAGATTGTAATTTTGCAATGTGTCAGAGCCTAAAAGGTGTGTTGGTAGTATCAGTAACATTATTTCTGCCATAATACTCTGGCTTTTAACAAACTCAGCTAAGACACCAAACACTATAATACACTCGCTTTGCACTACAGAAAACTGGCTGCACTCACTTTATATTTGAAAAGAATTTGGCAGTTGAATGAATTTTATTTTATTGTCGAAGTAATCCACAAGTATGTCAAATGCCTTAAAAAGGCTTCTAGGCTAAAAATAAAAAGAGACAAAAGTCTATGTTTATCTGTATTTTTTGGCTATGAAAAGAAAATATTGTCCAGTCCGAATGGCCAATAGGAATAGGGCGCTGCATTTAGGAGGTACCGCACTTTTTGTGGCCTAAATGGTGGGCGCGCTTAGAAACGTCCCAAATCTTGCAAACATCTACTTCGGGACGAGTACTGGACGCATTCAAGATGTTTCACAATGTCTCATTGGCTGCCGTGTAGTCAAAGATGAGCAGTTTGGCACCATAAAATACGTCGGTCCCATCGTTAGCTCTTCGGTCGTTTGGTTGGGAATTGATTGGGATAATCCCAAGAGTGGCCGTCACGATGGAACTTTTAAGGGCGCAAAGTATTTCAACACGCATCATCCCACGTCGGGATCATTTTTAAAGTACGTTATGCCTAATTTTATACAACGCAACTCCTGTACGCGAGCATGACCATCGCGTGGTCTCGACTTCTTTCTTTTTAATTATAGGCCGGAAAAGGCGTCATTGGGAACTAGTCTAGAGGAGGCCTTGGTCACACGTTATGGAATGTGCGCCGAATGTCAAATAATTGCCCGTAATCCTGCCCTTTTCCAGTCCGGTGATGATCCAGTCTCTGGGGTGAAATTAGAGACTGGCGCCTCCCCAGGCCAGTTAAAGGCCACCATGGATATGAGTCTGTTTGAGGCCGAGTTTATTGGAGATGGGGTTTCCAAACCGAGTGCGCCTTTCACTGTAGAAATCTTTGCTAGTTCGTCAGGCGAATTAAACAACCACCAGACTTGTGGTGCTGGTGGTGTCATACAAAAGTTTTCTCGTCTTCGAGTCGCCTGTGTTTCCGGCATGCCTGTGTATCGAGGATTGAGAAGAAACGAGAATCTGGCTGAAGATGTTAGAACGTTGTGGCCGGGACCTGGTGGTCAGATGTCCGAATACCTTGGCGCCCTTCGTGAGCTTGACTTATCCAGCTGTCTTATCTCCAAATGGGTCGAAGTCGCTAGTGTGCGCGCAGCTTCTTTGCATGCCCAAATTACAGCCTTTTTAAACTATTAACCTCATTTTCGCTATTCTTTTTGACTAGATCTGCAGTCAGTTGCCAGCGCTGTTGAAGCTGAATGTGGGATTCAACCGTTTGAGATTGCCGCCAACAGCAGAAAACGAACTTTTTGGACTTCCTGAGGTGGAGCGTCGTTTGCTACTGGATATCGACGTCGATGTTGCAGTGGCTGAAGAATTGTGCTCCTCGGCTTTCCCCTCTCTCACTCGCCTCGCGGCCGTCCATATGCCCGCAGAAAAAGACGGTGGAACACCTTTTGGCTGGAGTGAAATAACGCGCATTCTAGGTTGGATGCCATCCTTGAAGGAAGTTTGCATTGCTTATAACGAGGTGATGGTCATTTCTTGAACGTGTGGCCTCTGAATACGTGGTTATGACGCGATTTTCTTGTCCTTGTCAGTTCGGGGATCTCCCTGATCCTTCCATGGGGATCGGATTTTGCCTGGCCGAGCTATTACAAAAACTTACAGAAGTAGATTTGACCGGAACGGGACAAAGTAGTTTCACACTCATCTTTTCCACGTTGGGTCGGTCGACCAGGCTAACTAGCCTTGTTCTTAACGTGAATCGAATTAGAGAAGTGCATCTGCCTCGAGATGTCGTTCTTTTTCCCTCAATGACCCAATTGGCTATCCGCGATAACCTCATCAGCGACTGGAAATCTGTGAATGCCATGGCTCAACTTCCTTCTCTTACCAACCTTATTATCTCCCAAAATCCCATTTTTGCTAGCACTACGCCGTAGGTTGCACTCAAATCCCACCTTCTTTCTTACCTACTGCCTTTTTTAGAGAAACGGCGCGACAAGAGCTGATTGCTCGTCTGCCGAGGCTGAAGTCTCTCAATCGGCAGGAAATTGAACGTGATGAACGGAGGGGGGCTGAGCTGGATTTCTTGAAACGCTATGGAAAGGTCTGGGCCGAAACTGAGAGACAAGACGAAGAAGCGAGGCGTGCGTTCAAAGAGGAGTATCCTGGGTTTGAACAACTCTGCGAGAAATACGGTGCTCCTGAGTCCGGTGAAACAAAGGTGAGTAAAATTGACTGCATCGTTTAAAGCCCTTTAATAGGTTGATGTGAATTTCATTCAAATTTATTTTCCAATCGCTATTGAAATTATCCGAGTGGTACTTTTTGAGATTTTATCTTTGAGAGAACCAGCTTTTACCTTTTCGATAGAAGTAACGTTAAAATTCCTGCTAAAGAGAAATAGTATTAAGAATCATCTACCTTTTTTCGACAGTACTGGGTTAAACCATGTTTAATCATGATTTATAAGTTTCGTAAATAATGCGTAGAATTTTTTTCGGTTTGGAAGTCATTGATGAATGTAAGAGGCTTTTACAACCTGGGCTACTGGGACTCAATATCGACCAGGGCGTCTCGATAGGTAATAATGTTAAACTGTTAATCATATGTCCTACTGTTTTTACAGCACCCTCACTTTCACAAGCCCTAGTTTATGCATTTGTGTGGATGTAAGGCTAAAAGCATGGTTTGTAGCTTTAGTGACGGGAAAGCAATAGTCAGATTGATGAAAAAATGGTGGTAATTACCGCAGCAATCACTGGAGAGGGTAAAACCCCGATTTTGTATCAGGTACGAATTCTATTGATTGTTAAGTAAGCATTCTATGCGATTTCATAGACTCATCATGAAAAAAGACTCCGGATTGTTTACAATTGGAAAAGCTCAATTCCTGAATAAGTCCGAGTTTTATCGTCATCGATTAAGAGTAATTCAATTACATGAGGCGCATAATTGGCTTCTCTTTTCACAGAGCGTAGTCCATGCGTTAAAGGAGAGCCTGGTAGAGCTGACGATAACTTGCGAACCCCCGATGGCAGCCATGAGTCCACGCGAGGTAGTAAAGCGGCTCCCGGCCCGCATGACGGTGAACCACCTGCGGAGCCTGGTCCGCCGCCTATTTCGCCTCCCCACCACCGCTGCCATTGACCTCGTGACGTGGGGTGCGCAACCCGGATTCGACGAAGTCGAGGTGCCGCTGGACTCTGACACCCGGGAACTCGGCTTCTTCGGCGTCGTTAGCGGTGACCGACTGGTTGCCCGATGGTCGCCAGAGTCGTAGTAGAGTCAACCCATTCTCGCCATCTATGTCTCAGCCGTCTTTCAGTTCCCTGTTTCCTTGCTATTTACCTTTTAATACAACACCTAATTAAACAGTCTTGGTGGCGTTTTTTAATTGCCTTTTAATTTTTATGTTCACGGAAGGCGCGGTATTCGCGTTCGTGTTAAATTTAAGCATTCATGCTGATTGTTTCTATTGTCCATGTTAGATGTCGAAGCATCGTAGTCCCCTACCATGTCGTGCAGTTAACATTTCGTTGTCTGTGGCGGTGAGCGATAAACCCCCAGACTCCGCTTGCCAGTTTAATTCGCGCCATGGAGTGTCTCCATTCTACCTTGGGCGCTTGCTCTCATTCTTTCAACACTCGCTCCTCCCTCTCGCTGCAGCCGTTGTCTGCCTAGGCTTTTGACGCGTCCATTCTAAGGCCCACATTTGCTCCGAGTGAAGTTTTGACATCTCTACCAAGTCGCTTGTAGCGTAAATTGTTGGAAGTTTTTCTCAATTATAGGTATTATTGCATACTTCGGAAGCAGTAAACAGCAATCACGCCTGCTTGTGTCAAGGGGGTAACGGTGCGTCTTTGATATGGCAGCGCACGGAACATGGCCCTTTTTGCAGCAACAAGCCCCACCCCGTCTTCCAGTGCGTTAGTCATGTAAGAAGAGTAAATAAATCAAAACAAAATTAATTACCAATTCACAAGAGGCTACAACAACACAGAAGTTAAGTGAGGAATGTTTGCACGCGGATGATTGCAGGAACTCTTTTTGATTTTGCTAGACAGGGAGATGCGAAAAGTAGTTACTGAGATAGCCCTGCAGGTTGTCCAATCTTCGGTTCAAGTCATTGAGCTCGCGGTTGAGATGGGTATCATTAGAGGGGAGGGGAATCCTTGCTAAAAGGAAAACACTTTGAGGTTTTTTTCGATCCTTCTGAATGTTTCAATGGATTAAAATTCAGGTAAATAACCCTGAAGTAACACCCTATTAGAAGAAATCAAAAGATGTGGACAAACATTTTTGGAAAACAGGATTAAAACACTCAAATTCGATAGTTACTCATTGCGACTCGGAACTTCTATGGTGCTGCGATAGGTCTGAGTGCCGTCTACTGATTTGCAATAAACAATGAGCAAGCCAGAGAAAAAATAACTTAAAAGGAGACAAGAATCCTCAACCCGTGAAGAAACACGAATTTGTGAAGCGCCAAAGTGTTTAATGTCCAGGATTTACAAAAAATTCTCGAAATCCTAAGAGCTCCACAGGTAGAAATGTTTCATGGGAACTTACTTTCCGCAATTTCCTATTGGGAGCTCCGTGGATTTTCGAGCCAATAGACTGAATGCCAGAAAAGCATGGATTCATTGAAACGCTTTAAAATAACTCTACATAAATTCTGAAATATAATACCCAGATCTTCAACATTTGACAACTCCTCGTAATTCCCATCTCAAGATTGAATAGGTCGGCACCTAATGATCACAAGGTTACATTAGAATAGATATGCGAAATACTTCTTAATCATCGAATTGCTTATAAAGTGAGGAAACTCCGAAATCCGTGATAACAGTTTTGAATACCTTTGAGGTCACATGAAAATCACGAAAAAAAGTAGCTGGAAAAGGATGAGATATCGTAGTAGGCTGCTTTAGGGATTACTAAAAGATCGCGAAAGATAAGTGATGCTAACTAGAGCGTCGGAACACATAAGCCCAAAAAGAGTTTTTGTTATTTTCAAACATAACTCGTATCAATTTATGTTAAAAATACTTCTAAACTTTTCAATTTCTCCCACAACAGCCAGTGAAAGTTTGCAAATAGGGGAGCATGAGTTCAGTATTTGCCAGTATATTTGCTCGATTGCTTAACTCCAAACTCCCAAATTTTAACCAATTGGTGTCAGTTCAGAGTCCGAATCCCGAGTTTAGATAAATCACAGCTGCCACCTGCCTGACCAAATATGTGCCTGCCTTTAAATAAAATGCGGTCCCACCAACCTCTGGAACCTTCCGGGATTCGACAAAGTATACTCAATGTGGAAGGAATCATATTATTTCAACGGAAAGGGGCGAAATAACCAAGTTACATGTTATTGAACAACTTAACAATATGATCAAAAAGGCCTCGGGGATTTTGTTAATTCACAGCCCGGAACCGTGGTGTAATTTTAGGCCTCTTGCTCCAAAAATGCCATTACCTACAGCGAAAACTTTACGTCAAAGCCTTTCAATCACATTACCTGTACAAAACCCAAAGCCTCGACAAAAAGTAGCCAGTGGAAACTTTGGTAACGAGTTAAAAATCATAAACGTCTTAACCATGAAGGTGCTCGCGAAAAACATCGCTTCAAGTAAGAGCAACTCTTTAAAAATAAACAACACAAACTTTGGTCGGGTCGACTCAATTGATGGATTGCATTTCTAGAATAAAGTAATGCCTTTATGAGAAACTATTTTTGAAAGATATCCTATGAAAATTTAGGCAATTCTTTACAGTAAACCATTAATCAAGTACGCGAAAACTTCCGTATTGCATTAAGCTAGTATTTTAAAGACAATAGGAACAATTCTTGTGAAAAAATGAATTTATCGACGGCAGAAGTTAGAATCGTGCATGCTCTAAGCTCTCCCAATGTTCCGCTACATCCTAACAAGATAATAAGATCTATACAGCTCTGTACGCCCATACAATCCTTCCACAAGCGCTATTCAGTTCAAAATAAGGACAAAATTGGGAACTAATGACAAGACTACAAGCTACCTTATGGACTATTACACTACCTGAAGGCTTTTTTACAGCTTCTGGTTCAAAACAGCGTTAACAAATTCAGAATTCTAAATCAGAAACCTGATCTTCAGCGCTCCTCCAAAGAACCTGCGGTACAATTTCATTGATTCACGAGATTGCTAACTTTAAGGAAATTGTACCTTTTCTCCCTTGACCGACAAGCATGCTGGGGATTGTAGTCGCTCAGACCATGGAAGTCACTTTCAGCTGAAGTCAACCTATCCCACCCACAGGATGCTACGACTGTGGCCGACTTGTTGAGGTATTGCTTCAAAAGCAGTAGACGACGCTGCTGTAGAGTGTGCGTGTCCAGGGTCACATCGCAATGGGCAGCTGGAAAACGCGATTGGATGCGAAAAGCAGGAGAGGCAGATTGGTGTGAAAGACGAGAGATTTCTTCGAGTTTTCTAGGTCGCAAAAAATTAAACATTTGGCGACACCTGGTGAGAACCAAGAATTAACTAAATGTGCATATAAGTAGCTAAAATACATAACCACATAAATCCTCATGGGAAAATTTCAAACAATAGACCGCAACATCCAGGATGGCAGCTTGTCGAAATATACGGTTTAAGCTGACCACTCACCTTTTCTGCTTCACTTCTTGTTGTTTCCTGCGTTGCTCATGAACGTACGCGGTGGGATCAAAACGCCCTTAAAAGGAAACGAAAAAAATAGATATGGATGGATTCAATATTTGTAACCCAAACCTAGCACGGTGAAAGCCTTTAATTGCCAGGAATTCACCGACATTTCCAACTGCTCACGAAGAAACTTGGTGATATATGGATAAATGGATCTTATTTGATCTATATAATCATTATCAACGAAAGTTAGTGTCATGCCACCGTGACAGAAATCAACTAATAGGCCGTCACTTACTGCATCTACTCGAGTAAAGTGAGCATGATCGACTGAGTTTCCTTGGAGAATTCGAAGACATACGAGGCTGTTGGTAACACTGGTGAGATCTCGAGGTGGAAAGAGAATGAGAGGAGCCGCACGAGCGTCCACCACGCAACAATGACCGCTCCGAATTATTAGTCATGCTGCCCACACGACTAGCAGGTCCTGCACTGTTGGAACAACAGTTCCATTTAAAAGAATAAAGATCAGCCAAAGCTATGTTTGCTAGTTCCTAGTTGCACATAAGGAAATAACTAATGCTAACTCAGGATCTAATGAGCGATGATATCCACATTCAACCAACGATTCAAACCGAAAGCTTCAACGGATTACTACTCCCTAAACATACACCACACTCTGATGCAAACGGCCCCCGGAGTTGTGTGAAGACGTTGATATTGATGACGAGCGCCGATTTAGTGGATAACCCATTGAGGAGGACATTATTTTTGGAGATATATTTGGTCTGTTTGCGCTGTGAGATGAACAATTTCGTGCAGATGAGACATTCCCTAATTCATGATTATCTTTACCATGGAGAATATGAAGAATAGATCTGAGGCGATTCAGCTCAGCAAGAGCATTGTCTCTCTCACTCTCTAAAACAGCGATTCTTGAGAAAATCAGGCAGTCTAAACAGCATACCTATTCTTGTATTCACCATCATCAAAGGACGAGCTACAACTTCCGACAATTCCCTTGTAGTTACACTTATTGAAACAAGCGTCGCGCAGTCTGTGAATCTTTTTAAAGAGTGCTTCTTTGTCTACGACGCCAAAATATGTAAGGGGTAGGGGGTAAAATGTTCTATCGAAATCAGAAATATAAGTCAAAATGAGGTAACGACGGTTGACCGGATTCTCTTTACCGGTAGAAAATCCGAGACTATTTCGCTTCAGCCTCAATTTTTGAAAGTTTTCTAGATCGTCATAACTGACGAAATCGATGCTCAGTGATTTTGTTCGCTTTAAGTACAAAAATCAAGGAATAGATAAAGTTACCTGACATAACACAGAATGGAGCATTGTAAGAAAGACACTAAAGCGCTTGAAATTGCCCGTTTTCTTTGTAAGTTCTTCAATATCTGAATCAAAATAAAGACGTCAAATGGAACCTACAATGCGGAGAAAAACTACCGCGCCACTCCTCGTCACTACACTGATCACGAACCTCGACCTTTAAGGTTTTGCCTCGATCATTAACAAACGCGACGAAGTGCTCACGATAAGAAAATGAAAACAATCCGGAGAAATATGATGATCTATTACCGTTCCTCATAAGCAAATTGCGGAAGGTCCATCAAGCAACCATCGCAAAAAACCAGGAATTTTAGGTCATGCACACAGACAAAGGCTAAGATCACTGATAAATTTAAACATGCACATGGATGTTAATGAGGCTTTCATAAGATCCACAACCTTTTGGTACTGTAATATTGCATGTAACCTAGCAACTTAGGATTTTCTGCAGAGTGCTAAGTGTTTAACAAGTCAAAATTGTTCGTATTTTACAATCAAGGGAAGCATTGCAGTGTGCTATTTGTTTTTCAGAAATGCTATTTTTGACTACTTGCATTAATTTTGTTTAATACTAGCATTTGGAAAATTAAACTAACCTTTTTATTTAGTGCCTGTTTATTTGTGCAAGTTTTATTGTAACGTCTACATTTGTCAGAACTTTTTCTGGGTCCCCTGCGTCCAGTAGCGCATTCCGAAAATTATTCCTTTGGGAGAGCATTCGTCCATAACAGTTTTAAGCCTTATAATCATTCGGATTTTGTTTGGTTCACAAATTACACGACTTCGTTGCATGAGGGTTTAAGTGACTCACAAGGCTGTGCGTTTGGTGTACTCGGTGGGCCTTTTGCTTTGGTCGTTGTGTTTTGCCGGTAGCGTTTTTCCTATGTTAACTCTATAATCGTCCGTAATATTATCCATACGCGTTATGGTTAACTCGGAAATACAGACTTCCTCCCTTTTTGACGGTCGGGTCACTGCTAATTCGTTGGGTGGTTTACCGTTTGATGACTCAAATTCAATTAAACCCACAAGAGTTCGTTGGTTTTACAAAGACGAAGCGACAAAAAGATGGATCCCCTTTAGCGGCTATGACTCGATTATTATCGAGCTCAATTACCTCAATCTTCTGAAAACCCGCGGGTCTGGGCATTCTGTTGAAACTGTTGACAGTCTTAGACCTCTTCTCGTTCGAGAAGGTCTTTACGAGGTCGATATTGTTACTAATCATTGCTATCCTGTGTACTGGGAGTGTGAGTTCTTTGAGTTTCTCTTGTTTCAAAACCCATTGTTAAGGTTATTCTCATATTTTCTTACCAATTTTTCTCTCAGCTTCCACAGGTCCAACTGATATATTACGCGGGACATGGTTCAAAGATCCTGGCGGACCAAACTGTGTTCCCATTGACGACGAATCAATGGTAGAACAGCTTGAATCCACGCACGCTTTGCTGAGTCGCCGGCTATTTGATACAGAATCAATACGGTCCGATAGTTTGTCACCCAAATTGGATAGCGAAGATGAGACCGGTGCTGAAACTACGTCCTCCATCACTTCAATATTCTCTGCTTCATCGAGGCCGATATGCACGTTTTTTCCTGACCCAGTGTTACTTTTTACTTTACTAAGCATCGCACCAATCTATTTTTATCAGTGTTTAATGATTAGGAGAGTTCTCTAGTCCACTCCGAATTTGAAACCACCCGGCATGTTCCCGTGAAGAACTATGCCCTTAATATTTTCATTCTTGATCGCTTTTATGGTGAATCATTTAGTTAGCTACTCCAAAGACAGTTTTAAGCCCGCCTTTGTTTTATGCGTACCTAGGTATTTACTTGCTCACATTCCTTTTAGAACTATGTAATCACTTATTATTTATCTACTCAATTTCACTACTTTATCGACTTAAATCTCCTCAATCAACAGCTGTGATTGTGACCATTGACTTGAACGCTTCTAACTCATACTTCGTTTTTTAGAATTCTAAGTGGCTGCTTGGTTCATTTATTAAAATGTCATTCGTTTGCTAAATGAAACGCGCGAGCGTTACTTCAACGCGTTCTGATACAGGAGTAGTTATCATTCTACCCACAGCTGTTTACATTAAAATCCTCACGCCATTATCGGATTAAATACTAGGCTAGCACACACACGTCCCCTTTACTCACAATCTCTTGCGTCTACCTAGTTACATCACCTGATTTTTTGTGTGAGCTGAGACCAAATTTACCAACCGTGATAACTTCATTGTCATCTCATTCGTTTAAATTTCTTTATATAGAGCCTTTGTTTTTATGCATATGTTGTCATTCAATTTGTCCGATTTTTTGTTGTTTATTTGTTACCACTATTTGCTGTACTCTTCCCATTTAAATGCTATTTGCGGATTATTTGGCACCACCGATCGATGCGAAATGTTGTTGGATTTTACAGTTTCTCCTACCATGCATGTCTGAGATCTGCCAATCCAGCGTTTTGTTTTGCTTTTCATAGGTGTTCACACGCTGAAATTTGCTGACTGCCATGTCGACTGGTATTCATTGGATGAGGTCTACCTTTACGTGGAAAGTGCTAGTTTCTTCATTCGACAGAAATTGGGCATGCAAAAGGGTGAGATATTGTTTAGTTTTACGTTTTTGTCGCGCTTTTCACCTGGTGCCGACGCGTTCATGTGTGTGATCTCATTTCGTCTTCCCAGTTGTCCCCAAAGGTGTTATTTACACAAATTCAAAATTAGCTTTATTAGCAGCACAAATAAAGGCTGGGGAACTAGTTGCAATAGCTGTGCGGTCGTCTGTGGACTTGAAACGGTTTTTATCCCCTTGCACAGTGATTTAGTCATACCCGTCTTTTGTCCTTAAAATAAAATCTATTTGTCTATGGATCCAGTAACAAGGAAGTCTAGAAGGGAATCGCACCGTTATTTATTCTAGAAAGGCATTTTCGGTGAAAATGGTCCGGTTGTTTTTGCACTGTGCAGTGTAGTCTGTGCCAGTCAGCATCGTTCCACGGTCTTGGAAATTATGTGATCTCTATTTGTCTTTCTCGTCTACTCATCATTTCATTTTATTATTTACAGTAGTCAGTCGGTCGGCTGTAGCCTGCTATATGGAAAGTGGGTCATCAGACCTCCTGTATGGGGAGGGCTTTATTTACTTTAATCTGACTGCTTTGCTGGACTTTCATTAGAAAGTTTCGGTACCTGATCCTTATTAATTTCTTCTATGCTGCGATAGTGAAATGTGTCTGGCTTGGGGAGGGGGTGTCTTACAATGCCTATTGCTGAAAACCATGGAATTGGAAATATCTGGTGCAATACCATTAAAATATAAACCATGGATGTCACGCTTTGGATTCATGCTTAGTACGTCTTTCGCCTCAGTTCACTTTTGGCGACTAAAACTAACTGCTAGGATTGGAATTCTTGAACCTCCAACATTTTTATGTAGGCTCATTAATCACAATTTCGTTAAAGTTTCATGATTTTTCCAGTATTTCACACTGTTGGCTCTGCGGAGGAACCATGTTGGAACTTGCATAATTTCCTCTTTAAGCATCCATCGTTTCGTGAAAGTTGTACCAAAAGGAGGCTTTGAGGGACGATTGATGAATCATGGGCGTGCTTTGAGTACCGCATCTTTTGCCACAGTAACGAATTGGGCCAAGAGAGAAATTTCGTTAACTACTAATCTTTTATTATTATTACTTGTCGAACTCGTTTATTCCATATTTTCCTTAATTTTTGTCTCTAAATCAAAACTCCTACAAATATACCAACCCTTTACTGATAACATTGTATACACTTGATACTCTCAGTGGAGGTAAGGTATAGTAATACTCTCATTGTTCAATTGAGGGGGTATTACGATTTGTATCGGAGACTTACTATCACTGCGCTTTTAACGGCTCGTATATTATGGCTTTTTTAATTGATCACTTTAAAATAGCTTCAGCGCTTTAATATCCTATCTCTCCATCAAAATTTTGTTTTGTTGAAATCACTTTTCAATGGCAGTTCTTTTGAAAAGTTAACTTTTACGGGGTGTAACCACTGCGTAGCGAATACCGCCTTTCCGTTACATCTCTGACATATTTTAGGTCTTCCGACTAAAAAGGTTTTCTTACATTTAATACGTCAATTATTTCATTGGAGTGCTTTCTAAGTGTAAGACGCATTCTCCATAAGGCGAATGGGTATTTGTCTTTTCTATTGTGGGTCTAAAATGTAGGCCGCAATGAGTTGCAAATTCCACTACTTAAATTGAGTGAAACATTTAATTTTAATATAAAATGAAATTAGAGGGTTCATCGATCCTTTGTTTTAACTATATCCCGGTAATGTTTTTGTAAAACTTATCTCTAGGTCCTCTTCTGGGGGTGGATGGAAACAGCTGCTAGCAAATAATGCGTAGAGATATTTTCAAGTTCTATTTTTGGTGCCTTTTTATGCGAAAAAAGCGCGTAGAATGGGAACTGTAGATCGTACGTGTAAAACTGGGGATAAAATACACCGAATTAGTCAAAATATTCACAATTACGCTGAAAATTTATCCTATCAAATGGGATTTACTAATATGTACCAATTTCTTTCGTGTGGAAGTAAATGTAATTTCAGAAAATAAGGATTCGAGCATGAAAGACTATTTTACGCTATGGTTTTTTATGCTTTACATCGTCATATTGGTTTAATTGCTGTATGAGTGACCTTTAGGAATGATGTTTAACTTTAAAGACGTCTAATTTAAAGGATTTGCAAACTTTACCATGGTTTATCATATGTAACTCACGGCTACCTGAATCCTTATTAAGTGAATGATCGTGATTTTTTAAGAAAAAGTGCCTGAAAATAGACTACGCGACCTCCTCAGGCTGGGTCTTTTAGAGTCATTTGCATATTACTGCCATTTGGAAAGTATTGTTGGGGTATTTTTAACAGGGACAATGCAAAAAGTCCTAAAATTTCCCATTTTTCTAGCGTGTTTTGGTTCATAAAATGTTATTAAAATTCTGTTCTTAGTCAAAATATTGAGTATGATATGCGAGCTCTAAGATTGGAATGTACTGGTTTACGTATTAGAGTATTTTTCTTGCCTTTTTGTGTTATCACTGATATATTACTTTCTTACTATTGCAATATCATTTTTGAGCTTTCGAACTCCGTACTTTGTTATCCAAAGTGGTTCTTCAATCTCGATAGTTCGATACGATGTGGTCTTTCCGAAACAATCTCTTTGCTACTATATTTAATTCAATTTTTGAGTTGTTTTAGAATAAGATGTGAAATGGAAGGGGTCACGTCTTACAAAGTTGTTTTGCCCTCCACTGCCTCATTTCCATTTCGGTGATCACAGTACCTGGATCAAGTTTTTGTCCACCAATAGACCGCAAAGATAAACCAAAAGACCCAATCATGTGGTTTCTCATCCTTTTATGCAATAGTTGGAACTCGTCTGGGTCGTGGCTACCACGAAGAGGCAGGGTTTGATCCGGAACCTCCGAGTTTTTCACACCTTTGCTTCGTAGTCCATGGAATGGGTCAGAAATACCTCAAGGGTTCCATCATTACTGCCTGTGATGGGTAGGTCCACTTTCAGCTACTTTGTTTTTTTTCTCCCCGTCAAATCGCCTAAAATCCGCTTCTTTCTGTAAATGGCTTGATTGTGGTGCCACAAAAGGCCTCGATGGCTCGAAGTGTGATCGGTTATGGGCAAGTAGTGTGGAAGCCGTAAAGCAGCAGTTTAAATGTCCACGGAAACCAATTGGAAATAGGGTACAAATTAACGGATTGCCGCTTATTCCAATATGAGGCGGAAACGGCGATGATAAGATGAATTTGCATCAGAGTGGAAGGGATTCTTTTTAATGATAACAGTTTATTCATTCACCACTTCTTTTGGATGCAGTCTGCGACATATGCATCTTGTATGTCAGCCGTATTCAGCAGCAACCATGGCCTAAAGCGATAGTGTTGTATTGTTTTTAGATTTATTGTAGTCCAGTATTGGACTAGGTGTTTGGGTTTTACTTATCACCCACTTAGACCGATATTTTTTTTACTTAATGGATATGGCACGAATTGGGCAATCCTGGTTACGATTCTTTGCGGATCTAGGCATGCGCTTTGAACAACTCCACTTTGTGAAAAACAGTCTTAATGTGTCAATGTGAACTCTTATGTGCTGTTTTTTTCCATTGAATTAACAAATTTTAGTAGTGTTCAATAATTTTCAGGATCACCGAATGAATTTGGCTTTCGCGAGTATTTGTTAGTGGAGTGTCCTATACAGCGCATACCTTTCATTTCAGTGACTTTTCTTACTTCAGAAATGGATAATTTTTCTTTAACTGAAGATAATGATTAATTAAACCTGTCAGGCCCCATCAAGAGCCCATGCAATGTAGTGGGTGGAGTAAATTAAAGTGTAATGATAAGGTTTTCGAAATTCCTCAAAACGTTATAACCTTGGTGCCACGTGAGTTTGCTAGCGGTTAAGAGTGGTGAAAGGTGTGCTAAATGACGGCTTTTTTCAACACCACCAACTCCTATTTTCTTCCCTCTCCCCTTTGATTTTGTCCACTAAATTTTCAATCATTCGTTGTCTAAAAATTACTCCGCCTCCCGATTGGTTGATACAGTCTGGACTATTGGGCACATACGTACCCACTTAAGGCAACTAGCGCTAGCGGGAATGTCAATCACACAGCCTGAATTTGCTAATGACCACCATTGCCCTTCACTATTGACCTCTGCTTCCCCAAAGAACTGGTTCTGCGTGGATTTGTGTTTTGGCAAAAAAAGCCGTCGTTTACGTTTGGTACCTAGTCCAAGTAGTTGGAATCGCAGCTTGGTTATAATGGTGCTCGCCGTTAAATTGTCATTAACTCTACGTATCGTGCCTGAAAATAGATCCCATTTAAAGTGTTGTAGTGATTTCTCATTTTTTTTTCCGGCAACATTAATCGTGCATGCGCTTCGTTTATATCGTATGTAACCAAATTGTAGTTACCTCGATTCATAGTTCTTGTGAAAGTGATGCGAATTGTCTTTCTATCCAACGACCAATTCATGAAATGCTTATATGTGAAAACCCCATTGCCTGAGTCTAACCAACTACTTTTTTAATCACCTTCAGAATTCGTGAGACCTCCAGAAAGCTCATTGATTCCTATTTCCCCGACATTCGGGCCTCAAAACATCGAATTCAGTTCCTCCCAGTCGAGTGGCGTAATTCCCTGCGTCTCGATGGAAACATCGTTAACTCCATCACTCTTGACAACTTGACGCGTTTACGGACCTTTCTTAACTGCACCTTCATGGATATCATGTACTACACTAGCCCCCTCTACCGCCACGAGATTAACCAGAGTCTGCGAGTAGAACTGAATCGGCTCTACTGTCTATTCTGTGAGAGGCATCCGTACTTCGAAGAACAAGGTGGAAAGGTGTCCATTTTGGCACACTCACTCGGCTGTGTCATCTCCTACGATCTCATTACAGGATGGATCGAACCGGTCACCCATTACATTCAGCCACCTCTTTACGTGGAAAAGAAGGAACAGGGTTTGGAAGGTTTTTTTATTCAATTTTAGTATATTATAGCTATTTGTTATCGACTTGAGTCCTACTTTATTCTTCTATTGCTATCGGTCTTGGTATGTCTTTTTTAAATTCAAATCCAAGACGTGCCGTTGTCGAAGCTAACAAGAGGCAGCAACATTAGCAATGGTATTGGTGACATCGACGGAGACAGCGAAGATCCCTCCGTTCTACTTGCCAAACTGGAAGCCGCAAAAGAAGTGTAAACTTGAGTTCTACTTAAGTTCCTTTTAAGTAGGCAAATTGTTTCATTGCTGCTTTCTCTTCTTTCAATAGTGTAAAATGTCTTGAAACTCAATTAGAAAGGCGACAGCTCAAGGACTTTGCCCACAGGTCTTCTGACAACTGCCAGTCATTGGTTTTCGCTTCAAGGGTAGGTTTTGCCTGATGTTTTCTACTCAACGTAGTAACATTCATTTGATCCTCATTATTTTCCTACCTTGATTCTGAAGGTTTGAGCTGCTTATTTACCTTCTTTTTCGATAAGTTCATATACCAATCTTGTTTCCATTTTATTTTGCATTTTGGAAGAAAAAAGACCACTCATCACTTGAAAAATTAGGGTTAATTTGTTTCATTTGTAAGTGTTCATGCATCTAATGGTGTAGATCAGATCGTAGTGTCGGTTGATTTAAACTTCAAAATGAGCCCGTGGGTAATCGACCATTTTCTGAGGCTTCTTGAGTTGCTTGTGCGAAAGCGGAATTAACATTGTGCACACATGTGTTTTAAACGTTTTTGAAAATTGTTGTTTTTATGAATTCTACTGTTTCCATGACGAATTTATTTATTTTTGCGATGACTTGAAAGATGGTTAGTTGTTTGTGAATAGTTTGCATCACGCTCTTTGGTTTTGTCTGAAAGCGATTGCTGGGTTTTGGTGTACATCGTTGGGGTTTTTTCCCAATCTGATATTCAAATATTAATTTACTAGGTACTTATTCTTAACGGAGCGAGCTTAAGGGCATTTTAGAATTTTTGCATTTTAAATGATCACTTAACGACGATGGGCTTGCACTTACTTACTTTTTGATGTTACTGCAGAATGTGAGGTAGAAATTTGGCTCTTTTCAATATGGTAAATATGCAATTCAACGTACTGCCCCGCTACTTTTGATCATGGCTCCGCTTTTGGATGTTGTAAAGTTAGCGTCAATTTACATGTTCGTCGCTTAAAACCAGGGTCACTTGGTTATTGCATTTCAAGTAGTTTGTTATGCGATAACGGGCAGATTCTGCCGTGATAGGGTGCTGTTTTAAAATGTTATTGGCTTTCGTGAATTTTTGGCCAGTAACGTAACGAATATTGTTGCGCCAACTGTGATTTAATCTAATATGCAGGTATATTTTTTAACCGTTCCACTCATTAAAATACTGCACGCCCCTCTCCATCGGAATATACGGACTTTTTACAACTTTTCTTCAATCAATCTCTGTGAGAAGTACATCACTGTTAAGTCTGGAATGGCGCTATTGAGAATAGTCACATTGAGTTTTCCCTTTTTAAACTTTGTTCCCATAACTTATGGGATACGTGCGAAATTGAACTAGTTGTTTTGCAATCCCTGGGGTTCCTGTATCCCCAGCTTCATCAAACTACTGTGTTTTTGAATTCCTAACCTACACAGAGATCTTGAGGCATCCTCGAGTTAGTGAAACTAGTGAGTCGGGGAGCGAAATGCATACTAGTCTAAAACGTTACGAAACAATGGCACAAACTCTTAAGACATTTTCATCAAATTCTCATAGGCTCACGATTAGTGAGTACCCAGGATAATCCTTTTCAGTTTGAGGTGTTTGAAATGCATCACCTTGAGGAAAGGGTGTTTTAGACCTGTAAGGAATAAATTCGGGTGAAAAATTCGAGAAGATTGTAGGTTTAAGAATTCCTTGTGTTGAATTATTTTCGTAGGGCTTTAATGTCAATTGTGACCTACATTTTGGATGTAATTTTCGCTTGAATTCCACAAGGTTTTGCGCCCAGAATGTTAAGTGTTGGAGTACTTCCTGTGTTCTTGTTTAAAAATTAACTGCTTTGAAGGTGCCCAATCGCTTGTACGTTTATTTTACTGAAAATGACCTCATTTATAGTTAAAAAGCTGACACTTTTACCTGTTTAAGATGTTATTTTAGTATTTAGAAGCTATCGCTTAGTGTTGCGAAATGTGTGCTATTTTTGCCACATGCTGCCTAATATAATCTTATGATTCGTCTCCGATTTCTAGTTGCAAATGAAAGCTTTCATGTAAATGAATTTACCGAGACCTAAAGCTGTTTTCCAAACCAGTTCTCTATTGCAAATTCTTTAACTCTCAAGCGAGTTGAAAGAAGTATGCTAATAAATACCAGATGTTACTGGGGATGAAAAACGTTCTATTATTTGAAATGGGTTAAAGTTATGAGTAGTGTGAAATGAGCTAGGTGTTACTATTTTGATCCCACTATGGATTAATTCAAACTTAAAGAAATTTAGGTAGATTATAATCTGGGCAGAGCTTTGTGTTCTTCCATTTTTATGAAGTGCGTTTTGGAGCACACTTGAATTTGGGAATGCTTTTTTTCCGTGATTTAATATACCTGCAGCGAAACTACTGCACCTTTTTTTCTAATGAGACTTTTTGAAATTCATATCTCTTTAAAGTGAGGCGTCGAAGTTAGTGAAACATAACTTGTTTAATTGGGACATTTTGTTCAAATATTTCTTATGGTCTGACTCGTAAAAATGTATAAAATCATCCCATATTTCCTCAGCGCCAGCAATACTCGTGAGTTCGTCCCATGTTTTGTATTCACTTAAAACAATGTGGTTGTCATTACTTGCCTTTCTCCCTTATCTGCAAATACAGGAATGAAAGCATTCTCTTTTTCTCCCTCGCTTCACTCCCAGTTGGAAAACCTCTTCTGTATGGGTTCCCCTCTCGCCGTCTACCTGACTCTGAGGGGTGTTCAACCGGGCCAGACCGGTGCCACTGACACCATTATGCCGCGATCAAAGTGTTCCTACATCTACAACATCTTCCATCCCGCTGATCCAGTGGTGCGTTTTGCAAGTTAAACTAATTTTCTTCTAAGAGCACAACTCTATTTTCTGTTAAGTTGTAGTGGAAATGCTTGTTTACTTTTCAGTCGTAAAATATCCAGCACCCTCTAGGTATGACTAACTTGAAGAGTGGTTGTTGTCGGCTCTTCATCTCAACTATTCCCGACTTTTTCAGAATTTTTAAAGTGCTTCTTTTGATAGTTCTAATCAAAATTTCTAGAAATATCTCAAGTTCTGTTTTTTGGTCCCTGTGAATGGGAACTCATTTCTTTTTTTCGCGATGCAATCAGTATATTTTCTTCCCAAAGATATGTAGAACTGTCTTCGCTTTGTAAAATGCATTTAGTTTCCCCAATACAAAGTTTGATAGGTCTGGTGAGCCGTATTACTAACAGTTAGCATTAATTAATACCGGCTTCCCGGGATCTCTGAAGGTCATGAATTTTCAAATACCCAAGCGAATTTCTCTGAATTTGTGCATAAGTTAGGGATCTGTGCGCCCAGCTCCTTAACTGCTGCAAAAGGGGATCCACTTCCTATTCCTGCAGCTGAATTACTTCCGCCCTCATTTTGTTTAAATAGTTTTATTTTCACTACGTTCAAACCTATTTCTGACCTCGTATTAGTGACAGGGCCTTGCCTATTAACGGCCTTTAAAATGAAAACGATGTGTGCACTTTAATATTTAATAAAAACCAAAGGAAAAGTGGACACCTTGCGATGGAATCCCATGAAAGCATCCTCAGTTTACATAAAGCGTTCTTTCCTCTTGTATATGAATAATTTTGATCACTAGCATTGCTAACAGCTAATATCGACTCTCCCTGGCATTTTGGTTTATCAAAGCTGCAGAATTTCTAGTCAGATTTTAATTCCATTATATTGTTTTTCAGAGATCCTCTCCACTTCTTTATCATGAAGTTTCCGTTGATGAACTAATGTAATAGTACATAAATTTCATTTCTTACTATGTAATCACTTTTTTTTTCGGAAAGTCTGTTTTTGTTAAGCATAGTAAGATTTGAGAACCGCTGTCACTGCTAGTTCAGTCGGGAATATTTAACGGCTCTAGCTACATCAGTAAAACTGTGCACTCTGGAAATTCTTGTCCCTTGAAGTATATGTTTCGTTGCTAAATAAGTTGTAAAGTAATTTCCTTACCTTTTATTGCATTAGGGTCTCTTTATCTCACCAGGGGATCATTTTTAAGTTTTTTCCTTTCGTATTTACCATTTCACTTCTTTTACGTTTGTCTGATTTAGAGGCTTAATGCTTCTAATTTGTTCAAGTTAGTAATTTCGACCCATTTTTCGCAGAATCTTGGTGTCTACATCACAAAGACGCTTTCTTTTCTAACCTGTTTTCTACTGTGAAATCAGTATTGAAGCATACACAGCTGCAAAATGAATTTCACTATACTTTACTTGATTGCCTGAGAACTTTCCCTTTGTAGACCATTTATAATCTCTTAATGACCAGCCACTCCATAACTTTAAGCTGGTAATAATGTGGCACTGGGCTAAAATTAACACCGTGATAGCGAAGAATGCTTCTCAAACTGTGAATCTAAGAGCAATAAGGTTTTAGTGATGCAGAATTTTGAATCTTTCCAGTCCTGTTTTCATAGAAACCAGCTTGAAAGCTAAGGCAGCTGCTTGGCTCGGACCCTTCCTGATCGAAAGTCTAAGAAGCTAGAGCCTGGTGGGTTACTTTAGCCTTGAAAATAAACCAAATCTATATTGGATTTGAGATGAAAATTAAGTAAAATTGAGGCTGATTTACCAATTTAGATCATTCATAACAGTCGTATGTTTATTTAGTGTTTCAGTGATGTTTTGAAGCTCATTCGCTTATCGACTTCACTAGAGCACTACCAGCACTAACAGTGAACAAAACCTAATCCTCGAGCAGTTTTTATCATGATTTCATTTATTTTCCCCCTCTTCACCATCAATTAGCATAAACTTTATCGCGTTGTCGGCAACTTCTTTACATTTAGATTGTCACTTGTTTGTGAAATACTCAAAAAATTCCCTTCTTCCATCTCGCGTTTTATCTTCAATGCTACAACCGTTCTGAAAAGGCTTTGCTTATTTTCGGGAACCTGCTAAAGTCCCATGTTTTCGCTAGGCTAATTTTCTGTTTGCGATACATTTGTGGCATAACTCGATTCTCCTTTAGCTTGAAGTGATTTATGGCTTTCCGTTTTCTTCTTTGCCAAATGATATGCAGTGAGCTGGTAAAGTTAATACTAATTCGTCGAAGTTCAAATATCAATGTTTACAATTTGAAGCTATTTCAGATGACTTATTACTAACCAAGTGGGTATTTTCTTATTGGCAACCAAATAATGTACTTTTTTGTTCATTTGGGGAATACTCGTTTGCGGTGCGAAAGTATGATAATATGTAACATAATAGGGCTAGTAATGCTTATCTAGCGGTTCAAAAATAGGCTTTAGATCGTATTTTTAAATGTTGTTTTTTTCTGCCAAAATTTGGTTCCAGTTTCTTTGCTGGCTTGATAAAACAGTGCGCTCACATAGAATTTTTTAACTTGGAAATTTGATGTAAGGTTTTTAATAATATCGCAGTTACCTGTCACTTTATCACCTCACATTTCCGTCTATTTGTCATCATTGCCTTTGACATTTTTCTGAAATTCGTTTATGGGCATCGATTTAAATAAGAGGACCATTTCCTGTACTTTTGAGTGGCAACATTTTCACCATGACTTTTGAACTATATTTTGCAATCTTTCCACTTATCAGTAAAATGTTCTATCGAATCCGATTTGGGCTTCTTTTAGTCATGTTACAGTGTTCAGTTTGAGGCTCAAGGTGATATTCTTAAATTTTCCTTATTTAAATGCGCACCATATAATTAAATTCCACTATCCCTATTCCCTAAGGTAATACTCACTACACATAGTATCCTTTCCTGGTGATATTTTACTTCAGGAGTGTTTTTAGCTGACAGACGAATATCGGAATGCGTTTAATGAACCTACACTTTCCCTTTCCCCATTAGGCCTACCGACTGGAACCGCTTCTCTTAAAATGCTACTCCAGTGTTCCTCCTGTGGATATTTACCGATGCACAGATGCCTCTAAGATTCCCTACCAAATCGCGCACGCAATGAACGCCCCCTCCCTCACTGCCCAAAATTCCGCTCCTCCAGGGGTACGCCCGTTCGTCTATCTTCCCTTTTCACCCGGCTGTCGCTTTCAATTTCTGCGTCTATTTAGTTAGTTGACACGGCTTGCTACTCTCAGCATGTTGCATACTAAAGCTATGTTAGCATTTTCAAATTTGGTTATCATGGCTAATGAAGATATTTATTGACGTTATCTAGATGCTATATGACGACCAAAATCAAAGTTATGACTCCTTTCCGGGCCCTACCTCACATTCGTTGCTTGGATATGGCAATTCTTCGATGGATTCCCTCAATTTTATTGGTAGTCAATTCAGGCGACGTCTTCCTCTATCCTGTGAGTTTTCCAACGATTTTTCTGGCCATATTATTCCGAGCAGCTGGATGAAACTGAGTTCGTTTATTGTCAAAACCCCAAAAGTATTTATTTGTTCTACATTTTAAGAAAATTAGGAATACATTGGCTCATTTTCGTTGTTAATAGAAAAGGGAAAATTCCCCTTGCTCTTTTGCAGAAAACACCGCTTTAGTCATTTGATATATTCCCTGAATTTCACTTTACCAATCGCTAAGAGTATCAATGAGCTTTATCTTACCTTTTTCTTACAGCCTTAATGTTCGGATTTTTCCGAGATTACAAGGAATCCCATACTCAGCCTACACCACTGCAGCAGCAAACATCATCTCCGCCGGCACAAGTCTCTGTAAAACGCCATAAGCCCTCCTCTCCGCCTTCTGAACCCTCAAGAGCTCACTTTTGCGTGGAAGATGAGGAAGTGGAGGAGGAGGCGTTATCACACTCAGCAGCCACCTTCAATTTCCCCACCTCCTCTCCTTCTTCTCCCCTTGACGTCTGTTTTCACGATGCTGGGGCATTGCCTTTGTCCTTAGAATACCGTATGGATTATCAGTTGAAGGGGAGTCGGTACGAGTCCACTTACCTCTCCGCCCTTACCGTGCACACGGGATACTGGGTAAACGCGGATCTTGTCATGTTTGTGCTCATGCAGTGCCATCCTGACTCTACGCCTATTGACAGCCCCATGACACCGCTGTGATAATTTTGGTCATTTATTTTGAATATGTCCTAGACGTTCTCTTCAAATTCCCTCTACCCCTACCTTTGCATAGTATCTATGTTTCACGCTATTTATGCTGAGTCAATTTTCTTACAATGAGATAAAATAAAAATGGAGTATAAATTGAGACGAGAAAGGGACACAAATGATAACGGGTCATGTTAAACCTGACTGCTTATCTAGGATTATTCCTAGATCTTTAGATTAGTGCCGTTCGTCCACGTGACCGGCTTATTTGTACGCTAAAATTCAACTCCCATAAATGGGAATTTATCGATTTGGCGGTCAGTACACATGACCTTTACATTTACTTGCTCCACTTTTGAATTGTTTGAATTGCATTAGAAAGTATAATTAATAAATGCGGGTGCATCGAGGTGTTTCCTATCAGGACACTGTCTATTGAAGGTGTTTTCAGCAAATCAAAAGGGTTGTTCAGTTTGCGGTGGTGTTTACTCTGCTGGAAACGCATTACCTTCGTTGCTATTGTCTTATCGGAGACTTGATGTTACATAGATTTTCATGATTCTATTGTTAAACCATCTCCAAAATGTCTACTGGTAGATTCATTCAATGTGACATTCTTTCCTTTCCAATACAGTCATTTAGGATTTGGTTAGAGGGGTAATCAAAAAGCAGCGATTTTATTTGTCGTCACACTCAATGCGTACGCACTTTACGCGTGGTTACTTCGAAAAACTCAACTTACCGGAGAATGGGTGTTATTGCAGAGCTCTTCTTTTTCTCTAAAACAGAATTAGTAAAATTTCCGTTTACTTATTGATTAGAGATTGTAGCAAGTTGAGATTTTTCTGTTGACGAAAGAATACAATACTCGGGTATAATATGTATTGTTGACCTACAGAAAAACTTGGGGGCTATTGGTATGGCCCAGAAACCGAACCACCCGATGGGGGTACGATGGCAGAACCCATAAATGGCCTATCACCAAAACCGAGAGTCAAAACTAACAATTGGTATTACGAGATCACTTAATCGAAGTTCAGGAGTTGGTTATTTAATAGTAAGTCATCTTTGAGAATTCATTCTTTCGTGAAAGTACTGTAGCGGTGCAAATAGTTCAAAATTCCATTGAATTTTTTCATTAGAGGGTAGATTGTTTGCAAGGCTCTAATTCGACACCGCAATTGTGAAACAAGGCAATCGTCTCAAAGATGAGATCTGGGAGCAAGGCCGGCGTAGTCGAGGCGCAGGTCGTATTACGAACTGCAAAGTAGTTAGATAAGGCGTTGTACATTACAGTTTTAACAAAAATGGACGGTGAAGAGGTTAAATAATTTTAAACATTGTTGTTTATGAATTAGGTTAGGGTTAGAAGGGAATACCAAAGTTCTGAACGATTTCAGTTTCTTTAATGGATGTAATAAAGGTGGTTGTTTTTAACAATCATTTGAGAAGTTCTGCACATTTGATGGTCTCCCTTTGGCATTTCACGGCTAATATTATCTACCGCAAATTCGTTGTACCTGCCTGATATGCCATAATTTATAAAGATGTTTTGAAATTATTTGGACTAAATAATGGCTAGCCCTGGAACCAAACGTATGAGGTAAGTTCTATTAACGGACAAGCTGATCGTACCCCCATAGACCACCCAATCTCATATCACTCGGCAAGTACCACTGTCAAGTAAGAGGTAGTTTTAAGAGCTCAAACATTTCTGTCTTGTTGTACTAGAATTTAAGGCGAGTGGCTTTACTTAATGATGAAATACCCTAATTGTTTATTCAACTCGTGGTTTCGGCAACGTACCAATTAGGACTCTGCCATTGTACTCCTGCCGGGTGGCCAGGCCTCCAAGCCATGCCAGTAGTCCCAAGTTTAGCTGTATGTCGATAATGTATAGTCTACCCGAGTACTATGTCTTCTTTCGTCTTCAGGGAAGACTCGTGAGGCTACATTGATGACAGCGGAATATGAACCCGATTTCAAAGAACAGCGTGACGGAAAGGGTGCATATGCTGCGGATAAGAGAATCTGTGACAACACCTAGCAGAAGATCTGATAGATATAGCTTGACAGAATTGAAGTGAAAATAAAGTCATAAGGATGAACAGTCGTGAGACTTTTTCCCAAAGAAACTATTTTAAACTCTGTCTTGTATTAACCGACTGCTTTTAAGCCAATGTTCTTAAGACTAACGATGGACACGCGATGGCCAGCACATTCCCTCGTCCCTCCAATACAGTTTTTATGCAGACCAAAACTCCAGATCTATTAGAATCGACTGTTGTGATCAGTGACGTTGAGGTCAAGTATCTTCTCAGTTGCATAAAATTTAGTGGCAGAAGCGACTGACTCGTGGTTGCGTTTTTCCTACATCACCGACGACTTTTTGCTGACTGACGCTTGGGTTGGATCAATGGAAATGCCGGGGTCATAGCTCAAAAGAGGGGGGGGGGGTATGTAATACTTCAATTGTTCGTTTAACTCTCAATTATGACAACGGGTCATTTCGGGGCTTCGCCACCGTATCTTCGCCGGGTGGGCCGGCCTCTAGGCCATGTTAGTAGCCCCAAACCCGACAGTGTGTCGACAATACATATTCCGCCTGAGTATTATGTCTTCTTCCGTCTTCAGGGAAATCCTGGGAAGCTACAATAACGGCAATTATTCCTATGCAGTTCTAAGTACAATATTGTATACTTCCTCCGACTGTCATCGTCAAATTTTGTAGCCCAAATCATCTATCTAAAGTTACCTAACGATAATCAGCAAATGGTTGGGAAAAATTCTTGGGATCGTTTTCGTATAAAAATAGGAATTTTAATTCTACTTAAAAACAGTCCTAGTAAATTTAAACTCAATGGCCATTGTTGGCTCTTTTTGGGTTCAATGAAATAAATGCACTTAGGAAAACTCAAATTCGAAAGGTATTTTTGGTAAATTAAACAAAGCTGATGCAAAGTTTATGCATATTATTATTGTTGTCCACTTGCTCTCTCCCAGAGTAATTGTGTCATCTTTGCCTGTCATTTTCCGTCTACCCTAAATGAAAATATAAGTTGTAGATAAGTGAGAGTGAGAGAGAAGTTTTTTCTTACAAAATGTCACAAAGTTAGCTCAAGGTATGTGTAAATGGGGACCATGCTTTTAATTTTTACTGCCCATAAAACTCTGGAGACTATTATTACTTAAACTCTTAGATTTCAGAGCTTTGACGGGCTCGATATCTAGGAAAAGTATCTGCCGAAGATATTCTGGTAAGGTCAAATTCTGAACTTTACTGAGAAACCCACATAACTTACACCTATTTCAATCATAAGTAATTAAAGGAAATCATAAAAGTCCTCGTGCATTTTATTATTTATGCCATGTCTACGTTCATAAACAAAATAATTTTGCGCTGTCCTGACTTTGATTTGGCACTCCATTCCAACAAAACCCAGCAAAATGTTTGAATGCATACTTTAAAATCGACATTTTCTCTAAGGAATGAATCGTTTAGACCTCTGTGAGCTGCAACAAATGTTGTTAACCCTCACTTTGTTTTCACTTTGGTTTTTTGATCTCCCGGATGTATTTTTGTAATTTGCTAATTGCTTGTTTAATTCTCGATTTTAGTAAAGGGCCAATTAGGGGCTATGCCATTATTCCCTTACAGAGTAACTTGGCCCCCGAACTATGCCAGTCGCCCCTTTGTAGGTCAATAATGCGCATTCTGCCCGAGTATTGCTCTTTTTCTCCGAAGAAGTTCTGATGTGCTACAATTCCAACATTCTGATCTGCACCTATTTTACGGCGGATCTATTCACAAGCTTGGTTGTGCAATTAGGAGGACCGCCTGACTAACTTAAAAAAGAATCTCATGTTTAATCGTGCATTTAAAGTCCCATAGACGACCAAACACAGTTATAGCAAATAACAGGCGTAAGGTTTTGCTACAATCATTTATGTCAAAGCAAAAAACCATCACTTCTTACCTAAAAGTCTGTTCAGTAAATTACACAGTACGGCTCTTCTTTAGCCTGTAATAAAATAATGAAAAAGGATAAATAAACCTGTAAAGATCCGAGTTTGACTCCTTCAAATGTGTTTATTTTTAAAACTGTTCTTCGTATTCTACGGTGGTTTATTCCAGAGCAAATCGTACTTGATACTGAGAATTTTTTCTTGGCAAGAAACACATACTAGCCACTTCCACGGGCGTCTAGTTTTTTTCACTGCGTTAACGAAGACAAATACCTTTGCCTCTTTGAGTTTCATTAATTTACTTCAGCATGAGCTATTATATAGACTTTTGGATGAGATTGCTATCGGTGGTAATCCATTAGTGTTCAATGTGCTTAATCCATTTAAAGTTTCATCCTAATTAATAAAATTAGCAAAAAAAATTACCTGATATAAAAACAGGTTCTATTTTTTTCCAGTATTCTGTACAGATCGACATATTTTGCATGAAAATAACCACATTACTTTGATAACCTGCTTAGCTCTGCATTCGATTACGCGGACACATAAGTCTCCACAGACTGTACTTGCGCTTGGCGGAATGTAAATCAAGGCCATGTAAGTAGCCTTAGCTCTCCTGTACGTCAACAATTTAGCCATCCTACTGCGAGTCCTTTCGACTTCAAGGAAGACTCAAGGCCCTTCATTAGTGATTTCCATCTCTCAATGCTAAACCTTAACGCGACAGAAGGTCATTTGTTATCGATGGGACAATCCAATAAAAGGATTGAAAATGACTACTTTCCGCAACTACCCCAGCTCCATGTTCTGTAGAGTTGCTTTTAATAACTGAAGCCAGTAATACCAGCCATAAGCCATCTGGAAAAGTTAGCAACGGAGCTGTCTACAGCGCCTCTATGAAGATATCAATTAAGCGAATACGGGATACCTTCACCACTACTAACTAAAGAGAGTCTAGATAGATACGTAGCTAGGCAGCATCGTAGCGAGGTCAAAGTGATAAGGTGAGATGGGAGCAAAAACATTAGCCACCGAAATCATTTACACCCCGGTTTTGCTCTAGTGATTCCGCTTTTAGGCAAGACTTCATACAACTAGCGACGGAGATACGTCATTCAATCTCCAGTAGTGTAGACAGTACAGTACATTTCCCTGTTAAGTCGAAACTCAAGATTCAGATGCAGACGCAGACTCAGTGCAATTGCGGAAATGTATTAGTAGCTATGGTATCAAATATCTCAGTTACATCCAGATTCCATAGCTAACGCAGCTGGTTCCCGGGTGTTTTTTTAAGTCACCAACTTTTGTGAATGCCAAAGTGGAAGATTGACCAAGGAAGACGTTGTGAACGACGACGCTATTGATAGCTTGTTCAAATCTGCCTTCGATTAGGCGGGCACTTGTGTCTCCCCAAAATGCACTTCTACTCGGTGGCATGGATTCCAATTCAAGGCGGTAGATTCAGCTCCTCCACGCTACTCTGACTTCTATCACGTCGGGGCGCTACATGGCTAGCGTTTTTTGAGACCGCGTGTAAAAATTTGTTTCACAAAGTACTTTTCAAGCACCTGATGAAATTATTGATTGGATATTAAATAGAACTGAGTATTTCATTTCATACGCTCTACATTAAATTAATAAAACGACAGTAAAATCTCAGGTACCACACTGGTGTGCCTTACACTCACTCAGATGCATATATAAGGTTTTGCTTACTATGTCTAGTTCGAATTTTGTGTACATCGCCACCTCCACTATCATTCGTTAAGATTTTGAACTGAAAACGCTTGGGGACTTTTTAAGAGCCAAAAGACTTTTCGCTACTTGACAACAGTGAGTCATCAAATTGCTTTGGATAATGGCCCTTATTGTACATAAATCCCAGAAATATTTCATAAATTACATATTTTCATTCCTCATGGAATAGGTGTGACTAGCTGTCCTTTGATGAGGGCTTCCGAATTGGCTTTACTATTGTCAAGAAAATATAAATTTGCAAGAGTAATTCCACTTTTTTTATAAACCCACTTCAAGGATGCTTAAAAAAACCACCTCTTTTACAGATCACAGCAATAGTTGTTTATTTGAATATGAACCTAAAGAAGGGCTTTTTCCTAATTTGCTTTCAATAACCTTGATAGAAATAGATCTTCCAAATTTTGAAAGTGTTTCATTTATTCGTCTTTACTAATGAATGAAGAAAGTGAAAAGGTTTGCATTTACGTAAAAAAGATAAAAAGGCACAAAAAGCATAGAATAATGACTTTGACTGTTGTTTGAGGGACTATGCAGTAAATTGATTACCTTAGAAACAATCCTACTGTAGCACCCCGAGTCTTTCCTGAAGACGAAAGATATTATAGCAGTATGGCAGAATATATAGTGCTGGTGTGCAGAAGAGCTGGGCGGCTGCTGACATGGCCCAGAGGCAATGCCTTCAAGCAGAAGTGCAAAACGGAGAGCTAAACGAACTACTAAAGTATTACACAGACCCCCTCTACTTTCAGGCGTCGTTCCCACACCCTCTTGGGCCAATCTCTCCCGTCCACCATCAAAGCCCTTCAAACAACTGTGTCAGTCATCGGATTTGGGTGCAACTGAGAAGATATTAAGATGCAACGTCACTGACGCCACTTAACAATTCCACTGGATCTGGAATTTCATCCTGTTTTGGAACTGTATTGGTAAAGGGGAATGTGCAGGCCATCATGAATGTACACTGCTAGTCTTAGAAAGATCGGCCCAAAAGCAGGGTAGTTTAATAAAGGACAGAGCTTAAAATAGTTTTGTTAGGATAGTATATCGTGTCTATTTTTTCTTGCCACTTTGTTCGCACATCAGTGTTGCCCAGGCACACATCTGCCTGGGTTCTATCCAGGTTGTAGAGAAGAGGAGGAAGTAATGGGAGTTTGCATAAATGACGTCTTCAAAAGGGTATGGTAGACAATTTCGTAACTCGCTTTTACAGATGGTTCGTACTAGTGTCGCTTCACTTATTAATAGTATTCTTGCTGAACACGGTAATAGGGTAGTTGTTGAAGATAGGCTTCATAGTCAGCCCTTCTCAAGGGGTCATCACAGATTCTTCCATCCTCAGCGTATGATCTTCTTCAATCACAAAGCTGTTTAGCAGGGTAGTTGTCCTTTAGGATGGAGCTAGATTTCCGCTACCACCAAAGTAGCCCCCCGAGTCTTCCCTGAAGTCGGAAGAAGCCATGGTACTAGGACGAAATGTAAACTGCAGAAGCATAAAGTGGCTTTGGGGCTACTGACATGGTCCAGAAACCATGTCGCCCAGTAGAAGTGCAAAATAGGAGTTTTGAGCACCCGCAACACCAAAGCGAAGAGATAAGCTAGCGATCAAAGTATCACACTGCACTTTTTATGAAGAAAAGCATAAAACATGAGATGTCACCAGAATGGGCTGACATACTTATACCATAAAAGAACCTCTATCATTTACAGAGAAGAGGTTAACTACATCATCTTTACTTCAGAGTTTATGTTTCATTTTATTTCTGGAAAGTGGGTTTCCTACAACAGCTCGATGTTTGCCATGGGTTCCATTTACTCTACACAATGCCGTTCTTAAAACATCTCTTAAACGCACTCAAAATAATTGCGCGTTAAAAAGAGTGAAAAAGATCTGTTATATCGAAAATGTATAGCCTGGTGAAGGCCTTATATCCAACTCGTTCCATCTAATAATGAGCAAACTGACTTCCACACTTGGCTGCATAAGTTTTTTTGAAGACAAACTGCAACGCGTTTAGCAACTTGATTTAAAATTTGTAACGTTTTGTAAGGCCTTAAATTTATTTGATCTGTAACGTACATTAGCCGCTAGCTAATGGATTCTTTAAGTCGCAACGTTTAAGTCTGCGATTGTGAAGTGCATCACAATCTTTTACAATTATACCTTTTTAACGTTTCAGCTGCAATCTTTGTGTCCTCCTTGACACTCCTCAAAGCTAACAGGCTCATAAAACACGCATTTGCATACAATGCAAGGAGTCTGTGGAACCAAAAGTGCATGAATGGTACAATAACCATGGCCATCCCCAGGTGGACATCCAGTCCTTCAGTTTCTCCATTCTCATCCTTCACACTAGTGGAATGGGAAAACTATCGCCTGCATTTGCATTGCAGATGCATCAAGTGGATGCGTTGTCTTGGTGCTGGTTTTGTGGCATATCCACACCCATCAAGCAACATTTGATCGGCGATGACAGCAAAGTGTACTCTGATATCTCTTCTCGTTATTATTTTGGTCACGGTCTGGGCAAGCATTGGTAAATATTATCGAACTTTACAAAGAATTACTTAATTTGTTACAGTTATTCATCCCATCTAGATTTGGTTGTGACTATTTTGTCTCTTTAACAGCATTGCTTTAGGATACTTATCAGTGATGAAATCTGCGAAACCCTTAAAATAGTCACACTGAAAGCAAGGAAATAAGAAGCATTTCTTAACTGTTTATGTGGGACTTGTGCAGTCATTCCACCTTTAATCTCAATACCCGGGTTTTCCAATTGGTTCAGCGAAAAAAGTGATCATATATAAAGTACTTATTAATGTTTATGAATCGCAACACATTATGAAGATTTTATCGCTTTGGAATAGAAAATAAGATCGGCTAAGGATAATATGCTTCCACTCAACTTACTATCCGTTTCTGTCTTATTCCCTCTAATCGCATTTAAGCTTTCCCTTTGCCGAGGATTAACACATTTAGTTCTGTAAATTGCGACAAAGTTTCCCAGAAAAATATAAGCATCCAATGTGATTTTTCTTTTTAACTGCCCTTCTAGAGCCTTTTCGTGTGGTTCCACAAAATCTGACCGTAGATTTCGGTACAAATGTCTATCAAGCCTGCCAGCCAGCAGTCAGACCGGATTTTATCAACTGGTATGTGAACGATGTAAGTTGCAGGTGATCTGATATTCTGGTTTCTTGTTTAAAACGCGTCCATTGACAGTATACCGATCCATTTAGAAGCTAGTGGGAGGCTGTTTGTTGCATTCGATTAATATCACGAGCAAGGTCTCGAATCCTCGATACAAGATTTACATGAGTCAAGAAGATGAAGAAGGTGGAATACCGGTTTGCTACCTCTTTGTTCAACGTTTGGAGGAGAAGGATTCCGGTGTCTGGTCTTGCAAGTCAAGTCATCCGGATTCCAATATTCATGAGGTCTCGTCCAAGGTACTCGTGCATGGTAAGTTGCTTCTATTTTTGGTCTTGAGTGTAGCATGAATGTGCTTGTAGGCTCGGTGTAAATAAAAGTTTGTTTAATCTTTCACTTATTACAAATAAATATCTACGAAGCAGATAATAAAAGTATAGCGCCATGAGACTTCTCTGCAGGCAAAAAAAGGTATAATACTCGGGCAGAGTATGCATTTTTGACGGAGAGAAGGGCTAAAGGGCTACTGACGTGGTCAGGAGGCCATGCCGCCCGGGAGAAGTACAATGGTGGGGCTCCTAATTAGCCCGCTATTAAAATCGAGAGTTACACAAACATTTAGAGCATTACAAAGTGTTACTGACCCCGTTAATATAATCCAGAATCAAATTTTTACAAATATCTGCAATGCATTTGAAGTATTTGAAGTTTGCTGAAAATTCAAACCTCAAAATATTCCTTGTTTTAAGTCAGTTTCAACTAAGCAAATCCGATTGCTTGTAGGGGACACTTTACGACTGATTGGAATTGTTGCCAAAATACTTAAAACTTTCTTCATCACAGTACTAATTAGACATTCTGGTGAAGGATCACGTAAGGTGGGAATACATTTGTTGCAGAATTTTTGTCCCTAAGGAAACATCAACTTGGCACTTCACTTTATAACTAGTAAGGGGTCTTAAAAGTTAACCCCTCGAATCAATTCATTTCAAGAAATTAAAATATGAAGCGCCACTTCAACATCATAAAATATTGAGATTTGAGATGAATAGAGGTACATTTCCGTTTTTTTACATTTGTACAGAATTTGGTCCTTAGTTATTTAGTCTAGTCTCCAACAGTTAAGAGAAATGAATGCGTAAAATATGTCCATATAACATTGGAGGTAATCAAAGGTCTTGAAATTTGCGGTACTCAACTTTCCTCCTCTCCACTAAGGCATCAGAAGAGGAACGTGCCAGGTACTTAAGTGGGTCCCACTCCACGCCAACTGGCGGGGTAATCGAGCCATCGGACTATCCTTTTTGAGTCATACATTTCATTTGCCTCAAATCGTTTCAGCACAGTTCGACTTTAAAAGCCATTTAAAACGGAATCAAAGGAGACCACCTTTTCGTCTTCAGTATCTGCTACTGCATGTTACGATACGTGATACATCATGTTTTCAACTGTTGCAAATTTCATAAGTTAGCTAAAATAAGTGGTCCCTATTTCTTTATTGGATGATTAAATCACTTTTAACGTAACTTTAGGGGTTTTAAACCAAAATATATTTCAAAAATTGATCTGAGGACTCTGGTTTTTCTTTCATAGAAACTTTAACTTAACGCTTTTTTCTTTTTACACAACTTGATATATTATTTTGTTCAGATAACTTAAAACTTGAATGGAATTACTGAAACTGTGAATCTCATATTAAAAACTAATTAATGTGCACTATTCTTTGTAGCAAGTGCTCCGAATCGTGAAACTCTAAATGATTTTCAGAGTTATTTTTTTCTTAAAACACGCCCCACATTTGGGAACCAGCTTTATTTGTGTAACAAAGGAAAGGGAGGCATTTAGTGTAATTTAAAACAAAGTAAAAGGAAAGGAAGCGAAAGTAGTATGGAGTGGTTTTTACAGCACTAGGCACGATGACCTTCTTTACTCTTTCAACCCAGTATGCGTGCTTTGGTCAAAGATTTTTGATATTCCCTGAAAGGCAAAAAATGTCGAGACGCTACAAAAGACAGCTTTTCTGCTTAAAAAACCTACAAACAAACCGTGGGAGTGACTTTAATCAGTCACTTTCGTCTCTTTTTCGAACCGAAATTAGCATTTAACTAATCCCGCGAACAGACTAATCCCATTGGCAAAAACCTACTGCTTAATTAAAAAAATGCTCCAATTACTCTTTTCGCTGGTGCTGATAAAATTCCCGGTTATTCACTTATTCTGGCAAGCGCTATTCGACATTTTAATGGATGCACTAGGGCAATTGATTGCCGAATGCAGTCTTACTTTCGCCCTCCCCCTACTAGATAAGACAATGCTTTTAAAAGTGTTTTTGCGAAATGGAACAAACTTGAGGGAGAAAGCCATAGTGCGGGCTACCTGTTCTGCCAGGGGTGTGCGTCGAACACCTAATCTGCGGATCATGTTCGGTGGGGAGCCGATCAAAACCACGTCACCGACCAAAGTCGTTGAAGAAAATGGTAAGAAAACCACCTTTCAGTGTTTCATTGATCACAGTTTCCCACTGGAGCATTAGATCAGTCTCTGTTTTGTTTCCGTCAACAACACCAAGCACATAAATTACCCAAATTACGTTTTTTTACCTGCTAAGTAGCGTCGACGGGAGCAACTCACCTTACGTAATTGTCACGATTAGTTCAACTTAAAGTAGCTTCTTAACTTTTTCTTCTTTAAAAAACCTTAACTTTTGATTCAATCATGCTTTTCGAAAGCAACTTTCCATCCCAGTCTGGAATTTGCTGCTTCATTTTAGTTTAGCTAATATATGCTAAAACAAAACCCGTATCTTACCACAAAAGTTTATTCATCTATGTGTCTTTGTGATGGGAACATTGTAAATTAAAAAATGTGCTAGCTTTACATCCCAGGGTGCAATATTTCGCCCCCCCCATATTTAGTGACCATGAACAGGGCTAGTCACATTTTGGGGATACTAATGTTGTCTAAGTTCATTGCCATCTTATAGTAAGAAAAAGAGTTGTCCCTAGATTTGATTGAACGCAACATGGCGATGATTAACTAATATCAAGTAGGCTTCCATACCAGTGGAGAGCAACTATTCATCGTGCTATTTTGCAGAATCTCGCCCTTGACTCTTCATAAAGCTAACTTAAGCAGAGTCCCGGTTTTTTTGAAAATACCAGGTCTTTATACACTTGATGAGAAGTTTCAATAGATTTTTTCCACAAATTCTGTCGTGTTTCCTGTAAATTTGGGATTTATTTTAGTGTTTTTTTTAAGTGACGACTAACTAGTCGGACTAATAAGCGACACCGACTTCTTTATTTGACATTTTACTCAAAGTTTGTCTGTTTTTTATTTGAAATATGCCAATTTCCTTATATAATCACTCAAATAACCTGCATTCCCTGCAGTGATGAATTCATTCCTCAACCAGACATAAGGTACACGAAAAACAAGCCGTTCTTTCCACTTTGTTATTTAACATTGTCCGATGGGGTGGTGACGCATTTCCATTTGCCCAAGGCCAGGGAGTAGGGCGATCACGAGGCAGTAGTAGGTGTCGTTTTTAAATAAAATCCAGGAGGAGTACAGAGTTTGAGCTTCTCCTTTATTTTTCCCACATTTGTGAGGATACACAAGGGTGAAAGATGATTATATATAATGAGTATTCGTAGCTATGTATGATTGTTTTTGAATCAGTTTCGTATAACACCGTGAGGTTGCCAACCCAGATGTTATGTCACCTACAATGTAATAAGAATATTTAATCAAGTGGGTGCCACTGAACTAAACTATTCAATCAGACAAAACAGCTTTTAGAGGGCCAACTTCTGAACTCAATTAATATTCACATCAACTCTGATAGGTTGTTCAACTCGTTTTACTTCTTTCCGACCTTATTTAAAAAGCTTTGGTGAAGTAGTTATTTCACTTTTTCCTTCACCTAAAACAAGAGACATTGAACATTTAATAAAATTGACATTTCCTCAGCCAACCTTTGAATTCGCTCCTTGTTTGACGAGCAGTGTCTAGTTTGACAGACATAACCTCTTTTTAGCGCACAAGACCGTATCAATGTGTTTTACCAAAGTTAAATATCGCGATAGCATTAAATTTTGATCAAGACACTTCCTAAAACTGTTTTTATCTATAATAAATTCTCATTTAAAACAATCTGATTGCAGGTGTTAAAGTCAATAAAATTTGGAATCTCTTGGCCGTACGAATATTGCCGTAAAACTTATTTTAGGACGGGGGGGGAGGTTGAGGAGGCTTGACCAGTGGAAGAACGTTTGAACGTGTAATGATTCTTACGTGGTGATGAACTGAATAAATCGAGAAGACATTCAACTAATTCGTTGATGTTGCTTATAAAACTTTAGGTGAATACAACGTCACAGTAGATGCAGACATCCCCTTGGACTGGCGCAGTCACTTGCGTCTTTTAACCTGCCATGCTGATGTTGGTGACTTTAAGAGCGTCCAGCAAATTTTCATCGTCATTCATCTGAGTACGTAAGTTAAATCTAATTCAATAATTTCACTTTCCCTTTTCTACTCGATACAGCACTCAACTGTCCATCTGTGGCACGGAACAGTCAAGATTCTATCAAAGGTAGTCTATTTTAGCCGCAACTAAAAGAGCCGTGATCTCTGAGTCTGCTCTTTTATGTCATGCAACTTAAAGATACCCCATCATGTTATCCAAATTTTCACTTTTATCTGTTAAATCTAATTTCTTCCTATCAATTTTTCTTTTATTAGGAATGATTTTCCAATAAGACTTCAGGAACATTAAATGCAATTTGTTTTCCTTAATTTTTACTTTTAGAACAAGAAACGGGGAGAAGGAGTAGGATCCCCATGCCAGATCGATACATCCCTTGGGTGCATTTGCTGTATTCGTTGAAAAAGTTGTTTTTTTGAGTAATTTTGCACCAAAAAGACCCTTATCGCGTGCTTCCTGATAGAAGAGAGCACTATATGGGGAATCCATCCAAACTCCAACGTCTCATCCTTCTCGCTTTACCGAGTTCTTTAAAGACCTTGCATTTCAAGTGTATAATGGTTCATTATTTTATGTCGATTTAAAAAGGCCTTCGAATATGAAGCGGGACTTTCCTTACTTTTTCACCTGTCGAGTGGGAGGTAGAAGTTGAAATTCCCGATCATAATTACCAGGTGCGCAATTCCGAATTCCTTTAGCAATAGGCAGATTTTATCTGCAATACTAACATTGAAATCTAGGCAAGGCCTTGTCACACACCAACAAAACTGCCACGTGAAAAAAAAACGGTTTCACGAATTGTCGCCTTGCAAAATATCCGACTGCATTAACAGACGCATAATTCAACTGCCACAGTAAATGTATTTGACACCTTAACTGTCAAAGCTCGTCAACCAAAAATAAAAGGTCTGTATACGCGAGCGTTTGGGTTCGCAAAACAATGTATTCACTAGCTTGCGGAATTCTGCAGCTTAAAATCAGGAGAGGTTGGAAGTTGTACAGATAATCTCTTTAAATTTATTCAAAATGGTGACAACAAAATGTTGGAATCGGCATAAATCTTAGTTAAAACTTCTTCATGTCCTTTTTGTTAAAAATGAGGAAAGAATTTTGGAAAATGTTGCTTATTTTGATCATGAATGGGTGAAATTTTGACATGGGTGACTGAGTAAATCACTCGAATTAGAGGTTACTTCTTAAATAATTTTAGAAACTGGGAAAATCCAAAATGTTCAGTCTATTTGGTCATCAAAAATACATAAGGCGTAATTTTTCAGGAGCTAAGGCTCTAATGTCAATGAAATTTGCCAAACGGGAGATTTGCATGATCAACATTCATGGAATTGTTTTCATGAAGTCAACGAAAACATTTAACGACGAAATTCAGTGTTGTGCTTTCATCCTTAACCAATCTGACTAAAAAAAGGAACGTGAATTTTCAGACTCAAAACGCATTTCTCCGGTGTGTTTTTTAAACCGACCTCCGACTACACAATTTGTTTCACATAATACTTAAAGGAACTAAGGAAAATAAAAAGGCCATCTCAGGGAGGTATCACCACAGTAGTGAAGATTTCTTAGGCTCTTTGTCAACCAAAATAAACACATCGATTAAAAATGTTTTAAATGACGCATTTTAGCATCCCCCCAAAGCAAGTCTTTGAAATACTTGCAATAGAAGAAATATTGTCATGGCTATTGCTGCAGGAAGACACAAAGACGAGGTGATTTCTACTGTAAAAGTGATGTATTGCTGTAAACTTCTGTTTATTTGTAAACATTCTCAGAACTGGTAGGACAAATGGCATGATTATGTTCGCACGCAAAGCATTCATAGGTGGGCAAAAAGTGCCCTGATTAATAACTAGGTAGTGGTAGAAAATAGTGTCCATTTTTAGCGACAATACATCAGTTTCTCTCCTAGTAGTCGAACGTAACCCTGCAAATAAAATTTTAATGCTTTTTTTTATCCCTTTGGAAAATTGTGGAAGAGCTGGTTTCTACTAGTCTAGGATTGTAATGCCTCGATAGTTTGTTTTACTCTATGTTTGGCTGGGGGTTATTTAAGTCAGCGTAGATTGTACTTCCGCTCAGTGGCAAGGCCTTCTGGCCGTTTCAGTAGCCTCTCTCTGTATGCTAGTAACACGTTTTTCGCCATACAGCTATGACTTCATATGGCCTTAGGAAAGACCTGGGATTCTGCATAATGGTAGCAAAACTGAGTGAATCATCCCAAAATAGTATTTGAACAAAAACGATTAGTTCTTTGATTATATATCGTACAATTCCCCAGAAATACGAGTGGTTTGCACTTAGACTACCCAAACCTCTAACCAAAGCGTTTTTCTCGTTTTTATACCGTTTATTAGGGGTTTGAAATTCCACTAATTTTTGCAAAAGTGTAAACATCACTTGCAAACGTGGCCATGAATAACGGGTGTAAAATGATTAGCTAAGTTTCCAACCAATCAGAGCCTGGATCAGATGGTTATATTCGCCTCGCCAGTGTTTGCAATTTGAGGTGGAGTTCATAGCCTAAAATGACTCTTTTGCACTGCATTCTTCTGAAGTGCATGTTATATTTTGGTATGTATATTTTTAAATTTTACTGCAGCCAAAATACAGCAAATCTCTTGAATAAACGAATGGGGACTTATTGTAACCAACTTGAAGGGTGATATTAGCTTGGAATAGTTTGCCCTAAATAAAAAGCCCTTTTTAGAAGTCCAAGTTTTGATGGCACTGTCAAATTTGGTGAAATTTAAAGTCATATTCAAAATACTGTTCAGATTTTTGCTTAAGTTATTATTGACCGTCGGCTTCCAAATTTTAAAAGCTCACCTTTTACCCACCCATAAACGACGATAAATTTTATTTTGTTGTTCTTTTGACAAATCCGCATAGAACGAAGGAGAGCATTTTTTTGTAACCGAATAGTATTAGAAAAATTTTGGGGAGATAGTGGTTATCATATGAAGGAATTTTTTGCCTTACAAGATTAAAACAGTGAGCATCACTCGTGAGTGGAAGTCTAGTGGGATAAAAGCAGAGACTAGATTAACTTTATCACATTTTTGTTAAATAATATACAAATTGCTGAAGATGGACGTTTGCTAATTCCCGAAATAAAAATCAAAATTTGATTTATTCCAGCCATGCGTATTGGCCTTGAGTGGATAGACCAACTTTTGAGGAATTTTATCCATTTGAATAATTGATTGATACTTTTGCTAACTTATGACCTATGCATCTCGGCCAAAAAATATATGGTGTTCATTACAATAGTGCAGCTGGTTGTACAGAAGGCGGAGCTATATCCACTTGTATTGCATCTCTCATTTAAAGCCAAACCATGCCGACATTGTTAATAATTGAGACTTTGATATGTCAATTTAAACTCATTGTTTTCTACTTTAGATACATTTACTTGGTAGACTTAGTTGTATTTGGTGGTATTCCTTAGAAATTGATGGTATTTTAGGCTGAAACAAACCTAGTCGTCCCAATAACGTAACCAAATTGCAACATCATTAATGTGTTTAATGGAATGATGAAGTTATTTTGAATATTTTTTATTCAACGTATACAATGCGGATCTTTAAAACAGCAATAGCGATGATGTAAGATTTAGAGCTCCTTTGTCGTAAAAATAACTGCTTCTTTCCGTTTTAGGTGTATACGGCGACGCTCCGGATAAACTGGATGCACTTTTTGGGATAGTATCAGCGGAGAAAACACCGCCCAATCTCGAAAGTGACAGCTCCTCTGTCTCTCCATCTCTTTCCTCCTCTTCCTCACTAAATTCTTTCTTATCTCCTTCTGTTCCTGGGGAGTTCATTCTCTATGTGGACGAGTCCACTGATGTCATCATCATTACTTGTGAAGTCAGTCTCCCTTCGAAAGATCATTCTCTTCACCTGCTCTGCCCTCTAGTACCTGAAACACGGCTATGTTTCGAGAACTGTCGTCGCGTGTGCTCTCTTCCAGACTGTACAGACAAGCCAAAGCTTTTCACGGTTGAATGCGTTGAAGATTTGTTCGTGCGAGACATGTATAACATCTGGAAGTTTCGCTACATCATTGATCGTCATGAAGCAGCTGTGGGAGGCACTTGGGGCTGTTTCCATGCCGGAAAGTCAACGGAGATTGTAAATGTCACCGTAACTTTGACAACAACTGCGGAACCGATTAGAAAGTCAACCGCAGTAGATTCAGGTGTTGGACGTACTCTATCTCCATGGCTGGGCTCTTCCGTTGGACAGCTGAACTCACGAGGGTCGATCAGAGGCAAACATGAAGGAAATAATAGAACTTCAATGACCACACAACAACAGCAGAAAAGCAAGAGTAAGTGGAGAATAATGTTTTGCTGGTGTTTCTTCTTCAATGACGGGTAACAATGCGTTAAAGGAAGCTGCAAGACAAGGGTTTCAGCTGGCGATAGCTTTCAGTTATAAGAGAACTAAACACATCCTGCCCGGTGTAAGGATTTCGCCACCTTGTGAACAAGAAAAAGTGGTAGTCTGGGTAAATAACTGTGACCAGGTATGCTTAAATTTACGCTGTAATGCAGGACATCGTAGTTTCAAAACAACCGAATTTCAATATTTGATTTAACATTATCCCGTATTTCACATTCAACAGCCTTAAAAATGCAAATATGAACCGTTAATTGTTGGATAAGCAAAACTAGTCGCAAAAAGATGGACATTTACGATATGAATGAATCTTTGCTAACAGGTTCAACAAAGTCCTTAAAGGAGACTAGTATCCTAAAAATCAACAAGGAAATGTTTTGAAACCTAATACATTTTGCCAGAGACGAATTTTCGTCCAGATATGATTCCGAGTAACAACAAAGCTGCACCTCGTAAAGTTGATTAATCCTTTCCACGCTTTTGCAACTTGACGAAATTCTTTTTTTACTGGTGTCTTCAGCATCTGTTATCATAACTGAAACGGTGTAGGGCTTAAAATTCTCTTTCTTCAATGTAATTCCCTTGGATTAAGCACCGCTCAATTTTAATCTACCATAAGTTATTTTGATGCTTGAAAAACCAAAAATGTTTAATAATGCACTTGATAGGATACTGTACTTCTTACGTTAGCAGATAAGAATAACCGTTTTTGAAAAATCCACCACTTAAGTTAATTTTTCACACATAGAGTAGACCACTTATATATAGAATACTTCCTACACAAATCATTGCTTGGTGTTTCGAATCGGCTGCATAGATGGCGGCACGTATATCAGGTATTTCATTGTTCATTCAAAAAAAATACAAAATGCGTTAAATTTGCACAGACTGAACCCTCTTTTTGGAACCTTTTATATTAGAGACGCTATAGCACACCATTTCTTTGTCGATGGCAAATGTTAATCACAAAAGTTGAACAAAATTCAAGTTTTCATCCACACAGAAATCGTATAAAGAAGCCCATTTGGTTAACACTACCTAGTTTTTCATATTACAAATGGAAACTTTTAACCGAGACCACACCCAAGTCTCGGGACACGATTCGGCATATTTTGGTGGGTAAGCTGGCTGTTAAGTATTCTAACGACCTGAAGTTACATTTGTTGCGGAAAATATATTAGTAGAAAAAAAAAATGAAAATTGAAACACATCATTTCATGGGCTAGTAATTTAGCGCCACGGGGGTCAAATTAAAACACCATGGTGTAGTTAGATTGCAAGTGAAGATAAAACTTGCCTCTTTGGACATGAGCGTTATGTCAAAGTAAATCAGTAAAAGAAATTCGTGTATCTCCAAATCCGCAAATTTATACTCTTTTATTTTGATATCCAAGGATTTTCGTGCCATAGATAATCGGGTGAAGGAGAATTTCATGTCCCTCCAGGTGTGGTGGAGTTACGTGGCCAGGAAAATTGTCCAAAAATTTAAGTAGAAGACAGGACAGCCAAATAACCGGATTCATCTATTTCTTTGTTTAAATTATCAATCGAAGATATGCAATTTTGAGCGACCAAATGACTCATTCGGTTTGATTGAAATAAACTGAATTTAGGATACGCCTATTTAAAGCCCCAAGAATTCAATTTACCATCACATTTGGTACATATTTTGTCCATTTTCGTCTCTGGTGTTTGCGGGTGTAAGTATAGAACCCAAGCATACCGACGTGATCATTTCAAATTCATGCTTCAGCTCTAGCATTGGAAATTCAGTTCAGTCGTGAAACCTATTCCTAAGCATCCTAAATGTGCCTTTTAAAGGAGAAGTAAATATTTGGGCTTCCGGATGCCTTGCTGCCTTGCTAACCATGCCGATGCAGAGACTCAATTTATCTTACTTAATGGAGTTTCCTTAAACTGGAAAAGCCTTTCACTGTAGACGAAATTTTCGCGGCTACCTTAACACGATGTCGCTTATACAGAAGGAGGTAACAGCTTTTGGGCGATTGACGTATTCGTTCCAGTTGCTAAATGGTTTATCTTTTGGTGCAAATTGGTTGATTTTTGCTTGAGGGTACAAACAAAATTGGGGTAACATTACTTATCCTCTTTCATTTCTACTTTCCTTATTTTGAAATATCGAACAATTTTCCCAAATATTTTATAGAACTTACTTAAAGTGAAGCAAAAGGCATCAGAACTGAACAAAGTTGTCATTTTAACAAAAAATTCACGTAAAAGAGTCAGGAACAGGATTTTGGACGCTTAAGCACCTGTTGCACATTTGCAAAGAGTTTTTACTTCTTTCTCATTAAATTTATTGCCAAAAAGGAGAAGTCTGCAGGATCTTCCAAATGGTCAAACTGACTAAGTCTTTTGTGCTATGATCTTATGCATTCCATAAAATACTCCGATTTTGAGCTGTAAAAATTAAGGATGACTGCACTCCATTCACTGGTTTTCAGTGGTTAATCAAATGATGTGTAAGTCACTTAAGAAATTCAAGAGATGAAAGCAACCAATCACCTAGCTTTTCATTCAAAAATCTTGTCTAAGTTACTTCTTCTGGTGGCAATTCTGAATAGAAGCTTAGACCGAGATGCTGTCAAATCTTACTCTGATTATTTCCAGAAGCATTTCACGTAGGACATTTCATTGGGGAATTTAAATCGTTTGGTTACCGAACTCCATCCCTTTTGCGTGTTTTAATATTATATGGAATAAACTAACGAAGGTCCCAGCACATTTGTAACTTCAATCTAGAGAGCGGTTTACGTTTTGTGTTGTTCTACTGAAAGTATTTCAGTAAACATTATTACATGGGGAGTGCATTCGCAGAATAGCAATCTGAATCTCCCCATGTCCCCTCTAACACTTGTCTTAGGCTGTGACAGATAGGCTTTGACTTGAAATTACTAGGGCACAAAACCAGTATACGTTCCACTTTCACGAGTAACAGTGTGAGGCCCTGATTCTTACTTGAACCCGTAATAGAGTGTATAATGCAGAAGGTTGTTCCCTCATGAGGGTATAGAGGGACAGAGAGGCCATACTAAGATGAAATTTCAATCAGCGTAGACTGAGAAGTCTGCGGAGTTAAGTATCTACTTTCACAGAATCATTTGGCTAAATCAGTCTAAACTTTGTATATAGAATCCAAAAATTGTGGGAAAAGAATGTACTTTCCGAGTACTTTGTGAAAGTAAATGAAATGCCCAATGCCCACAAGATTGTAAAACTCATCAATCATTTTTAACATTTGAGCAATGTGTACTCAAAGTAATCAACAAATCCACCCTACTCCTACATTTGGAATTTTAGGCGCTTAAAACACCTTAGTTTTATTGCAGATAAGAAAACAAAAGTTATCACTAGACCACATTTCCGCACACATACCTAACGTACTTTGGTATAATTCCTGTCTTTTTTTCATTTCAGAAAACAACGATTTTGATAAAACGGTTGTAATGGTCCTCATCATCTTCCTCTCTTTATCGATCTCAATCAATATAATCTACGTTCTTATTTCTTCCTGCAAGAAAGAAAGTGAGTCTTATTTTTCCTCGAGGCCTGTGCAAAAATACTTCCTTACATTCTGATGATTGAATTTTGTAATAAAATGCTCCACTTTATTCCACTGAGAATTGGCATCAGAAGTACAGTTATGTGGACCGAAAGAGAACTCGACTACGACTCCTTCAACACCAATGGTGATAGCTCACGACGATCAGACATCCAGAGCCTGTCCTCGGAAGAATTTCCGAACCCTCCCGGTCCTTCTATCTGCCGATCCGTCTCCTTTTCCTTCCCACCAACTTCAACCACCTGCATTTCTCTGCCCCAACGACAAAGAACACGTTACTTCAAATAACATCAATGGCGATAGTCTCTATGTTTTGCATTCGAATTCATTACAGGTGGGTAGTGATAGCACCAGGTGCATGAATTCATCAATGACATTTCTGGAATAATGCAGAAGAGCTAGAGAGCCGGTAGCAAATGAGAGTAGTCACGCGTACAATGTAGTTTACAGCTCATCCTTGACGTGTTCAAACTTCTCCAATACCGGACATTATAAACGTAGAGTGCATTAAACTACGTAGGAGAGAGAAATGAGGAGGAGTGTCCGGGTTCTAATGATAACCATGACCAGTGATTAGCCAAATCGAATTCATTACTAGAGCCAAGGAGTGCATACATAACCGTGCCAGTTAAAACAGCTTTCTACTGCACTTTAATTCCAGTAAGTAGAAAACAGAAAAGCTAAACTACAAAGAATCACAAGTTGTTTTTTGGTCGAATATACTTCGATAAATGTCATTTCCAAATGTTATTGCCTCGATATTATTAAGGCATATAATGAGATTGTGGTCTTTCCAGTTAAATCCACGAAAGCTACACCTGATCTTTCGATCGATTCCCACGATCTTTTCTGACTCAGTTAATAGTTTTGTACCTCCAACTATTGTTAAGACAACCATCTAGACGCGTTTTTATCTCTGAATAGGTGATATTACTTCGATTAAAGGTTACTATGCCATTGTATACTTTTACGATTTAAAAGCGCCGTGTCCTGGGCATTTTGGTCGTATTGGCACCTCAAGAACGTTTTCCATAAAGTAGACGCTTTATTTGGACACTTCAATAGTGTATGAGATTCTAACACCACAAACTATTTCTGATCTTTCAGTCCTACCAATTCCAACATGAACCATGTCTTCAGAAACACATTATATACTGCTGGCACTTATATCTAAAATGTATGATTATGATCACAACTAGGATTCAAGCAGCCATGACGCCCGAAGATGCTATAAACATAGAAAAGGGATACCCTGCGCCACATTGATGGAGGGATGTAGCACGTATATACAAATAAAACTTGTCAATTAGCTCATATACTTCCATGAACGTGGACCTCATCTACCAAACTTCTAAATTTGTCAATATTTTAAAGTCTTTCTAAAGATATACCCACCTTTTCCAGACACCGACAACACCACAATCCATCGGCTGCCTGGCCCGTCAATCTGAGTCGCCTCCATCACAGCAGTTGACCATACGTCCACCCTCCACTCAACCGTACAAAACGATCATACTTCGACCTATGAGAACTCACAGCCTCTCACTGTTTTCTCCTTTAATAACAACAACTACGAAGGCAAGACAAAGTCGGTGCCTCCTCCTCACTAGCTCGATTTCCAACAATGAGAACCACAACAGTAGTAGCAACGGTCAGCATCTGCACTCCAACTCTCCATACTCCTCCTCATCCAACTGTACAGAAAATTGTGCCTTTGTTTAAACAAGTTAAGTGCTTATTAAAAACAATACTCTGTACAAAAGATTAAAACTTGCTCGAAAAGAAAGCCTTGGGATCATCGCGGATCGTTGTTGTTGCAAGGTACGGGACTGTGCAGTCGAGTTGGTCTAGCTGACCGAGTCAACGGATTCACATTTTCCTTATCTTCATCTGCTCCGACGGCCTCCGCGGAAGTTTTCAATATACATTCGTGAAATGAAGCCGAACGGACACATCTACACTCTCGTAAAACTGGTCTGGAAGGAGGCCTTGCAGACACGGTAGTAATACGTCGGCGTGGTAAAGCACGGGTAGGTGGTGGACGGGAGCGCCTATGTTGTGTCGAAGGAAGTGGTTCTAAGTCTGCTTCTTCGTCCGCTATAAATTCAAGAAGTCTCCTTAGCGGACGCGTTTCAGACATAGCGGAGGAACCAGATTCCAGCTCCCAAGAGGCATCTCTGAAAGATTTTCATAAATGGCAGACCGTGGAAGGAAGCATAAGGGCAGAGGGCTCCGCGTACAAATGAGTATTTTGTGAGGATACATCCAGCCATTTTACAGTAAAAACGGTGTTTAGACAGACTTCAGACGAAAATAGTACCTACTTGAGTATGAAATGTTCAAAGTCATCAAGTAAAAATGAGGACCGAACTCTATGACATTACATCTTAGATATTACTGAATTCTCCCAATATTAAGCGGGTATATTACAGCTATTTTAAACATATGCCCTAGATTATATTGAAATTCAAACATTCTATTCCATTAGAATGATAAATTCTAGAGACGCTTTTCTTTCATTCGTTGTATCAAGTAGTAAGCAATTACATCTAAAATTCACCATGTATACTCAAAGCAAGCACAGTCTCCTAGAATTCTAGAAGTGTGAGACAGCGAATGAATCGCATGGGAATGACCAATGATATGCTGGCCTATTATCATTTGTTTGTGCAAGGGAAATGATACCCTTTTCTGAGTAGCTTCCACAACTTGCACAGATGTAGAAGTAAACGAATTGTTTCATCACTCATTATCGAGAACAGGTTAAATCACTTCTAGGAGGTACGCCCCGCTACCGCACCTTTTCCAAGTATCATACAAATTGCCCAGAAAGCTAGTTTCCGCAGCTTCAGGACCAAGTTAAACTTGGTATTTAAAGCAGACAGACTCAAGATATTGTAAGGGTTCAAAATAGCAAGTGCTAAAAAGTGCAATTATAGGTACAACTTAATAAAATGGATAACCACCCTTTGAATTAGGAAAGATACTCTTAGGTAATGAAATTTAAGGCTGTCACTTATCTAACAAGAGGAGAACATTAACGAAAAATAAGGCAAAAAATTGGATGAGTTTCAGATGAGTCAAATGATCGGATATCGGAAGCTTTTCTTCCTTAATGCGTGAAAGCGAAACGCATTAACGAGGCCTATTGTTATGTAATAATTTACGTTTATCCCCATCCGTAAAATGATTGAAACATAGTAAGGACCCAAACAGTTTAAAATCGTAAAGTTAAATGCACCCCAAGCTGGGGCTCCATGAGATCTAGTCCAACGACTACAGTGGATACGCACCTAATGTGATTCGATAGACCAAATTTGGATAGGAAACATCCATTTGAGCTGCGGAGCACTGATGAACGCTGATAGTCAGAACAAAGGAGAACATAGATGTAATTGTTTCACTCACGTTTGCATTAAAATAAACGCGACAGGCATTGGAAAGCGCAGTACATGATCTCACGTCAACAGTTCAATCTCATGAGCTAAATAAGCACACCACTTTGCTCAAATAATAAAACTGCAATCACTTTAAAACCCCCTGAGAAGGTTTTGAAGTTGTAATATAAGTAAAAATCTGAGTTAAAAGGGGACAAATTTTTGACAGTAATCTCACCGATCAGGCACCCAGACACCGAAATCAATAATCGTGGGAATAAAGACATCCCGATCGAAGCAAATTGGACACTTTACATGATGCAGACCAGCAGAGCAAGCGTAGGCAGCGACACACTCCCGATGCATCCATGCGATGCGACAACAGCCGCCGTGAATCACTCCATGACACCACGCGTCGAAAGTCGTCACAAGTAATGTTCTACCGGTCGTTTTAAGAGGGGCGGGAGAGCTGCTTAGGATGCGACGCATCCAATTAGGCTGCTGTTGTGATACTAGTGCCATTAAGGCATCCGATTTCTGAAACATATTGGTACTCACTGCCCGCTGGCTATCATTAGAGAAAATGTTAGGAATTTGATGGCAAAACGCACACTTACGTCCCATAACTTAAGGGCAAAAAAACACTGCACATTGACTAAAAGTGAGCGATAAACACTGCTAGACTTCACATGAAATGCATGGTTTTTCAATAGCAGAGTTTACCGGTTCCTTTATAGGCATTGGTATATTCAAGAAGCGGTATCAAAGGAGGATTTGATGTGAATGGAAAATCAGTAAGCGAATTAACTGGAAGGCAGGCAAAAGGCCAATTCGAATTCCATAAGTTTCTCATGAAAGAGCGAAAGTTCCAAGCATGAGCTAGGCTGAAATACATAGGGCTAGTCCTCTGCAGCTCAGTCGGTCTAGCGAAGTCAAAATAAAGCCTAAATTTCGAGAGTAAACAATGAGAATAACCTCGTAATAAAAGTGAATATTGAAGCCAAAGCATCCAAGCACATGATCCAAAAATATAAAAGAGAAGTTCCGAAAATGATTTAAAGAACCCATGTTTAACTTCGTCAATGATGCAAATAAATGAAATTGAACTATGCAAATTTCAACATTTATGCATAAAACACTAAAACAGAACTGGAAAACCATTCCGAGAAGCCAGAATCAGCCATCAACCAAGACATCACAAAATGCAGGGACAAACTCTAGGGGAACCCAATTTTATCAAGAAAAAAAAATGCGAGAACCACCTTTTCCTCTGCTGTCTGCGGACAGGAAACTGGTCCAGGCAAAATGCATGGTTACTGATAACCACGGACTCCATGGGGCAAATTACTTTGCCATTAGAAGGCAACTTTAATGGATTCCTTGAGGTGTTTGGTTTGTTGTCGTCATCGGGAGCAACACTGAACAAACAGATGCAACAAGTCGGGGGATCATCTTTAAACGCAAGCAGGCGTGACACAAGATCCTTGACAAAGAAAAGCTGACTTGGAATACAGAATACGATGAGTACCGAGAAAACAGAAACAAGAACAACATTACCTGTTTCGGTCGGTGCTTGTAACAGAAGGCCTCAAATGACTTTTTAAAACAGACAAAGCCTTTGGCGTCATAAAGACAGGGGAGGTGAAAGGAGTATTGACACCTTTTTTTGATGCAGCCAACGCAAGCACCGACAATACCACAGTAGCGACAGTGAAGACGACGGCCACGACATATCTCTGCCTTAACTTCCTGAATATCAAACCCGAACATATACTGATCACTTCCAGTAAGTGATCCTGCGTCTGGATCAACTCTTTGGATCAACCCACTAGCTGCATACTACTCGGAACAAGCCAATAATGGTAATGATTACCCTACCAAGCAGTTCAGGTGAACAGCCAATTCGTGTGACTGGACAATTTCGCCGAGTACTGGATTCGATGATAAGTTCTTGCAAAAAGCACATGTCGCTTGTTTTGTGGCACCCTGGAGAGAAAGAAACCCCCCGACGGCAGGCGAGCCGCACATCCGCAGCGAGTTAAACCCGTTCATTTGTACTTGGTACTAGCACCACTTTAAACAAAACTTAGGAAATAGACTGATTACTTAATTATGGTAAAAACTAGAGTGATAGTTGTGTCTGGCCACCTTTTGCTCGTAAGAATTCTGTAACCTATACTTTTTTGGTGAAACTTAATTTGTAATTTGTCGATTAGGGACAGAAAATCAATTTAGATATTATAACCCCAAATTTTTCAAATAAAAACAGAAGTTTCGAATTTTGGTTACGTAGCCCCTCTGCTAGGGACTAGTAGTGAAGGATTGGCAAATTTTCACTAAACCTGCCAAAAATATATGTATATTTTGCTGTAGTTAGATAGCACACCAAATATTATAAACGAATTATTGGCAACGTTTTTTGAACAATAAACGATGCAACGGCACATAGGAGCTCATTTGCTTTACAAAGCTTTATGAAATTTTGTAGCTCCCCGGGACTTCCCTAAGGACTAAGGAAGACAAAATGCTAGAGCAGATTATCTATATTCGACACACAGGAGAGGTTGGGGTTTCTGGCATGGCTTAGAAGTCAGTCCGCCTGACAACAACTCAATGGCTAAGACACAAATTGTTCTTTCACCCAAACCGAGAGTTAACTAAACAATCAATTTGATTCAAACTAAATTCAGTTTATGAGCTTTTCATCGAACTAATTTTATTGCATTTCTTCCACTTTTTGGCACGTGTTCTAGTTAATAGCACCTCGCATTGCATAATTCACTTCATGGGCCCATTACGGGCATTCAATCCACATTATTTACACTTCTGGGAGCACTCATTGTTACATATCTATTAGATGATTTTTAGTTGTTTCACTTCGTAACATAAGTCGGTTTATGCTGTTATCGTCCAACTGCATAAATTTTTACGCCTATCTGGCATTTGTTTTGGTATGCTTGTAACACACATGTTGGTTAAATGTACCTTTTGGGTGGGGGGCGTTGAGTGAATACCAGTTTCGTGACATGGAAGGAGTTAGATTTCTTCTAGGCAGAAGTGAGCTCACAAGCCATACCCACGTTAACGTTTACCAGCATACATGCCCTTACCGGATCGGTCTTTTCGAAGACCAGAGAGGAAGAGATAAATATAGAAGCATGCTGCGAAAGACTAAGTTATTAATGAAGTATGGCTATGGGAAAATAATAAAAACGAGAAAAGCTATACCAGTTATTACTTAAAAATGTTAAAAGTTTAAATGACAATAGGTCATACTACTTCTGTTATATTGTGAAGTATACATCATGGGCGCTCAGGCATTACCGTTAAATATTTGCTGGATATGAAACTTCCCCTTATACTTCATAACATTTTAACAAGGAAAATTTGTGTTGAGTTCCGGAGTTTCTTTTGGGCAAAAATAAATTGGCCAAATTTGTTCCATAAAACTGTTTAAGGGTATACTAACAATCCTCGTTTATCAACAAGGCTCGGTATGCATTACACCCACACTCACCTATTTATCTTGTGGCCTTTGCTGATTGCTAAATTAACAGCGCGTAGCAATGTTTGAATTAGCCTTTTTTCATCTAGCTGAACTTTGAGCCATTAATACGAGGCATCAGTGGACCACTTGTTAAGGATAGGGCTGTGAGGGAAGGGTGGAAAATGTGACAATCAAAATCCGCAATGTTGAACTTCGATTGACGGTGATAAATTGAAAGCCGCGACAGAGTTGAATCTAAGACAAGCTTTTCGTAAGCAGGTGATTACGGGACTAGTGTGTTCTCGATTCCAACCGAGTAGGTTGACATGCGGATGGATAGATAAACTGATCGTCAGATAGATATCACATTAAAATATGTGTTTGTTATTGCAGTAAATCATTCATCGCATAAAACGCCGTTTTGGCTAGTAGGACTATCAAAAATATGGTTAGTCTTGAATAAAAGAATAGTTGATATAATGTCAGAGTTCATGTGCCCTCATTTAACTTACAGGGCTAGTTAGTTATTTTATAAATCTTCAGCTTGGAGGTTAGATAATGAAACGAATTCAGTGGGAATCCAAGAAATCAAGTTTAAAAACGTGGCATAAACGTATGACTTGACTCTTAATAATTCGTAATTCGGAGTATTAAAGAAGGTTTTCCAAGCGCTCTTCCTTGATGTATGCCTCAGTTTGTGGGAGGAAAAACATTTATTTGATACTTGAAGGGGGTGTTAATTGTTGGCACACACATTATTTGCATAGTAAAATAAAATGACCTCAAATAACCGCCAATCTAAACTAATTTAAATATCCCATCGCTTGTTTTTTTTCCGTAAAAACCTATGATTCCTGTGTATACTTACCCTAAAATGATTTACGACTCATACTGACTGTCAATCGCCTATAAACTTGTTGATCTTGAAAATGACCATGAGGCAGCCCATAATCATTGTCAATAAATAGCACGAATTATGCATATCAATGGGGATCCTTTTTGCAAAGCCCATTTTTAGCTTTATTTTCCGAATGTCTGCCTTGAGGTAGAACTACACTCCTTTCAGAAATTGCAAAGGCACAAAGTCTATGCAACATTAAAAGTATCACCACCAAACTAAATATCAAGAAATTGAAAACACCCTAATTGCTTAAAAATTGCACTTTTGAGATCAATCAAGAAAGCTTGGCGATATATTATGGCCTTACCCAAAACAGTTTTAAATTTAGCTTGTTACGAGGGCATGGTGACACAGGCGCATAATGGCGTCATTTGCAAAGAATTGTCAAAGGAACTCTTGCATTTGATTAAGGTGCCCAGAAAAGCATTTTTATGCATTTATGTTTTTTAGAATTATACCTTGGTTTCTGACATTTGTAAGTCTATCCATAGATGTTATAAACTTCTGCATCACTGATTGTCACAGCCTAGTGCATGAGTTTGGATCGTGCCGAGTTGCTAACCATAGTGATTGGGAGACCAAGACTTCAAAACGGACATCTTTATTTGCCCACGAGTATGAGTAAACTGGGAATACAACGTATATATACGTGACCGTTGGCTACCTACGTGGTGCACATGGTGGTATCATTCTTGTGTATTTATGGTTTTTTGAATGGTCTTGGTGGTCATCAGCACAATTAAAGTCTACCTATAAATGATGTTGGTCAATCATAAAAGTGAACAAGGATGCAAGTCCCCACCATACCTTTTAGAATATTCAAGGCTTCCCTGAAGACGTTAGAAGACAATACACGGGCAGGATGTGTATTGTCGACGTACAGTAGGGTCTGGAATTACTGGCATGACCGGGAGACTAGGCCGCCCCGAGGAGGTACGATGGCGGATCCCCCACCCAGCCTATTACCAAAACCGTGAATTAAACAACCAGTTAAATTACTATCTAGGCCGTCTTCTTTGAGCGTCATCGTCGGCCCTCTCCTGCATCAACTTTTCGCGTCAGCCACCACAACATAGTCAATGCTGCCAGAAAAATACCTACAAGCCAACCCTCCAGTCATCAGATTTCCATGCAACTGTGGAGATGCTTGACCGAAATGGCACCAATCCCTCATTGCAATTCTACTGGATCTAAAGTTCTGTCCTATTTAGAAGCTGTATCGGGAAAGGGGTAATATGCTGACTGTCATGTATGTCCGTCACTCTTTGTAGGAAAACTAACCTAAAAGCAGTCTTTTAACAAAGGGTGGGACTTACAGTGTTTCCTTGGGGATAAGGTTTCGCGTCAATTTCTCCTTACCACCTTGTTCTCACTTTGGTGCTGCCCATCCATGCCTATCTGGCTGCCTTCCAGCTAGCGTATTCACATAATTAAAATCCTCATACAGGTACCATCAACAGCTCCGTAACGAAATTTTCCAGACGGTTTACAGCAAGCGTTGCATCGTTCGTTAATAGCTTTCCTGTAGAATACGGAACTGGAATAGTTGCCGAAAATAAAACCCATATTTATCTTCTCTGGTAGGAGTCGTCGCAGATTTCTCTATCCGCTGTATGTGCAATTTTCCGCAAGGCTGAAGTTTATCACCCAGCAGTAGAAATCAGAATGTTTTTTAAGATAGAATTCTATTTTTATTGATACTAATGAATACGAGAGAAGATATAATAATCGGTTGAAAATGTATTGTTGACTAGGGGAAGGGCTTAGGGGCTGCTGACTTGGTCCGAAGGCCAGACCGCCTGGAGGAAGTGCAGTGGTGGAGTCCCTAAGTGGCCCGTTGGGAAAACCGAGAGCTACACAAACAATTAAAGTATTTTAGCATCACTAAGTTTGAGAAAAAGCTAAGAGACTATCGAAATAAGCCAAAGGCCATGCCACAGTGTGGATTAACCAAATGTGGGGACTATTGTGCCTGCGCAGCTTAAACTACATTGAAAGGAAATGTCTAATTTCAATTTTAATCGCTTGCTGACCGTTTGAGCTTTAAAATTTCTCATTAACTCTACGCGATATAGATGTTATCGCCAATGCTTAGTATGCCTACGATTTGTACCTCCAGAACAATGGTTTAGAGCAGCTTTTATGGAGATCTAGATAAGACACGATTATAAAATAACTTCTAATAATATTTTTTTGAAATTTAATGTAGTCAGTAATGCATAAATTTTTGGTGAATAACTTGATAAGCCCCTTTTTGATCCTTGGTTTTCACTTGAAAAACGTATCAGTCAAAGGGAAATCTTGAGATGGATATAGCTGGCTGAAAGCAGTCAGATTGATAACTTATATGCTTCTCTTAAAGTGTAAATTAGTTTACTCCTATTGCATTTGAGTAGTTAAAATAAAATGACAGGAAAAAGAAAGAATAAGGAAGAATTACCTTGAAGAATGCCTTCTTCTTTCCTGCCATGGCCCATGAACACACTACTTTTGTCTTCGGTAATTATTTGTCAGACGTTTGGCAACCACTCGTAAATTTCAGGCAGATTTCCGAAAAGCGGTTGAAAAAGTAAATATTTTGTCCATTTTAACGTCGATAAGACATTTGGTGGCATGGAGGCAGCAATATTCAATAGTAAATCCTCATGCCATTTAGCCAATCGCTTATGATGATTGAACGTTCAAGCTGGTTGTGAGGCGAGCTGACACTAATTCCACCCAATTTGGCTGTATATGATTTTTATCACGCCTTCTAAGTGCTAAAATTATCTCAACTAAATAAAATATGAAAGAGTAGGGCAATTTTTTGCCGCCTTCCCATATTACACACTAAGCGGAAAAAATAGATTTACTAAGTTAGGTTTTACAGCAGGGATTTTGAGGACGTATCACTTTACTACATAAAAAGTTTTTCCTCCACTTTAATGCTTTGCATGCAGTTTGTTAAAGTGTAGGCTTGAGAACAAATATATTTTATTTTTATTTTTCGTTGCAAAAGATTTATAGCTTTGAACTAGGGGGTTTTGCTGTTTTAATGTCAGTGTACTTAAGTTCTCCGGCCAGCTTTTAAAGGTTTTCAAGCAAGAACTTTGAGGTAATCACCATAAGTCTTCTCTTCTAAGGGCCTGTGGTTTTTCATTTTTTTCAATGGGATGTCGTCTTACCTCCATCTCTAAAGTGCAGGGAGGAGTTCTCCTCATTGATTTGATACCCACACCAGTAGCCAATGAAATAGTAGGGGCTGGAAGTGCATTCTTATTGGCTAAAAGGCCTTTCGCTGCAAGGATTAACTGATATTGCGGAGGCTCATTGTGTCTCAATAATGGCTAATGATGGGTAAGTTTCGGTAGCCTTAATGACAACATTTTTCCTCAAAGGTCATATCATCCCATCACGCGGTTAACTGAGGTTCTTAATAGTTTTTTGTACTGAAGATACTAGAACTTGACACATTTTATAAGATTTGCAGATCATTTTTTTAATCAAATTTGACAACTCATTATGCTTAATGTGAGACTTTGTCTCTGAGTCCTCATAAGAAAGAAGATTATATCCACCGGTAGCTTTCAACCTACACAAACTGAAGGTTAGTTAAGGTGTAAATTTGCATACCCTGTCTCCCTTCACCTTTTACTCCGCGACATTTAGTATCACAAATTTTACGATCGCTGCAAGAGCCAGAAGCCTGTTCATTTAAGTCCCTAGATGATTCGTCATGGATACTACCACAGTATTTATGAAAAGAATGCTTTCCTTCAGGAGAGATAGGAAGTTACATTGTATCTAACAAGTTGCCTTTTGGTTGTGCAAAAAACAGCAAAGTGATAATTCGTAAAGGTCAATTCGTTTAATGGTTACAAGACAAGTAGTTTTTAAGTATATGATAGGAAAATGGGAAATTTTAGGAAGAATCGCTCAAATGAACAACTCAGTCGGCTTAAAGTGCGCAAAGTTCTGGGAGTAGGTGACAGGTTTGGGAATGGCTCGATTTCAAAGGTAAGTCTTTAAGCTTACTTACTTATTTCTTTGACTTTGCTCAAGTGGGTAATGTAAACATCATGGCCTTCACTCGCGCCTGAAATGCCCAAACACTGACGTGCGAATACTAGAGCACCAGTTTGTTTAAATAGCTGCGACACATTTATATTATCTGCTACATATTTCATGGACTTGTTTAGTACTAAAACGCGTGCTTAGTTTTTTTCAAAAGTTGACGTGGATTTAGCATTAGTTTTACATAAAATATAAGCATCTGCGCCCAATGCCTTGATTAAATGTTTTGCAGTTACGCGAACAATAAAAGAGATGAGGCTTTCAAATTTCATCGGATAAATATTAAAAGGAGGCGTTTTTCACAAAGTTAAAAGCAGTGTAAGAGTATGGATTGCTATACTATCCAAAATTAATAAATCTTATTTATCCACAAAGCTTGGAATTTCTCTCCATATAAGTCGGTCAAAATGATGCAGCCCAGATAAGTACATTTCATTGTTTAAAGTAACCTTTTGTAACTTTCTGTTAGACTATGGAATTTATAAATAGTTTTAAATTCAAACAGTTGAGTGCTACGCAGTTTAAAAAAATGTGCGTAAAATAAAGCAATAACCACCAAAAACGGCAGCTATATTTACTCGACGAATGACACTGCAACAAAAGACGCCTTGCAGTTGCTTCAAAGCCTACAATGGCATCTTTTCCATGCTTTTTCGTGGGGCTATTTCGCACTGCAGCACACAATTACATTAATTGAGTCATATTTAAAAAGAATCTAAAGACCAAAATAAGTACGAGTGAAATTGTGGATTTTCCTACAACCTACTAAACTGATTTAAGAATAGTCTCACGTCATTTTAGCAAGCATCTAACTTCTTAGACAATGCTATAGTCACCATTTCCAAAAGAATCTGAAGTGTAAGCAGGGGAGTTTTTGGACCTGTCTTCTTCAACATTTCAGGGAAAGCTGTAATGCCTAAAAGGCCATTAACGGTGTAAGTAAATTAAAATTCTAGAACGTGGACCGAAATTGACCATATGGGATCCCTGAACCTAACTTCTGTTCCTACTTTGAGTTGCGGGGTTTCGATTTTTGTTAAAACAAAAGTTTTACCGGCGTGTCCCCATTCTTACCAGAACTGATACTTAAAGATCTCGAACCAGAAGATGACCAACCGCTCCAAAAAAGGTTATAGACAACCGGATAAATCCTTGTGGTTTACGTAACACATATTTTTATCAATAACAAAGTGTTCAAATATTTCCTTGGCAATTCGGGCGACATAATTCCCACTTCATCCGAGTGAAAACAGAACAGTACATGAGGCAGTGCCTCGTGTCTCAACTCATTACTTCTTTTTTGGCAAACGACTCAACTGATAAACATTTAAAAATCCCATCTGTCTTTTGATGTAAACCAATTTCATTTTCTAGTGTTGAAGAAAATTAAGACAGCTTCTAAAGAATTTTATTTAACAACATAAATTTCAGTAATTTATTTCCACATTAATTGAACACAAAACTCCTAGCTGTTGCAAATTGATGACACTACAAATGAAGCCGAGTAATTTGAATAAAAAGTCAGAGTGGAAAAATAAAACTTTAAACAGTTACTTTGGAGGGTATTATTTACAGCAAGGGGGCACTGTTTTTAAAAGCCCTTGCAATATAACAAAGACGGCCAAAGTATGCACAAAATGAAGTGACTTACCTTTGCCAAATTTTTATTTTTTGTGACAAAAGCATCCATTTTTAGGACATGCAGATAAATACAGCTTGCCTTGTAAGCACTAAGCCTGTAATGGATCCACTTCAACTACTTGGTTTATCAGGTAATGATTTAGGGGTTGAAAGCGATCGTTTTCAGCCAGCATAGAGGAGAAAAAGCAATTGCTTTTTATTTTCTTAAATTTCCTCCTTTGATTCAATTTTATAATAACACGTATAAAGTATTTCAAAGTGGCTGATAGAAAATGTACAATCCTAATAATAAATGAAACTTCTTTTGAAATCTCTCTCCTATTAGATAAGAAACGCCGGAACTCATATATTTGCATAATACATAGTTTGCATAAAGGCTCTGTGTTTATAATATTTATGAAAAATTATGATTTGATTACTGCTGCCTTTAGATTAGCCAAATATTGGGCAGCGTCGCTTTTACCAGACGTGAACAAAAGCCTTCCCTTATTTGGTGGCTTCGAACGCTCAGTTTCCTCATGACACTTTCAGTTATCTCGGTTAGTATAAAGGCCAAATTTTGATTTGTACTCCTAGTGAAATTTTTGGCCTGCATTGAAAGTACAAAAGACGATACAAATCTTTTTCTTCTTTTAGTCCGTGAAGGGTAGCACTGATTTACAGAGCGACATTTATGCTAAGCTACTGACAATATGTGCCTTTAAATTGGGTAAGATAGAAAAGTTTTCTAATATTTTTCTAATAAAGTCAAGAAATGATAGCACGTTTTGAGTTGAAGTAAAAGTGCCTGCAAGACGTTGCAGAATTCATAAAACCGAGAAATTGTTCGCAAAAATATTTCACGTTAATTGCCTTAAATTACTGTTCGTATCTTGGGGCAGAATAAAAATGTGGGATAGTGAGAATCGTAGGCGTTTTTTTAACTGCGCACAATCAAGTGTTTTATTACTCATTTTTTCATGTATGATTAGGGGCCGCAAAATCAGGCGACCAAGTTGTCGTTCTCTATGCTACAAATTAGCTCTAACGAAGTGGGTTTAGTGGCTGACTTCCGTTTAACAGATGACTTCCTTTGGGATTATTTGTTTAAGCCCCGGTGGGATGAATTGGATGACTAATTAATTAGTCAAATAAACAATGCAAAATTGTGAGGTAACTTTGAGTGGTGTCAAAGATGTGTACTGATTTAAATTACATTACGCTCTAGGCATCAGCCTGGCTCTTGCCTATGCATCGTTCGTGGCAGAAGAAGGAGCCGTTCATATGGCTATTGTTTTGGTTTTCACAGTGTTCTCATTCAGTGCTTTTGGTAGGTGGTGTTTAAACCCCTTTCCTTCCATGTATTTACGTTTAATATTACTTTAACACAAAATCAAGAAATCATCTTATTGCTTTGATGTATACAAAAAAATTATCTCCTGTATTTTTATCTTTTTGGGTGCATAACGCTACCCTAAGTTAGCGCCTAGTTATTTGAAAGTTGGTAAAGTAGTTTTAAAGAAAGCAATTAGTAATGTCAAGAGGGTATATCAAGGATGGGGCGATTCTTAAAGGATATTTAGATGCTAGGAAATATCAAATATCTTTTTAATTATGGAAAACTTGTAAGTAACTTTAATTGAGAAATATGAAAGCATTCTAACTGTGTTGAGCATTACTATTTTAGCTTCATTCCTTGTGATGAGATTAGAACCAACAGCAATTTTGGAATGTGGCTTCAACATGTTCGTTCTCGTCTGCAGTTATTTGATCTCTGCTGAAATAAAACTGGCCAAATTCCAATGACTTAAATTTATAGTGCTGTATAATTACACACCCATCTCACCCCACTTGCCTGCTTTTCACGGTAATTTGAAAGTGAATCCACACTAAACTATATTTCTCTCATTAAAAGAAAAAAATAACTGTGTGGTTTTGCTTGCTTACTTACCCCTCCCCCTAAACACGATCAGAATAGATGCTGTTTTAAATTTGAAATTGCAGCCGTTTACTATGTTCTCAAGTGGCGTTATTTGCGCTAAATTTCGGTAAATCTAGAATTCCTTTCTTATAAGACCAAATATTACATTTTTATCTTAATGGAATTGGTTTGTTGTTTGAAATTTCATATAAATTTGCTGATACTTTACCAATAAGAGCCTTTAATTTAAAACTAGGAAATAAATGGTGGCATGTTATCACCCTCTACCTGAAAAGTAGCCACGTGTATAACATACTAAATGAATTATTTATTTTTGCAGGAATTGCGTATACTGCGTTTTAATTGCAACAAATTCCGAATGACTTTGCGATACAAGCTTTGTAAGACAGTTCTTTGAAAAGCAAGAGAGTTCCTATCAAATGTATAAATCCTGACTCCTCACAACTGATCATATTTTTGGAAATTATCGAACACTCTCATGGCTACCCAAGATTTCCAAACTTCCCCTAACTACTCATACTTCTTCCAGAGTCGTATGGAAGAACATGTTTTACTGCTCCATCATAGAGCTGGGAGGATGCTAGTGTGACAAGTACCCGCGCTGCAGAGCGCACCGTTAAACAAAATATCAAACACACAACACTAGCAGCTCAAAATTTTATCCATCATCCCTTGGAGATTATTTGTTCGCATTCGAAAGAAAAACAAGTACACACTTGACTGAAGATTGAAAAGTGGGAGAAAACTGTTACGCAAGATGATCTCTCCTTACAGGAAGCAAAAGTCCAGTTGATCGGTCCTGTTACGTGACACCGTTCGATAAAGTCAATGAACAATCTCAAAATAGTGCCTTCAATACCCGTTTTCGCCTATGAAAGTAAAAACGCTCTGAGTCTTTGCTAAAGGCGTAAGAAGTTATAGTAGTGTGGCAGAGGGTATATTAGCGGTGCACGAAAGAGATGAGGCTACTGCATGGTCAGGAGATCATGACAACGAGGGAACAGTACGATCTGAGGGAACTCAAGTGCCCACTAAATTAAATGCAGAGTTAAGCAAACTCTAGTTGTCCCAAAGGGGCCATCTTAACATTGTCGAAGCATATAAAAAACCACCCAAAGACCAGCCCCGTAAGTTATGGAATTTGTACGCGACTAATGCATAATATGATACCATGATTCTGATGTCACTGATACATCTCAGCGATTCACTGGATCTGGATCTGGGAATTTTGTCCTGCTGGGAGACTGCGCTAATAAAGGAGGATTGAGCTGTTCCCATACTATTGCATGATTTTATGCGAGGAGGTTGTCTCGTACGTACATCCCTAGTCGAAAAGACACTGCCCTAGAAGCAGAGTCATTTGGCAAAGGGCAGAGTTTAGGGCACGTTGATGGTGCTAAGGTTTCGCGTCCATTCCGCCTTACCACTTTACCTCACGTCAGTGCTGCGCAATTAAGTATCCTTTGGGTTACTCGGAGTTAGTAGAGAGGTGGAGGTATCGCAAATTACTTACATGATTCTTCATTTAAGTACCATGCACAGCTCTGTGGTAGACTTGTCTGTATGATTAACGTCAGGCGTTACTCTCTTTAGTTGTTACTAACATTCCATCAGGGCACGGGACTGAGGTAGTTGTCAAAGTTAAATTTGCCTTCATTTTTACCTCTTCTATTAAAATTGTTTCATCGGCGACTGATGCTATACTTCTGTCAACCTAAGAATTAGCATTTCACGATAGAAATCACGGTAATTGAGTTTTGGGATTTGGTGCACTCGTCTTCTCTGATGTCGTAAATTTCGAAGTATTGTGAGAGAAAGTGCATTACTGCCTAACAGATGAGCTGAGGCTATAAGCCTGGCCCGCAGACCATGCTGCTAGGTAGAAGTACAATCTGCAGCGACTCAAGTTTTCACCTAGTCGAATGCAGTGCTTAACAAACTACCAAATCATTGCAATTTGTCTAACTTTTCCCCAATCCTAAGCATCTCATCAATCGTTTGGACGGTTCAAGTGAGCAAGATTGGAAATGTGGACATGATACAAGCATATGGACAGAAGATCTGCAATTAAATGTTTTAATTTTAGAGTCTAGTGATTTGACTTAACTGTAAATAGTGCAACCATATCAGTACTGCCATGAAAGTTGCGGAGATGTGAAAAATGAGTAAGGCAAATGCCATCGCAAGTACTGAGGAATACTGAAGTAAGTCAAATCACATAATTATTTATTCTTAATACATTTGGTCCCAAGATGTCCTCATTTCAATTCATCCACTTTACCAAAGCAAAAACAATGTATTAATCTATCGTTCAAAAAAAGAAAAAACAAATTCCTACCTTCGTTATTTAGTCAGTCTAAATAAATCCCTTAGTCAAAGCAGGTAATGGACCGTCACCAAAGGTAACATCTTCATCTAACAGCTGGTATCCTACCTAAGCTGACGATCAAAGAGTTATTCCCAAATTTAACTAGACTAATTGTACCAGTCGCTCACTATAATATGGTGGCCCCTATGTAAGTTGTTTTGAAGGCCGATGAAGTTACAGACTTTTCGTCTCGAGTGTGAGTTTGAAAATGCTATGGATAAGTGAGAGAATAATAATAGCCGCAACGCTTGGCAGCATTCGCTGAACTTGTCGACAACAAGAAAAGTTAATTAAATCCTGAGAAACTCAAGTTAGCTTCTCTTTGTTCTTTATTAGCAAATCTTAGTGGGTAACGAAATCTCTTAATGCTTATAATTCACCGACGCGCTAGAGTGCAAGCTGAGCTTAAGTTAGTTACATGAAAACAAGTCGTTTGTTCTGGACCAGGTAATTACCGACTTGTTGAGAAAATACATTTTTTTCTTTGTACATACCACAATGATCAGTAGGGCTTTATAGTGAGGGTTGTAAGCCTGAAATATTACCTAGTCACTGTTAAGGTGGGGAAATGATGGGGCTTTTGGCTTTCCAAAGCCTTAAAAATGATACTTAGGTTTATATAAAAGATAAAATCATGAATTTTTTAAGTTATTACAATCCGTTTATGATAATTTGCTAACGAAAAATCTAAATCGGATTCCTCTTTTTCCGTGCATGGGAATACGTCAAAGCAGATGCGGAAACGTATTTGTTATATTAATTGCCAGTTTGCGAATGATGAAGGGTTTAAAAATGAAGATTTTGGCAGAAAGATGTGCTAATGATTTTTCACTTCCTTGTAGAATTGAATTGGGGCATTCAGATTTTGTTTGGCTTGGGTGTGGCCACCTAATAAAAGCGCGGGACTTGATTAATTTTTTTGAGAGTTTCCGCTTTGGTAAGTACACCTGCCCCTGCAAACGAGCCATTACGTAATGAGCTTGCTGTGAGACTGAAGAACGCTGCCTCAGTTGGGATCATGAACATGATTTCAGTTGCAAGCGTGGATATGGCTCCTTTAAATTACACGTAAATGGGTGAAGTACTGCAGAACATGAGCAGAATGGGTGACTGATCAATCGAACGATCGATCTTCAAGAGGGGCTCTTTTTCGAGATACCATTTATCCTCTGTCTCTAATGGGCGTGCTAGCTATTCAAAAGTGGAAATGCATCACCTTCAAACCTGAGGTTTCCGATACTACGTAACTCTGGCAGAAGTGCATGTCCATATTTTCATCAGTTTTATCAGTTGCAGTGACTTTAAGATAGCTTCCCGCTCGGAACATAGTTGCATCTGTTGGTCGTAAATTCTGATCAGTCCCAGTTTCGGCTCTGTAAAGTTCTTCCTCGTAGGGTGGCAAACACTCCTTTTAAGGAGGAAGTTTCGTGGGCGACAGTCCAATTATCAAATTGCTGCTTGAACAAGTGCTTGTCTCTTAAAGGGGACTTACAGCTAGGTGTCCAGGGCCAGCTATCTGACTCCAATTGGAGAGCTCCTCAGGCAAGTCCATGTATGTTCACATAACTTAAAAGTGGATTTCTGAGACTGTCGGAAATTATATAGTAGACGTGGACGAAAAGTCAAAATCGCGAGTATCAAAGGCCTGTGTAGTCAAGAGAACATTTTAAAGAAATGTTGTTCTGTTGCGATACTATTCCTACAACTTAATTTTCGAAGGATTAGTTTTCATTTTGTGGTCAGTCTTTCAAAAGTTTATTCAGCAAGCCGTTGAACTGCACTGCCTGTTGTGGATGAAGTAGATCAAAGTCAACCGATATTCTCACGAAGCCGTTCAAGAATTCACGTTGAGGTTGAGTAAAGTAGAGTAGCCTTCAACTATGCTTATTTGGAACTGCCGGGATCAAAGTCTCCAATGCTATCTTCATTCATAGATCTTATCTTTTTCAACAAAAGATCTTTTCGAATTTTATGCATGATTGCGCGGATAAAATAGGTAGAAATTTATATAAGCATCTTTATTTAGCCCTGCTCTCTGCAATTTCCAGTTTTATGGTGTATTTTGTTGCGTAAAATAACTGTACCAGAGTCTGTTGTGCTATTTTAGATAATCGCATTTCTTCCTAGGAATTGTCTTTTTTCTCTACCACTGTAATAGGGAGGAAGTTTTCCTGTATTATTTCTTTTGCTCGCAGGACAACTATGACAACGTTGTATTTAAAAGTCCTTATGTTAAAGAAAACTCACTGCTTACTTCCCATTGTTTGGGTTGCTGACACCTCATTCTAACGAAGTGGCAAACAAATTTGTATATTTCCTTGTAGGCAGTAACACACAGGTAGTAAACAGCATACCACCTGGTGGTTAGCGGGTGGCATTTAGGTTTCGTTGCCGCTTCAGCATGCTGTGAAGTGCCGTTGCATTGGTATGCCAATGTTGTTGACGTGATTTGCTACTTCCGACATGCCATAAATTTCTACTCCACTGGGGCGCCTCATGAAAGAGACACACTGAGGCTCTCTTATAAGTAAATAAGCAAGCATGTAGTCAGTGAGTTGAAGGCCTTTCAAGCAGATTATACTATTTTTACCAGGAAACTTTGTATAAATTGGGGAACGAAGAATTAAACAAACAAACCAATTATTGCGCATGCAGTTTATTAGTTAACACAAATAAACTGCTAACAATATTATTGATGATAAGAATTATACAGCTTAAAAGGTTTAGCAAAAGAAACTGCTACATAAATTAATTCAGAAAAGAAGGCTTCTTTGTGCACAAATTAACCGTTTTAGTAATTCTTGTATGTGATGATCGGAATTCTTTAGACATGGATCACGGTAGGTGATGCCACCAGGCATTATTCATTTTCTGCTAGACAAGTGCACTGTTTTATTCGTAATGAAAAAATGCAAGACCTAATGGTTAGTGTAACAGATTCAATGATTCTCTCTTTAACATCTGCCTACATACTGTTAGAACTAGAAGACTAGTTAGATGGGTACAAGAGGCCGCAGTTACATGGGTTTAGAGTTCGCCTTCTTGAAAACCAATTGCGTCCGCTCATTCACTAGGTTCGTACCTATTTTCCGCTTTCCGCCCACGAGGCACATTCAAAATAGTGTGCAGTGAATTTGAACTTGTAATTCGTAATAACTTTGTAATACTTTAGCCAGAAATAATGGCATTTAAGTAGTATTTGGGTGGCGTATTTAGCTATGGGTTTGACCACTTAAGCACGTCAGTATTCGAAGGCAGTACCTCTACCGTGCTAATAGACTGCCCGCTCTCCTATAAGCTAATATGAGTAGATTTTTCCACTACATTGGCTAATTACGACTTTTCCCTAATCAAACCAGATACGTAGGACAACTTGCCTGATTTCTATGCCTTAATCAAACACTTGACACCACATTAGAAAGGCATATGCCCAGATTTGATGAATCTGTAAAGACTTCTAACAGAAAAGTTGAAAGTGGAACTTACCTTTGGCAATTATCCCTGTTCCGTTTCCTGATAGAGGACAGTTAACATTTGAGGTGGCTTAAGGTTTAAATGATTTTGAGGAGCCTACTATGGGGCTGTCTACGATGTCCATATGACGGGGTCTATTACCTAAGTAATCAGCACCTTCTCTCTGCCCCTGAATAAGGGTGAATGGAATCGAGATAAGTAGATGTTTGGTCAGCTTCGAAATGAGCACAAAGTGGCGGAGTGAAAAAATGTGGAATGCTAGTCCCTAAAAACTACATTACCTCTTGTCGATACTTAATGGCTCTATCATTAGGCCAATTTTTTTACGACTAGTGATTGACAGACGAGTTGCCGCCATTGTAGGCATCGTGTTTTTATAAGCAGTATGTCGGCAGTGCATTTACTCTTCCTTAATGCAGTTTATAAATAAAATAAAACAAACGAATCCAGAAACATTATTGAGCTGCATTAGTGGCGTTGAGATAAACTGTTGCTCCATGCACCGGGTACGTTGCGATGGCTGACGGCCGAGTTTACCAAAGGGACCGCCGAGGATAATGCTTAAAAGGAATCAGTGAAACTATGTTGTGGTTTAGCATGCTGTTTAAATGTATGTCTAACTACGCGGAAGCTCTCTTTTCCGCATGTTGTGCTTTCATTCTGCTGCAAACCCTTTGAGTCATAGTAACTGCCCACAAACCCTTTGCTATTCCATTTTGCTAGGGCGTTTAATGACTTTAACGAATACTTGAGGAGCTATATTTGAGTTTGAAAGATCAAATCCGCGGGGGAAAAGGGTCGATTTAATATGAACCATAAAAGAAAAAGGACAAATGCTCGCTAGTTGTGGAAGAACAATTAAACAATTACGTCGCATTAGGACAATGATATTGGGGCCTTAAGTCACAGATGGCAGCAAAATTTATCCGCAATATACGCATCTGCGGTTAGTTCGAGTCTCCCATCACTGTTAAATCTTCTGTACAGGAAGTATTTCATATTTTGGAATAAAATACATCACTTTTCAGCACACCTACTTTACAGTTAAGTATCTTTCAATAAGATGCCATGCAGTCGTTTTGAAAACCTGCGATGGCATCTTTTGCATCCTTTTTTCCTAGGCGTTCGTTTGTATTATGGCACAAGATTACATTCATTACACAGTATTTAAAAAGAAGCTAGAGACTCAGATAGGCCGGGAAGGAATCGGGAACTTTTATAGCTTACCAAAGCTATGAACAAATATTACTGCATTCACTAATTACAAAGAAATCTGAGGTATAAATAGGAGAGTCTTTGTTATTAAGTATCTTCTTTTACCAATTGTGGGAAGCCCAAATGCCTAGGAATTTACTGCTTATATAGGCTTGTAATAACCGCAAAGTACCTCTGATTCTAACTTCGGTTCCTGTATATGAATTGCAGTATTTCTGTCTGCCTTCTTGATTTGTTTTATGCTGACATAAACAAGTTTTTTACGTATCCATTCAAAGAAGAATGAATAAACAACGATTTTGAACCAGAAGATGACCATCCATTCTCTAAAGGATTATAGATAACCAGGTGGATCCGCGCAGGTTGCATGAAAAATATTTTTAAGCTGCTGGCAAATTGCACCAATATTTTCTTAGGCGATTTAAGGAATATAATTTCTACTATATCTGAGCGAGAACAGTACAGTACATGAAGTAGTGACCCATGTCCAGCCCCATCACTTCTTTTTCAGTGAATGAAACTCAAGTGATAACTATTCTCTAATCCTACCCATTTCATAACGTGAACCAATTTCGTCCGCTCATGCTGAAGAATGTCAAGGCAGCTTTTAATAGCGAGGCGTTACAACATGTATTTTGGTCATTTATTTCCACACTGGTAAAATGCCACGACATTTAGCTGGTATAAAGTATTAAGAATAGAACAGAAACAGACTTTTAGCAATAAAGCCGGAGTGGTAAGGTAAAACCTTACATTGATTACAGTGGAAAGTACTGTTTATGTTGATAGAACACTATTTTTGAAAACGGTCTTGCTTGGTAGCGAAGACATCTAATTCACCTAATAAATTATGCACTTTTTCCTTGGCAAATTTTTAATTAAAGATAAAACATTATTTTTAGGATATACAAGTGAAACAGCTTACCCTGTAAACAACAGTTTTAAGCTAATCCTTTAAGGACTGAAAATGATTGTTTGAGCTCGTGGTTAGGGAAAGAAGAATTAGTTCTACTGTTTGCTTTATAATTATTTGTTTTGAATTCGCGATCTCCTAAAAACCATTAAATTATTCTTTGATAAATAAATTAATGTTTAGCTAACGAAACGTTCGGTAATTTGAATGTTGTTAAGTTGCAGGAAATATCCTAAATGAAATTATTTTATAACTAATGAAGAGGGCAGATCATTTAAATGGCATTACAAAATACTCTGCCATTAGAAACTGTAAAATTATGAAAAGCTCAAGTAGGTTTATTGGAAGGAAGAAAAGGAAAGGAAAACTATTACTTTATTGCTACTACTTTAGCTACTTTCATTGTAATAAGATTTGAATCAGAAGATATCTTGGAATGTGGCTTCAACATATTCGTTCTCGTCTGCACTTATTTGATTTGTACTGAAATAAAACTTAGTCATAATTTGATAATTTATAGAGGCGTTTGATTGCAAACCCCATTCTCACCCACCTACTCGCTTTCCACAGCAAGCTTAAAGTGCATTCGCATTCGGTTTCAAATCGCTTGTTAAAAAGGAAAGAAGAGTGTGGTTTTCTGCTCGTTACTTCTACCCCGAAAAAAAGTTTATTTCAAAATGTAACTTAATGAGTATATAATGACTGAGGCCTTGATGCTATTTAAGGCAAAAGAAATGGAGGTTTTTTTTGAAAAGATGGACTGAATATCTTCTAAACTCACTCGAAATTGAAGATGATGTGAATGCAAAACGTATAGTTATTTGCCATGTTTTTAGCTCAAATGGCGCTATAGACGTTACAATACTAATTGGCATTCCTTTTACTTTCAAAGGAATCTGCTTCTTGTTGAAATTTAATGCAAATTTCCTCATGTTTCACCATTAAGACCAGTTAACTTAAAACCATTGAATAAGTGTTGATATGTTAGTTGTTCTTCATCCAAATGGCAGGAAAATACAAAGCGCATGCTCATAGATTTATTCATTTTTACAAAGTTTGTGCGTAAGGCGTATTTGCCGTAGTAGACTCTTAATGATTATGCTATCACATGTATAAATCCTGAGTCATTATAAATCGACATGAGGTTATAAATCATGAAATAAGCCTTTGGCTCCCAAAACTCTCTATGTCCCCTCTAGAGTAGTATGGAAGAGCTCTAGGAGGATGCTAGCGCGGTCCGAAAGTAAAAATTCAACGTGTAAGAACTGAAGTACAAGCATTGATGAGCGTACCGTTAAATAAACATCAAAGAAACATACCCCCAACAGCTCAACATTTATTCCAGCAAATCGTGGAGATTATACGTTCGTATTCGAAAGTAAACGAGATTGCACATGACTGAAGGTTGAAAAGTGAAAGAAAACTGTTATATGCGATGATTTTTCTCCAAAGCAGGCCGAATTTGGTAGAGTGGGCCTGTTACGTGTTACGTTAAATGTCAATATGATTCTGGCAAAATATTATCATCAAGACAAACTTCCGTCTGGAAAAGGCAATGGTTCCCAAATGAACATGCATTAATGTTCACGCTGTAGTGGCTTGAGCCTTTGCTGAAGTGAGAGAGATCAGGATAAGGCTCAGCAGATGAAGGATAAATAAATAGAGCGGATAATTCATTGACATAAGAGGAATGTAAAATCTTAGGTCAGTGTGAAATTAGATTTAAAAATCGTAAGGAAGACGTGACTGAGGGAGAGGGGAAAGAAAAAGATGATGACAAAGTAGATGGGAAAGAAATAAATAAATTCAGAGACTAAGTTAGGTGATGAGAAGAAAGTAGCACCTGTGAAAGAGGGTATTTTCAAGACGGAAATTAAAGATTGTAATAATGGATGCGAGGAAGACACTTTGAAGATGCATTTCATTTCACCGAGTCAATAGGTAGTGTTGAAGAGGCCGAGGTACTCAGCGTCTTGAAGGAGAGGATCAAGGTAAACGCAACCTTTTCCAGTTAGGCTCGTACCCAAGACTGAGAATATTAATATGGAAAAGCAAGAATAATCCTTTTTCCAGCATTGTTCTGGCAATCTACTTGTCTTGGTTTATTTTTGGGGGGACAATAATAAACTTAGTCGACGTATCACATGATGTCGCGAATCCCACCCCAACATTATTAATTGGTTGTCTTTACGTTTAGGTACTCCTACTTGATATACCTGTTATTAATTTTTATTAGACCACTAACCTTTTCTTTTGCATGAATGCATTTGAGCTAAACGCTATTTGTATTTATTTCAGTGGATTCTGCTAACTGCTTGGAATTGCACACAGATTTGTCAGTATTTTGCCATCGAGACCGATTAATTTAAAACTATGCAACAAATACTGATG